GTTGTACTCTTCTAGCCTCTTAAGGACTAGGGTGACGTGTCGGATATGTTCGTCCTCATTTTCCGAGTATACTAGGATATCGTCTAAGTATACTATGCAGAACACGTCTAAGTACTCGTTTAGGACATGATTGAGGAGGCGTTGGAAGGTTCTAGGAGCGTTGGTTAAACTAAAAGGCATAACGAGATATTCGTACAAGCTATAGCGACTCCTAAAGGCGATCTTCTATTCTTCTCCTTCAGCCATCCTAACTAAGTTATATGCCTCTCGAAGGTCAAGCTTCGTGAAGCGCTTGGCCTTTCGTACTTAGTCGAAAAACTCGACAATCAAAGGTAGCGAGGTGCTGTCTTTGATTGTTATACTGTTTAGATGTCGGTAATCAATGCATATACGTAGTTCATCTCCTATTTGTCCTGTCTCATCCTTTTTTAGTGCGAGGTGCATTGCATAACCGGCTGGTAATGTTGATGGTCTAATAAAGCCTTTCTCGAGATTTTCGTCGATATACTTCTTCTGTAATCGGAGTTATTGTTTAGACGTAGGCCTTAGAGGTTCTTTGATTGGCTCCTTGCCCTCAGCCAATGGAATCCTATAGTCCCATAGTTAATGTTTAGGTAAGGCGAACGCCTCTGGGTCCTTTCTAAGCAACTTCTCAAACCGGGCATATTCTTTCGGAAAGGTGAACTCTGTTGCGGTAAAAATTCCCTCATCCTGGTAGACCAATGTTCTATACGTGCGCCCCCCTCCTTAAGGAAACACGATCTCGGTAGCCCACCAGTCTATTCGTGGGTTCTAGCGTATGAACCACGATATCCCCAGCACCGCATCCTAGCTAGAGTCGAAGACGTCGAACGCAATTTCTTCCTCATGATCCTCGATGGTTATGTGGAGGCGTCGTGTTTCTTCATCCACTAGATGTTTGGTCCTAGACCCGTCTACTATACCCAGTTCATATGTAGACTACTTCCTTTGTATCATGAAGCCGTGATGTTATGCAAAACGTCGCGTCATATAGTTCCCTATCGCGCCGGTATCGAGTATGATCCTAACGCGATTACCGTTTAGGGTCGTAAATATAACGAAGTATCTATCGTAGTCTGCGATAGTAGTGTAGAGCTGCTATTCCCCGAGGATGACTAGTCCTGAGTAGCTCTCTAGTTTCCCGACTCGTTGTCGCTATCGTTAGCCAGAGCTCGCTTCACGGTTTCTGAGTCCATTGCTAGGTAGAGTATACGGACTTGTGGGAAAAGCTTAGTGTTAGCGTCTAGCCAATCGCGTGCCTCTTTATAAAGAGCGATCAACGTATCTTAGTCGGATACTCGAATGACAGCAAGTTCTTATCGTTTGTACGTGTTGGTCTAGTTATAGCTTCGATGGGTGTGTTGTGTAGACTAGTCACAGTCTCCTCCATTACACCAGACCTCGTTCCAATAGAACGTGATGATGAAGATAACTTCATCCTCGCGAGCTATAATACGAAACCGTTGTACCCTTCTTGGTGTGTTAGTAGGGTGTACGTCTTAGGGCATATGCTTAGGTTGCCTAGGTAGTTTGCGGTGATCCTCTAGTTCGCTGAATTAGACGAGGCGTCCTAGCTTCATTGGAGCAGAGGTAGCCGCAAAGACCTAGGTGGCAGCCATTTATTGTCCTGGCTAGCCCTTAGCCCGGCAATTTCTTGCTTTGTGTCCTAGTTTACCATAATACAGACAAAGATTCTTGTCCATTCTGTCTTTCCGTTGAGTAGGTGTCAACGACCCGTGATTGGAGTGGGCGATCCGCTTTCTGGGACTCCCTTTAGTTGCACTGAATTCCCAGTCCATTTCATCAGAATTTCTGCGAGGTGCTTCATATCGCTTTCTCGTAGTATTTGCGCCAGGGTGAGAAGCTCTACTCCCCTTTTCCCAGCGTCTCTCGATCACTCGTTGGTCAAGCTTAATACATAAGTTGATATACTCACTCAATGATATTGGTAGAGTGGGTTAGTTGATCAATAAATCCTTAATGTCGAATTTCAAGTCGAGGCGAAACTGAGCCAATAGAGCTTCATTGTTCCAACCAATACGAGGAGTGTACTATTGAAATGTAGCTGCATACGCGGCTACGGACGACGTCTGGCGTAAAGCTTCCAATTTACGCTCAGCGGTCCTTCGTTCATCTACATCACCATACATTTCTTTTATTCCTACTACGAACCCTATCTATATAAAGATCATTATGGTAGAGGCTCGAGCAGATTCACCGTTATTCAAGCGATCGTTTAGGATCGGCTTGAACTAGTCTAGAGCGGATCTACGCAAGAATGACCCGGCGTAGACGACTTTAGCTGTGTCTTCAGTGAACTTCCGTCGGTTGGATAGAAAGTTAAGTTGTAACTAGGTAATGTAGGCTTCAAACTTACGTCTGTCGCCATAGAATAGGTTAGGTTTAGCGGCATTCCCGCCGTCGTTGGTGTCACTAGTACTTAGTGCATCGGCCCGCGATCCACCTCGCGGAGTACTAGGTTCTCCTCGAACAGATATGGTGTCGCTCAAAGCTAGCTTCTTAAATGGTTCGATCAAGGGGATCGACGTAGGGACACTTGACTAGTTGATTGGGGATAGAACTCTCGAAGGAGGCGTGAGTTCTTCACTGGAGTTGGAATCTAATGATTCTTCGTCAAGGTCGGGATCTGTTATACGCGTATACTTGTCTTAAGGGTAGTCAATGTGTTACGAACTGCTAAGGGCGTAATGGTTCTTAGACTTAGACGTGGTTAGGTTTCGCGAACGGAAGTATAGGTACTTGCGGACAGATGTGGAAGGGGTGAGGGCTTAGGGTTCAATAGGTTTGAGTGCAGTAGTAAGATGATTATTGACTGCGAGGAGTCTATGAAATGTTGGTGTAATGACCGTAACTATATACTCGTAAGATCCCCCCTGCTCTCCTGCTCTGTCCGCTCTGTTGCTCTATCACAGATCAACCAGAGTACCAGAGCGCCGGAGCACGTCACGTGTCTCAGCCTTGTGTGCCGGGGACTCCCGTCACATCATAGCCTCCTCGCCCGACCTGCCTCTCCTGGCGGGTCGCCATGTAGGTTAAGTGTCAACCCGTAACACTCGGACCGCAATCGTTCCCACTCTAATTTTATTATCCTCACGTTATATGTGGAACCTCGTATATAATACTCTCTACAACGACCGGAACGAACGTGCACCTTACACTTGGTGTCGTTGCGACGATAAGAAGAATAAGCGCGAGGCATTTTCCGGCTAAAGGCAATAATAAAGGAACCAAGGGCCTTGCGGTCGTCGGTAGAAGTCGTTGGTCTAGGAGGACGAGAGCGACGCTCGCTGGATTTATTGGTACGTTGCTTGGGTATGATTAGCCATAAGAAGGGAAACTAGAACGCGAAGGGGGACACTGACCTTAAGTACGTTGAGAGTAACGCACGAATATGAAGGGGGGATAGTGTTACAAAATAGTACATACGGCCTACTTATGACTCAGAGAATTAGATAGCTGTGCCGAGAACTAATAAGGTGACGTAACTTAGCCTGATACGCAAGACTAAGTCACGTGACCAACAGTTGGTCCTCAGTGGTCCTCAGGGGGAATTAGCCTCCTCAGTGCTAAGCACACTGAGGATGACTGAGGACGCTCACCCACGCTGAGGACGCTAGCACTATATATACACGCTCACTACTCTAGATAGGACTACTCGTAGTCAACTTCGTTAACAATCCTATACCTACATTTAGGATAATCTGGAACTAAGTTCTCTTCGTTCATACTTCCCGTCACCATCTCGTATCCACCTATCAAGGAAACCCCTTGGTCAGACACTGTTCGCAGTTCCGATCATAACATACCTATAGCTTTATAAATAGTTATATTTAGACGATCTTAACGAGTTTATTCGAACGATATAATAATCGAGAAGATTACATCCCGTGAAGTCTCTATCTAAGAAAATAATCCTATACTATAATCCTATACCACTTTAGCTATCTTTAGTTAGTTCCCGTCCCGTGCTAACTCGCTGTAATTTAGCACCACCAATAATGGTATACTATTGTTCGGGTCCTTTTGGATAGGATGGGACGAAATAAAAGCGAATATTCACTCTTGTTGTCGAGACGGTTATACATTCTCTTAGCTACCTCTTTGTGCGCGACGCTGGATCATACAGTCGCTGGATAGTCCTGCAACTCGTGCTCTACCCCATGAATTTGCACTTCTGGCACCCTCGGCAGCGCTTGTACTGCCACAGGTTGTGGCGCGCTCGCCAGCATTCCCCTGCCATTGGTTCCGTCCTCTCCTTCGTGAACAAGCTCGAGGTTTCCAGGTCGATATCCAGCAAGTCTTCTTTCAGACCCAGTGGACGAGGGACTGATACGAGTGACGGTGCCACCGTCTGGCTGGGGGAAGAAAATCTCGAGAATGCTCCTCTGGCGACGTGGGGGTCTGGTGTTGGGGTGAATCATTCCGGCGAGCCGGTATATCGCGTTTCGGAATTGGTCGTATTCTTGTAGGTTAACGCCGAAGTATTTTGTCTGGTTGGTGAAGAGTCTCGTCCGTTTAAGCTTGAGAGACATCCAGAGGGTCAAGAGGAGGATTGGGCTAAGAAATGCCGCAACGAATTTGACGGCCAACACTTTGCCGTTCCAGAGAACAGCACTGTTGAAGACGACCACGATCAGGAGTGTACACACGGCGCCAGCGTAAGCCCAAACAGGCTGACCTATGGCTAGCAAACTGTGCGTACCCCTGTTCTGAACAAGTTTGCGCATCACTTCGTCTCCAGATCGCTCGATCCTGTTTTTATGTCTGCTTCGTCTGGATTGATGATCAGTTTTTTTGCAACAAGGAAAGGCACGGCAGCGAGACAACTTACAAGTGATAGAAGCAGATGTATGCGATGCACTGAGAGCACCACACGAGCACTGCACTGACGGCTCCGATATTGAGCAGTGCCTCTTGAAGCTGTACTGCCGTCAGTCCTCTGAGCCTCGGCGCGACATTCACGTTCTTACCAATTCTTTTGTAGTGTCCTCTTCGATGTGAATGAATGGCAGCCAGTAGAGGACCACTACAGGGATGATCACGCCCCATAGGGGTGCGCCGGTCCAGGGTAGTACATCGCTTAAACGATGCATGAATCGGCGGAAGATGTTAGCATCCCTGTTAACATCGATATTGCGCGAAAGGCCGTAAACAGTTCGAGAAGCGACGTAGAGGCCAGTGTTCGCTGCACTCAGCCCGGAATACATCAATATTCCGGACAGGACCGATGCCAGAGTATCGCTACCGGTCTCAACGAGTGCAACAATTGGCAAAGCGCTGGTATTGTGATGTGGCGCATCGCGAGCTGTAATGTCGGTTTCTTTAGCGGCTGGTGCTTGACCAAAGACTTTGGGGAGTGATGGATCATTCCAGGCAACATTCACAACGAAGGTCACCACGATCGCGACATAAAGTAAACAGATCTGTGGCGCGATGGTCATGGCAGTCAACTTCAGTTGGCTCGAGTTTCTGGCTTCGTAGGCTGTCGTGGTGAGTAACTCGACGCCAATGTATGCGAATGTCACCTTCGGAATCGCAATTCTGTGGTACGTTAGCCATTGATCGATTTCTCAGACTAAAACAACTTTCGTACAGCATCGCTTCAACTTTCGAATTTGCAACATTCGGGTTCACTTCGACGAAGTTTTTCAAATCTGCTTGAAAGTCAGTGAATTATATTATGATTCAGACGTGTGACTTATTCCTAACACTTTGTACCAATATGCTCATCACCGACCACTGTGTTGATTAGCGAGAATGACTCTCGACGATTTCGGCACACGCATACCGCCTTGGTTGACGAAGATCATCAGGAAGAAGACAAAGGCCACAAGTCCGAGCTTGATAATACCACCAATGGCCTCGATGTATCCGAAAACCTGAAGTGCATCAGCAAGTGCGTGTAGCTGTGGCGTTGGGAATCTCACCTCAACCCAAAGTAGATTTGAGAATGCAAGTAGGATAGGGGCAACGATAAAGATTGTCGACTTCAGTCCAGAAGCAATGTTCCAGTAGCCGGCGAGGTTTGCCACAGTTACAATCAGGGCGCTGAATGAGACCGTGTAGGTGTACCTGTGATCGTCAGCATCCATTCTCTTGTTCAGCTATTGTGTCCATCCTACATATAGCCGATGCCAATTGCTGCACCTAGATCCTCGTCCACAAAAGTGCGAACAAACTCAACCATAGCATTAGGTATGTCCCATAACACTATCATCTCGCAGATGCCCTCCATAACACATGTCGCCACGACGCCAACTAGAAAGAAGGCCAGTATTGTTCCACCAGGACCCGCGACTGAGAGAACTTCGCCCGCGTTAGTGAAAAACCCAATCCCAATGATGCCGCCTATCGTAATAAACTGTAGCATAATCAGATTTTGTTCTTGGCGAATCGAGGTTTGCGTACGTACATAGATCTGCCAGCCATTCAGCTCTCGTCTAAGACGAGAGCTATCGATCAGTTTCTGGGCGAAAGTGGTGAGGTCATTGAGGCTTACCTGAGTCTTTTCGAACCGGCATCCATAGCGTTTGCGAAGTCAATTGACCGTTAAGCACAATATTCAGCGGATTTCAGTGGAGGGTCTTGTAGCCGCAAGGGATTGCTCAGGTGCCACTGGCAACGTGTTATAAATTCGCATAACGGGCTGTGCAACCACCAAAAAGGGGCGCTCGTATCGCCAAAAGGCAAACAGGCAACAGGTGTTACGCTGAGCCCGGGCCAAGTGGATATATAGTTGAGCTCAGCCGCAGTGTGCAGGACAAGGTCAAGTTCTCATCCTTTGCATGTCAACAGAACTGAGCCCTCAGAAGCTCGTAACCTCAAAGAGATTGTGGAAAGGCAACATGGCTGCAGTACCCCCCCAAGGTCGACCGAATAACTCAGCGTTAGGCACGAGCGAGACTTCATCCAAAGCCTCGAACTCATGCACAGTGAAGAATGAGCTGCATGTGCAGGAAACTGGATATCTCACACGACCCAGATTGGAAGAAGCGCTTTCAACACTCTTCCCTAACGTCCCAAGCGTCAAGGACTTCGCTGCTCAGGTAAATGTGGCTCGCAAGGAAGCGAAGCTCGCTCCATCACAACCCGCTAATCCGAGTACAGCATATCAACCAGCGGTGGGTGTTCTGGACCCCTCAAAAGGTGACATGGGTTTGTGACTGCCCCCTTGATTGGACTGCACTAACGATCGAGCAGGATGACCTTGCGTGAGTCACATGGCCTGAAGGCGAATGAGTGCAAAATCTAATCCCCAGGAACAGGCCATGGGCAGAGACAGAGAATGATTAAGGCGGTCAGAGTAAGGCTACTAGGGATGGCTAGGTGGGGCAATGCCCACACCGCACATAGCCTCAGCTCCAATAGCCGCTCGTACAATTAGAACCATTGGATTCTCAGCCTCAAAACATTTCACTTGGTACGCGTACTAGTGCAAGAAATACGCCTCATTCGATTTCAGACTTGCAAATAAACAGGCCCAGGCCTTGACAGGCGTCTGCCGGTGACATGCCTGGGAAATTGGGCCGAACCCCTAACTTACGGTGGTGTAGCTAAACACGAGGTCACGAGGCTACCTGGCATTGCGGCAGTGCATTCGACTGAACATGAACAGGCAAGAGCTGAAGCTCCTACCCAAATCTCGGACGTATGTTCCTGTAAAACATAAGGGGTCTTCACCTCGCTTTGATTCTAGATAGCTATCAGGTCAATGACAAACCTTCGCTTGACTCGCTCATTCGCAAGCGTTACTAAAGCTTCGATTTGGAGCTTGTTTTAATGGCACAACTAAATTCAGGAGGTTCAGATGCAAAGGCGGCGAGCTTGGATGCTTGGTCCAACTTTTTATCGACCTCGCCCAACTTCGAGGCTGCTGTTACGGAGACACAGTACCTAATTAGCAGCCTTGACGCGTTGTATAGCAAGCTTTTCTCTCCTCGGGTCCATATTTTTACCACAGATATTGAAAGTATGTCAAGCCTACCATCCTAGGTACTCAATCTGATATCTCATAAGCGACAGCCGGTAACGATGCGTCTCCTGCCGTCGGCGTATCGAAAGAGTTGACAACCCTAAGTCAGCTAAATGAATACCTCGAGAGAGACTTGTCTGATCTCAGGTTGATGTGAGTGGAATAAGTAGAATTGAATATGCTACACAATTGATAACAAAGTTAGTTCACTAGTCCGCGGAAATTCTCTGCAGCCTTTCAGAATCACATCTGATGGTGTACTGAGCGTTGTGAAGAAGCACAATATAGAAAGAACCTTTCTCGATCTCTTGTTTGGATTTCGCAGTCGAACAGAATTGTCGGAAAAAGGATGTTGCTTATGGCGCGCTGCAAACCACGATGGGCATATTGGTAAAGCCAATGTTCTTCAAAACTGTATTATATGACTGACTAGGACAGTCCTTTGTTATCAGCTGCGGTATCGAGAGCGCAACTTCCGGCAATCGGGATCAGAAGAGTGGTCGGAGCGTCAAGTTGGTGTGTACCACCAATTTGGCCGTGACCAGAAATCGCCATCCACATTGATCCTGCTGAATGCAAAGCAGGAAACAATTGCTCGAACGCGGGTTCAGGATTCACTGGAGAATGGCCGCTTGGGTGCCTGTGGACCACAATTATCATTCAAGCTTCACCTCCTCGTCTTGTTCTCCTATCTCGACAATTGGCGCTGGTACCTTGATGAACTTGGTGGCGATCTGTTGAGAGAGGCAAGTCCTTAGTAAAGCTGATCTCCGCGTTTGCTGATCGTCATAGGAGAATAAAGGCTTTACCGAAGATCTCAAAAGCCCATATTCAGCCACCTTTCCGACGTTGCAGAAGTTGCGTAATAAAGAGGCTGCTCTTAGTACAACCTCCGTGACACTGGCTTCGACAATCGAGTTGATACACTCAATAAAATTTCTCGCACAGCAAGTCCTGTCCTCAGATCCCTTCATTAACAACGAGGGTCGCGCAGAGGTGGAAGGGTTTGAGCAATGTATTCTGAGGTGCCGAGGATATTACTCCAGTATACAGGTGTTGCAAGAGCGGGTTAACAAGCTGATTCAATTGGTAAGTACTGGACTGCCAATCTGCCTTAGAACATTAATGACGACGAAACAGGTTGCAGATGGGCTGAACCATAGAAACCTGAACAACAATGCGGACATCAGTACCAGCCTTTTGCAGTTGACCAGGAAATCTATTGATGATAATGCTGTGATTCGCGTTGTGACGATCATCACGGTAATTTATCTACCGACGCAGCTCGTCGCGGTAAGCAGCAGCCTGGCCCACAGAGTTTGAATTTGCTGACACCTGAGCAGACTCTCTTCGGCATGAATTTAACCTCCTTTGGCGATTCGTCACTGGTCTTCTCGAAGAATTGGTGGCTTTTTCTCGCTGCCGCAATTCCACTGACAGTCATGACCCTAGGAGCTGTCGGGGCTGCCGTGCTGGTTGAAAAGGACAAACGAGAGGGAGGATCTTTATCCTGGAAAAAATTATTCAAGCGTCGAGAGAAGCCGCCGGCACTTTTGCCTGTCTCAGCGAGATTTTGAATGAGCGGGATAAGATATCGACGGCCGTTCTGCTTGTCTTTTGTGCCTTGCATTGAGTAGATTCAGTAATTAGTCCTGAGGTCATTGATTAATCGGCTTCATGGCCAGCACCCCGTTCCGATACAAAAGGAACAACTGTGGCTTGTGCGAGACGATGTCTAACGGTGCAACTGCGGTACCGCAAACGGAGGTGTCGATTGGATCAAGTTCGATCGGGCCTAGGTCGCGTCCCTGACTCAAAGTCGGAGAGGGTGAAGCAAAAAGTAAGATTCGCTGTGGTTTTCGATCTCTGATGACAACTAAGCCCCGATCGTCGGGCATAGCGTGTCCAGCGGCGAACATAAAAATTGCATCTTTGCGGGATTCTGGCCGCTCCTTATTCACAGGATCGACAAGTAGAAGGCGGCCATGCATATCACATGCGGCAAACCGCTGCCCATTTTTGAATGGTATTAAGCTTTGGTGGGACTCGGGTCTACCGTCTGGGAATGGCTTTCAGCTGGTCAACGCGTGGCTGGGAACGAGCTTTGAATGAACATACCTTACAGAGCCATCGCTGCGAGCACTGCATTATTCCCCTGATGCTCCATACATGGAAGTAGTAGCTATCCCCAAGATGTTCCCAAGCACAAATACTTTGTCCATCCCGGCTAAAGGAGGTTCGGAGGACGGTCCGTAGATCTACTTTGAAAACTCCAGCACTGTGGACAGTCAAGAGATGTCAATGGTGGGAAAGAGAAGGCTCACCCGAGAACATGAACTTGGATACGGTTGCAGAATTGTAAAAGGACGTTGCCCTGCTCGGAAACCCATAGGTCGTCGAGATCCTCGATATCTCGAATGGTTCTGCGATGTTCTAAGACTCCTCCGGGCGATTTTTGCCACACAAAAATCTGAACCTGAAAATTCATATACGATTAGAATTGTGCTTGGTGAAGCTGTTTTCACGTACCTTATCAGTGGTCTGCCCATGGAGATGAAGGGCGATATAATTGCCCACGATACGCACTTTGCACAGATCAAAGGCGTCATTCGACCATTGAGCGACTGGAGCAAGCCCTGGTCCAGATCGGACACCTCGTTTTTCGGTCTGCCAGAGCGGCTGATTCGGGCCTTTCAACGTGAGGTCAAATAGGGCCATGTATTTCTTGTTCCACATGCATGCTCGTTTTCCAGACGGACAAATGCTTGTGTGTGTAGCAACCTCCGGGAATTCCAGTCTCATGAAACACCATGCATCATCTGCAGATCCAAGTAGTGCATTTTCTATCATTTTGCCTGGTGACGATATGCCAGAATCGAAGGAGTGGGTCATTGTGATCAGTTCAGGCGGAGATGGATCCTGTTGTGGGTTCGCTGCAGTCTCTGCATTGGTAAAATGCTCCCAGATCCGCCTCCTACCACGTGAACCTGCGATCATTTGGTTGTAGGCCCCAGCCAAACTTGCTGCGGCAGATTCCATAGCAGGACGCGAATCTCTGTCAATCTTCAGCATCAACTCGATAAGCTCCTGCCATTGCTTGATCCAAAAAGCGTCTCGTTGTGAGCCAAGAGAACTATTTAACCAGTGGGTAATATTTCGCTGCGGCATTGCTGTCCTGTCGTGTGCAAGCTCATAAAAATAGTCGTCACGTGCATCCCGCAGTTTCTGGAGCTCTGCGACGCCCTGAGGCCCTTCCACAGTGAACGCCAGGATGATAGCCAGGATACAACCCGCCGACCATATATCAGTCTTAGGATCTGCCTGTGGATTATCCGAAAGGCGCAGCTCCGGCGGCAAGAAGGCACCTTCACGTCCCGGACGTCCCGGCCGTGCTGAACGGTTGGACCTTTCTCGTATCAATCCTCCGAGGGTCGTTATCGGACCTGGAGCCGGAGTTGCTGGCTCTACTGTTACATCATTGCTCTCTGAAAGGTTGAAGTCGGCAAGTTTCCAGATGCCTACGGGATGCTTCTCAGTTCCAAGCGGCCCAAAGACAAGGATGTTGTCGGGCTTTAGATCCATATGAACAATTGACTGTTGGACACCGGGCCCAAGTTCTACTCCCTTGTGTAACCACGCAAGGGCCCGAAACAGCTTCCAGGCTTGGTATGCCAAATGCCGCGGACTAAATATCAGAGGATTGCTTGCAAAGTTGCTGAAGCCACAACATTCACCGGATAGAAGGTCAGCTAGGTCCATGTCAGCCAGTTCGGAAATAATGTTCAGATCATCGCCATGGACGAATGTTGCAAAATTCACCGCTATTGCTTCGGGAAAGGAGATAAGCGCTCTTCTGAACTTCTTGAGGGTGGATTCCTCTCTCTGAAAGTCTTCCCCAAAGTTTTTATTGCGCTTATCCTTGCTCTCGTAGACTTTGACGGCCATTTCGTACTCCTGGTTGACATCAGCGTGGTACAAATCCTCGACCAGACTTACCATTTGATTAGGTGTGACTTTATTGGCCTCTAATCGATAACCCTTAGCAATTCGGACTTTGTAGACGTTTCCAAAAGCGCCGCGGCCAATCCTTTCCGGTCGATCTACGTACGGCAAACGACGTTCTTGCGGATACATTGAGTGGGTTTCCTCCTCAATCCGGATCGGCGCAAAGTACAGCTGATATGAACGGAACCTGCCAAATCTTTCGCCAACTCCACTTCTTTCGAGAGTGTCGATCGTGCGATCGTCGAGAGGCAGATCTTGGTCTGAGTAGCCTCCGTAAGCAGGATCAAAAGACAGCTTTGGCGAGAGAAGCTTTGGCAAATCCCCCCAATCGTTCCACCCGGCACGAAGGAGAATTGCTATGATAGTCCTCGAGTAGCGGATGATGTTTTCTGCCCTCTCTTGTTTGTACCAGTCGAGTTTCTCGAGCAGTTTATGGATTGCATCGCTGGTCAACACCTCCTCGACAGCATATCTGGGTATGAATTTGTAACCGTCCGGTCCGATCTCGCGTACCAACAGTTTATTTTCGATATCTTTTGCAAGCTCATCCCGTTTCCGCTGATGGGCTTTGCTCCGCGAGAAGAGGGGAGCCATACGCAGGACTGTGGTCCGGCGGTAGATGCCGCTGATTGGGCTTAGAGAACCGTGGTCACGATGGTCCAGAAAGTGTTGGAAGAACAGTAATCATTGCGAAACGAAAAATTGAATCAGGAGGCAGAGGAAATACCATGATGAAGGCCAATAACTTGCGCAAGGCTGCAAAGTGGTCTTGGAGGAGCTGATTGCGAATTCCACATCCGATGGTTTCAGGTCATCTATGCCTACAATGGGCCTAAAGGACCAGATCCGTGCTTGAGCGAAGTGATAGGGTCCACCTTAGATGTGGGGTTACAGGGAGCCACACCCCTAGCTAACCAGCTGAACCGCTATGTGGCTTCAATAGTCTAGAACCTCGGAAGTGACGAGAAGGATGAATCGTAAAAGAAATTCCCCTGAGCGTGGTAGGGTATCTTGAGTAAACAGCCCTTGACCTGTCCAATAGCGCATAGTAAGAAACGTGAGTTTGGGATGCACAAGAGGGTTAGCCTTATGAATCTGAAATCTTACAATTTTCCCGCGGTTTTGCCCCCATACAGTATTTCCACGGAGACAGTAGGCGCAGCTGCCTCCTTCGTAGAGGAACAATGCTACACTTTGTAGACCGAAAAATGTGGAAATCGCAGGGCGACCATAGAAGTCGACTGAAATAGCTGGCGAGAGGTTATACACCCAGTCACCGCATATCTCTGCCAAACTGCAAGTGCATCCTGCGGATTCGTTGGAACGAAATTAATGGGGCCTTGCGTTAATCCTCCTCCAATACAAAGTTGCTCACTTCTTTGGTTAGGGGAACTGCAGCAGACGGGTGGCACCTGGAGCAGAGTTCACCTGCTCGTAGTGTGGATGATTTCAAGCGGTGAACGAGTACATACTGAATACACCGACAAGATCTTATGGAATTAGGCTTCTAGGAGTCAAAGCCCAAAATGGTTTCTACCTGATTTAGGATCTGGAGGGCCTTGTAAGGGTCTCGCCATGGGTAGGGTGCCACTAGTCTTTGTACTAGGTTGGTAAACGATGCACTGCCAAGATGCTTTTTCTGACACGCGCCAACCTTGCAGGTTTCTTCACCCTTCAAGGCATCTTAAGTCTACAGCGGTAAAGTCCCCTGACCATGGCCGGAGTGACAATGTCAGTACCTCAACGGCTGGAACAGCTCTTCGTCATGTGCACTCGGGACTCCATTGAGGTCTGGGTCAAGTTTCACAACTTTTGGTGTAGCGATCGGCAGCCCACCCGAGTCGCATGACCGTGATGGCAGGATGCACGGGAGCTCTGCATAATAGTGGCAGTACCAGGAGCACATTTGCCATGTGAAATGGTTGGTGATCGACATCAAAGCTAAAGTCACATTTTGACTTTTCTTTCCCGCGTCTGTTGGCGGGTCTTGCCCACGGAGTCTCTTCACGCCCTAGTTAGCTTAAGGTAAGGCCGTGGTTATCATTTCGTATTTTCAAGCCATTCAGGAGCCGAGGAACGGATCGAGATCTAGCATCATTTTAAACTTATCCGAAGTTTCGGAAGATTGATTCTAGACCGGCCGAGCCGGCCTAAGCCTTCACGTTTCTCAGTTCGAAGGCGTTCCGTATTCGAACCCTTGTCAGAAGTGCAAAAGTATACGTGTTCTTAGGATCGCTAGTATCTTTTGTCTCTTGTTTTTTCAAATTAGTGAGCTCCCGTCAATTTAAGCCGTTGGTGGCTGGATTCAGACCAGCGTAGTGTTTATTGGCGAGCTGAGGCCTCGGATTCAGCTAGCTCAGGCATTCGATGCTGCCTTGGCTTTAGGCTTCGTTTTTGGGAGTGGCTGGATGATCTGCCTTGTTGGCGCTTAGTTTCTATGATGGCTAACTCGCACTCAAGACGAAGCTCAATGGCTTCATTTGTAGCTAGACTTTGTGGCAAGGCGCCAGCTGTCAAGGTTCAAGCAAAAATCTTGAGAAAAGCACCTTGCCTAAAGCTGTTCCGGGACGATTCTCAGGCTTCTCGATCTCATCATCCGTTATAGAATTCAGTCCCATGCCAAAATACAGACAAATGCACTCCCGGTCACTACATGCTGTACCTGACTGAGCGGCATTGCCTCCTTGGATGACTCAGGTGGAGCTGCCCGCTGCACTCACCGGCTGGTCTCAGATGGCTCTTTCACTTTTGTAAGAGTCTTCGATGGGGTATTCTGCAAAGACGTAGCTCCTTCATCAACTATTTTGGCCCTGTGCGTCTGCTCGCGATGGATGGCCAGTCTTACTGGTAAAGATGGCGGCCACCATTGACTTCGGACCAGTTCCGGCTTTCAGTTTTCAGGCTTTCGGTTTTCAGCCTTCTGCATCTCAAGGGCCAAATAGGAAATTCACATTTATGCATGATGTTATATTGAAGACCAAATTACGCCGCGCATCGTGGGTCTGATAACAAAAAAGGTGCCTAAAGCGTTCTTCCAGAAATACCCGAAATATCATCAACCTACTTGTGATGATTGGGCGTGCAGTAGCGCGCCTAAATTACATTCACTTAGACATGTTTCTTGGGATCTTCGCGTTGTGCTGACAACTTTTAAGGAGAATCGTGGCGGATTAAGTTCCCAACAAACGCTGCATAAGGGCTGTTCACTCGAATATCACGCGTACTCATGCTCACGAATTTTCTACGAAGCAAATTGAGACGAATAGCATTGAACTTTGGTAGCTGACTGGCTGCTAGAGCATATTAACACCAAGGTTTTCTGGCCTCGCAGCTGATGTTACGATGGCAGGTACTGTCAGATAGTCTTGACGTCACTAAACCAGCCTCCCACAGTGGCTCGCGCTCAACGTAAAATTGTGTATTTTCCACTCTCCTAATCACTCACTGTTTAATCCTGTGACCTATTACTCTCGCGATACCTTTTCCTACGTCACTCACGAAGACTGTTCTGCGGACAGGTAACGCATCTGACTATCCGATAAAAGGCGACGAGGTAACAGTGGAATACACGGGTTGGCTGTATGATACGAATAGCACGGATACCTACCAGAGGGGCACAAAGTGAGTTTGTAGCCCAATAATCCTCCCTAAAGGAATGTGCACAGCGGATTTAATTTATCCAAGGTTTGATAGTAGCGCTAAGCGAGGTGACTTCAAGACGACGTTCGGTGTTGGTCGAGTTATATCAGGTTCGTTCGCATAGTTTATAAGATTTTTTCATCAGGTATGCGTTCAACCTAACGAAACTTTGGCAGGATGGGATGAGGGAATTCTCAAGATGTGGTTAGGAGAAAAGGCAGTGTTGTATATTGCCAAGCTGGTATATGTCGAATCAAGATCTTCCCGGTATTACAATGGTTCCTCACAAATTTAAAGGCACATGGCATACGGTGATCGGTAAGTTAGAGCAGAACATCCACTCGATGCCATATACCTACCCGTCCAAGCCTACATCTGAGCTGATTTGTACCTTCAATTCTGCACAACCCTCTAGATATTAGGCTTTCCTCACCTTGCATATAACATGCTCCTACCAGTTTGGAAGGATCCTGATCTTCACTCTAATTAATGGGCTACCAGGGTTTCTTCTTGCCAATGCTACATTAATTTTGTGAGTATCTCCTCAGCCTTCGAAATATCTCCGGTAGGCACCAATGGTTACTATCTCGCCAAGGGAGTATGGAGAACCTGTCGATATTTTCTTCCACAAATTCTAGCTACTCTGACTTCGATTTGTTGTTAGTATCGTCGAACTTAAGGCGATAAATGGGACGAGGCACAAGTAAAGCTGTCGATAGCGTTAAATAAAACACTTGATAACGCACTGATCGACGACGGAAGGGGCAAATCTGGAGGTTTTGGTGGACGTAGTGGTCGTGGAGGCCTGGAAGAGATGGTAACTGATTACGCTACGCTATATCTGGCGTGTTTACTCATTTCCATATATCATGCCCCTCTTGCCGCTAAAGCGGTCATTAGTGCCAAGTTTAGACGTTACCGTAAGCTGCCGACCTACAAAAAATATAATAGGAGGACCGTAACATAGTTCTTTTGGTGTACACCGTTCGTCGCGTAGATACCCTCTTCCTCATACGCGGGGTTTTACTTACGGCCGTGATCGATACATAGCTGATCGATACATAGCGCTCCTTCTTGATCCTACCATTCGTAGGTCTAAGTAGGCCACCGTAACTGTATATAATTTTATTGCGGTCCTTGGAGCTATAGGCTTTCATACCGTCTGTCCCTAGTGGGAGTAAACTTGTGTAGCATTCTCGAATCAGTATGGCTAAATTGGGTGCTCTAGCGGCAAGACATTGTAGGCGGATCAATGCGTGTCGTTGTCGTCGGTTTATGGTATATGACGTTAGTACTTGTACTCCTAGTGATGATGAGGGTCCAGGGGAAGATGTGGTAATTATGGAATCTGATATGCCTAGATCCCTCAACCTAGTATCGAAATTTCCCGAATTGTAGGAGAATTCGGTGATACGGGTCTCTTGTTCATAAAAAAATCCTTCGTCACATTTAGTGTCTGAGGAAGATGATCGTGAAGCCACGTGGATCGTGAAGAACTGAAGATATGGAGCCCAAGCGAACAGCTGCAGAAGAATCCCAGTCCCCTTTCAGCAATTATAGAGGAGTTTTTATGTAGCGATTCTCTTGGTATGATTATGCCGTAGGAGTTTCTAGTCAACGCACCTGATGTTCTTCGCCGCTGAGGCTCGAGATCACACGCCACTTCCAGGGGAGTAGATCCAGATATGCGACGAGGTTCCATACTTCGCCTGCCATACCGACGTGCACTATAGTTTATGCTGTCCATTGTGCGCAAGACTTACCGCCAACATTAATGTTAGATTTGATATAGACGATCAATTTAAAAGATGAATAAGACTTTTTCTATACTTAAAATGCTGAATATTCCGAGTCTATACTATTTATTGCTAAAAGGAATGACGATAAGTGAGAGTGCTAAGACCAATGCTCAAGAAACAAAACACTACATTAAAAACTGAATAAGGACGATGATAAGCAGAAAGCAAACAGCACACGGACGCTAAGCACCACTTGCAGGTAGGAGAAACAACTGCCCACTGCGCCAGGAGGACACAGAAATCAGTAAATCACCATGACCTTAATGCTCCGTAGGCGATATGCTTAGGAGAACATGCAGCCTTGTAAACGCCACGGCCCGGACTCAGAATTGACATCCATGGTCACGGCTCCATCACCCGACATCGCAGCGCAGAAGGTCGAGACGACGCTGGAGCCACCGTCGACGAAGTCATACATATAGTACTTGCCGAGGTTCTCTTTCGTGTTCAGTTCGTCGTGACAATAATGGTAAACGGCGTCAAACTGTCCGGGCCCTTGATAGTTGACATAGACGAGGTCTGTAGCATCTTGAGCGGGAAGGCCAAGCGCCACAGGATCGATAATCGAACGAGGATGAGCATCACACTGGGTGCCGAATTGAACCGTAGTAGGATTGCAGATATCCCCAGGCTTAAGGTCGTATGTTCTAGTTTCGGACTCACTGGTTGAAGTGGAATCACTCCACTTCTTATTGTAATCTCCTGAAACCTCAACGGAGGCAGAGAAGAATCCAACACTGCCTGTGGCACTGATCTTAGTTCCAACATGGTATCCTTCAGAGGTAGTATCTGTTGTCGTAGTTTCGAACATCATCTGGAGCTGGCAATCACCACCCGTATTACAGTATTGAGCACCATCTTTAGACACCTGGCTAAGTATCGGATCCGTCAGCCTACAATTATCGAAGTTCGCAAGGTAGGGAAGCATGATGGTACAAGCGTTCGCAATACCCGAACCCAAGGGTGTACAATCGGCGGGCACCTGAAGTTGACTAGGATCCGTACTGAACGTACTCGAAAGCGTCCAATTACCAGCAATCGTCTTCGCACAAGTTGCAACGTCGATATTGCCGTCGCAGACGCCATGCGGTCCCGGAACGTCTGGCTGGTTGATTGGCTGTCCATTGAGGTACATGAGAGAGGGGCCTTGAGGCTGAGTAGTTCGAGCAGTTGGAGCTGCAGCCACTGCTGCGGCAAGCAAAGCAGAGGATATAACGGCAGATTTCATCGTGAATATGATGTGTTGGATGTGATAATAGTGAAGCTTTTTCTCTTGGAAGTTTCGTATTGATTTCTGAAGATACTGTGTTGTTTTCACAAGGCTAGTGATTGTGTCTGTATTGTTGTGTGGAGTTGGTAGATGTGTTTATGTGGTTTTGGTGATTGTTGAAAGTGTTTATTTTATTATGTGATGCTTGGGATTGTGTTCGGCGTTCTTGTTTGTACATCTATATATCTAGAGGAATCTATCATTATACTTCTGCGATGACGATAATTCAAGTATATTTTTAGCCATCGCAGACTGGTTTGGAGCTGAGCTGTAAATTGTAAACCGTGTGGATTTTTGAGCAAAGTACAAGTTCTTCGACACGCAACGTTTCAAAGTAACTATGGCACTACGACTACCGTCGACGAGAGTTTCCTTGATCATTGGCACTCGCGAGGATATTCCTAAAGTGGTTACGCCCTAGCCATCTCACGTGGCTGTGGAGTTACGTTCATTGGGTGAAGAGCGGCTGTGGCTGAGGTGGGAAGCCGCTTAGCCAGCTTGACCAGTTGTACTTCGTATTCCTAAGCCTCAATTATAAAGCCCCGATACGTCACTCGAGAAACCTTATTAACCCGACAATGTTGAGGGACTTCCAGCCCGATGCACCCTCGTATACACGATCCCACGTTGGTGAGCGTTATTTTGGTGAACTTGGGTTTACTCCCTAGCTACTTAAAGGGATTCAATGTTTTACCCGGTTAATTGGACCACCAGTTTGAGCGATAAACTGTAGGCTAATATCCTCCAGTTCGGACACGGTCTCTTATACATCACTACCGGCGAGAGATATGTCTTTCCATCTGCTAAAAATAAGTAAATATGCATTAGGATTCACTTTGGATAAACATGATTGGAACGGAATCTTTGAGGCTAAAGGGCATTCACAGAGTGACTTGTGTAGTTAAGCGAATGAGCGAAGCCAACTACACAGGGCATAGCGCATGCGAAGCTGACGGCGACGGTTCCATCAGAGCAGAAATTGGCAATCAGACCTTCAATGGCAGCCGAAATGCCCATAGCGCAGCATGCAAGGCCTAAGAGAACGTAGATCAATGCGATAGGCTTCGAATCCAAGTCTTCGCATAGCCTCTGATCTACTTTGAGAATGCCTCGGAAGGTGAAAGCAAAGTGAACAACATAAACCCTACAATTGGTCGATCATAGAAATTCTGGTTGCACCCTGTGGTGGCTAGTTGCCATTTTAGGAGGAATGGGAATGAAGCGGATTTCGGAGATATATAAGGATCGCTTTGCTGACGAATGCGGACAGTGGCAGGTGTTGGGTTCTCTTCATGTTCACGAGGTGCATTCTCTGCGCATGCAAGAGGTTTTGACATTCTGATTATTTTCCCTTTAACTAATCGACTGCGTACTGCAAAGGCAAAAGACACCAGGGTTGCTCAATCTATGGTTGCTGGACTGGAATACCACACACAAAGATTAAGTCATCATTCTATCGTGGATTACTATCCGCTCGTGTGGAGATATCATGGTCTGTTAATTGTGACAAACGAAGACTCTTCGCCCGACTTCGATCCTTCAAGACATCGCGAAAATGTTTGAGGTTTTCCTGATGTTTTTCGGGCTTTATTATGCCGCTTATAAGACTCCTTGCGGTTGCCGTAGTGCTTTTTGTAAGATTTCTCGCGACACTCTGAGCCCACTCATTTTTAGGACTTGTATAGCACCTAATTGTATATGCCCCAACTTGCTTCCCTGCATGGGAGGTATTGGACTATCCCGGCCGTCCATGGTCTTTGTTAACGCTGGGCGTCGTGTGAAGCTAATGAGGTTTGCAGCAACGAAGACTTGCTCCGTCCCGAGTCGACCACTGATGCACAAGGTGCAACCATTCTCCTTGTGAGTCTATCAGGTCAATGCTTGCACTACTAGAAAAAACAAGTCGCGATATAATATCGACGCAGTATGCGAAGTGCTTCGGATTGGAAACTGTCTAATCGGAGCGCAAAAGGTAAGTATTGGGAATCTCGCGCAAACAGGCTTTCGCCGAGCGTAAACTTGAGTAGTCCCAGATTTTGTCTTCCATGTAGCCAGCGGCGCTGTTGATTGTTGATTAAGCTCGAAAGATAAAGCTCGTCACTATCCCTGATTTTGGTCACCATCCTCATTCCCCGAGGACCGTGCAATTGGTCCTTCATCTGGTCCTTCATCATATTCCAGAGCTGAAGCAACCTTAGGCGATTCCTTCTTATGTTCGGTATTGGTTGACTTGTCCAGTACAGCGAGCTTCTCCAAGTGCCTTCCGAGACGTCATGAACCTTAGCATTGAGTCCACTATTGTGAAGAGTCATTTTGTTTCATCGGCAATGGATGTTCCTCAGTAGGCTTTTTCTCCACTCGTGAGCTCACAGCAAGAACGGAAACACTCGCCATTGAACAGTTTTATGGTGGTAATAGTTCCCACACCTAACAAAGGATTGGTCTCTTAGTATCTGACCCTTCCACTCCGACAACTCCGACGTTAAGATACATGGGGAATACTAGACGCCAAAGTTGACGTGTATGCATCTGGAGGGAGAAAGCACAGGGTACGAAATACTTCAACCAGCAAAAATAGGCATGCGAGCACATAGAACAACAAAGGAAAGCTGATACTAACTCCCATAAGTAAAACTCCCACTAATGTTGTCGATATCATCAATTCTGCTGGTATAGCCCCAGTCTACAAAGCGAACCGGAATATTAACATGCCAGTAGCAAATATAAGGCAAACCCAGAGAATGCACAAGAAAAAAACAAGTGTACAGAATAAGCTTGCCACTTGCCACAGTCTCTGTTCTAGCCTCGAAGGGAATTCGAATCTCCAGGCAGCGATGTGGATGCCTCCAAACACCAAGCTGCCCAGCAACAGTCCATACATTTCACCTCCCCCTTGATTACGGGTATAATAGTTCGGAATTGGTAAGCCCAGGGTGCTGGACGGAGCCCGTAACGTCAACAGAGAAGTGAACTGCTTGAGCCGTTTTATGGTACCGGCGAGATTGCCAATACTTGTATGTGCAGGGTCTTTTAGCATCTTGAGCTTCTCCAACATGTTGTTTGGAATCTCTCCAGAATAACTGACTATGGTGATTGGGGTTTGAACACCTTTTGGCTTATCCCAGTTGAGGGCGTATATAATGATAGCACATGCCGAAAATGCAAGGACCCCGATATCCAGCTGAGAGACCGCGAGATGCTGCAACACCCGAATAATGATTAAAATGGGAACCCAGAGGATTTGTACAATAGAGATCGTGCGGACGAATGCATCGCCTTTGCTTTTATCGTTAATTTCGTTGATGGTTACTTATGGTAGCTTGGACAACAACTCGACTCTCCTAAGTTCGATAATATCAGGTCCTGTGAGATGGAACAGCTTGCTGTGTTTTGGTACAACATTACCCTCTTCTTCCGGGGCTCGGTTTTTGGTTTCTGTATCTCCTGTCTTCGAGTTACTGCATGGGACAGGCGTCACCTCAGATGCCGTCAGCCCACTAGGTTGAGCCCGAAGCACACTGTCCCTTGGTGGCACCGCCGTAGGAAGAATTTCCTCCTGCGTTTCTTGAGCATCGGGTCGATCACTGCAACTCCTGATTACAAAACCACCCATATTTGCAAATAGGCAATGCGTCAAAGTCCATGGAACTCCATCTTCAGAAGTAAGGTCCTTGAACCTGGCCAGGTCATACCTCGCGTCCTGTAGATCTCCCCACGCCTTGGCAAGTAGTAACTCTGGTGCAAGAATCGTTGCCAACATCCACTCCGTACCAGTCCAAGCACCCTTTAACATCCATTTGATGTCGCCCCACAAGCCGGGATCGCGGCCCTCTCGTTGTTCGGGAACATTGAAGTGCTGAACCGTCCAAGTGCATGCAACTATCGTGAAGAGACAGCTCCAAAGAATGTCCAGCGTTCCTCGGCCGTCCGGCGACGAGACAAAGTTATAGGGAGCCAAAGGTGCAGTACATTTTGTGTCAAATGTTGTATAAGCCCGTGTGACGGCCACGAGGCTGAGCAGCACAAGTGTGCATCCCATTTATTTTCTTGCAATGTCCGGTAAATAGATTCTGATTTGGAGATAGCGTATTGCTAAAAAAGTAGAGCAGATCCACAGAGCATTTAGATAGAAGGAGAAAAGCAGAAGAGCCAGAGCTGGAAATCCCAAAGTAAATAGCCACTTGATCGGGCGAAATGCCCTTGGACCTCGTATAGATGGCTTCAAAATAATCGAGATGCGATTAGTTGTGGCTGGACGACGGGAATAGCAGACCAAATAAGATGGAGCAACGCATGTGCGCGGTGTGAAGTTTAGGCTAAGCTGCATCTAGACTTTGCCTTCCAGCTATCCGGCGTGGAGGGATGCTGAGCGCATAGGCTTGATGATTGCCGCATGAAAACCAATCATAGTTAGCCAATCAGCAGGTTCGGCTTTAGATGGTGAAGGCCGATGAGGTTCGACTTCGATTGTGCTGAAGGATTTCATTTTCAGTGTTCGAACGAGAGGTCTCAAAGGCTTAGATGTTTACCCCGCACCAAACAGGGCGGAGTAAACGCATAAGACGCCATAATCATCGTTGGGCGCACCCACTGCCGCTACTGAGACTTCTCCGACGTCCATCAGCAAGCTAGTCCCTGAATGGAGGAAGCGTCCGGATTGTATAGTTGGTGGCGTAAGCGTGCATTGCTCTAGTTGGCCATAGACTCAGCCACTTTCAATGTTCGTATCGTGTTACGACTTTGTGCCGAAGTTTGTCATACTTTCAAAAGTTCGCATTCTTGCGAATTCACAAGGCAAACAAGCCTCGTATCGTCTCAGGCGAGTGACCACTCGAGCCCGCCGGACTTGTTGACAAGGGTTCTGGTATGACGGGGCTTGGTCTCCATTATACGCGACGTTGCGAATTAAGTTCAAGTGCCCTCTTCTTGACATAGCTAAGCAATTATTCACTACTGCTGTGCTTAACGATTCGATTGAGGCAAGAGAGTTTCATCGAGCTTTCCTCGTGGGACAGATTCCAAGAGTCAATCTCCTCCTTCAGCATGCGACAATGTTTGGTCAAACCTCTTGTGAGGGATGATCCTTGACTTCGAGCCTTCATCGATCGATTTCTTCAACAGCCGTACTCTCCTCAATCTGCACAGACAGCCCTCGCAGCTACACCGAATGACATCAGCATCCAGCAGCACTACCTCATGGCACTTGTGACCGAATGTGGGAATAGCTATGTCGCAACACGTGGCCCATTGCAGCTGAGCAAGGCTGTCAGCGTCTGGCGCTTACTGTGCGATGTTGGTGCTAGGAATGTCTAGGTCTCTGCTTCTTCAAGGTGGATATGAAAGCTATTGGTCTCAAGATACGATCTAACAGAGAATCCTGAGGATCTCGCGGAGGCTGTAGGCTATTTTCGGGAATCCCTTGCTCTTGCTGAGCGACGGAAAGATCGGGTACAATCAATCAAAAAACTACTCTTCGCACTCTGTATGAAAGCTCGCATACCGGGCGAGGAGAACAGCCTCGATAATGCAATCAATATTCTGAAGGATCCATCATCCGCGATACTAAGGAAAGGTGGGGATAATGGTCAATTTCTGGTCGGAGTCATAACATATGACAGCGACGCTTGCAAGGAATCCAAAACCCCAACGGCTTCACGCAGTCCTTGAAATTATCAAGAGAGAATCGACTAGAGGCCGCAACAGAGTCGACTATCTTCCCGAAGAACATTAGCCGCGTTATATAACGAAGGAATCGCTTATGCTGATCAATATCAAAGGCTCGAACGAACATTCGAATACGAGTCTGAGACTACTTAACGAGATAGAAAAGGGCCGAGACTGGTGTACTCACTTAGTTTCTGTACCACATCAGCAGCAGGCGACACCTGAGGTACTCAAGGACTACTACTTTCAAAGTAATAGGAGATGGCTAGATATCGCTCTAATACTTAGATACTAGGTACTTTTCTAATATTTTCGGATATTTTTTAAACCACTATTAATTCTAGCTAATTATGAATAAAGGAATAATAATGATCTTGGCATGATAAATCGCCAAGATTGACCGATGAGCTCTAATATTAAAACAGAAATTTCAATTTCTTCTCTTCCATAACATTGATCCAATGAAATGACTGTCCTATTCCAATTACACTGGCGGAAGAAGTTCTATCCTCTCGTGACCACACCTCCTGTAGAATATCGGTGACTTTTCGTATGCTTTCAAGGCCGATGATCTGCTGTAGGTATACAAGACGGCTGTAGACAAAGAACCTCTCGGTTGTAGTAGACGTGGAGCTGCCGGACTGACTTTTAGGACCCAGGTTTCCGATGGATTCAATCGCTGTAGACTCGTCCCAGTATATACCCTCCTCTAAGGCAGAACTGAAGATAATCCCCCCTGTCGCGCGTAATAGACTTTCGTGGTTGGACGCACACACGTCATGTGGATATCCTGTTCTTCGACCAGGAAGAGCACTTCCGGCAATAAGCAGCAGGATAGGTTGAAGACACCTAGTATTTGAATCCTCCGGGATCGATCTGAGTATCTTCAGTATAGCCACAGATAATGCGGAAATTAACCCTGTGCAGCTGATATCCAGCTTGCCTGCGAAATCGAATATTCCATGCATATCTGGATAGTCCGTTCGTAAAAGGCGATCACGTACAGACCAAGGGTTGCAAATTGTTTCGAACGCGCGGTAAAGCTCCATAAGTGAGGCGAGCTTGCAACACCGCGCGATTCCTCTAAGATGATCCGTTGGAGTCCGCTCATCATGAGTGTGTGCATCACCTAAGGAGGTTGGAATGGTGTAAGACAAAATATCTTCCTCGAGTATTCGGGCTCGTTGTTCCAACAGCTTGACCTGAGCGTCCTTCCAGTGTTCATCTCCACCATCGCCGTTGGTTTGCTTTCGCAAGCAGTGAGCTCGTCTGCTTCTCGCAATGTTCCCAGATTTTGCTAAGAGGATCCAGAGAATTGTACTGATACCTGTCCACGGATGGAGATAGACCGTATCTGATGGTATCTTCTTGCAAGCGCTGTGCAGAAGATCAAGTTGTGTAAACTCCTGGTCCACTAGGAACGCAACAGCTGCTTCCCAGTATGCCTGTAGACCAAGATAAAAGCTTAGCTTAGACCAATTCACGGCCTCCCCCTCACCTGGCTCTTGGTACACCCATCGCTGGAAAAGTGCCCGCGAGCCAGCTAGATGTTCTAATCCCAGACCGTAAGACCCATGCCACGAGGTGGACATGCCTAGGAATATGACTCCAAGTAACACTTGTTCTTTGCGATCTTCTGGCAGTGCCACCGAGCTAGCAACAAACTCCGACAACTGGCTGGTAAGTATAGAAATAGCCTCCGTAAGATACTCCAAACTATCAAGCGACCAGGATAGGCGAGTCTGACGCAGATGTGCAGCGGACATACTCAATATGCAGAAGTAGATAAGGCGTGAAGAAGTCATCAAACCAAGAATTTGTGTGCGCAGTGGGTTGGTAAACGAGTCATAGCAGGAATTTATCACACACACAGATCCAAAATAGTGCCACACAAGCTCCATTTGCGTATTGACAAGGGGTTGAAAAACATTAGTAGCTGGGTACCTATTGGGTGACGAGCTGACGAGTTCGGTAACGTCAACTGTGCTAGGAGGCAGCATGCCCTGTGGGAACACTGTCAAGCCCGAGTCTGGTATGATGAAAGTGTCGCAGGACTCCGGAATTGAGCCTCTGATTGTATTGCTTCCTGAATAATCTCCGGATGAAATCATGACGCACGGGTCGCATGCGGAGCGGGGATTTCGAGTACGAGATCTGATCGAAATCGGTATTGGCAAGGTCTTCAAAGCTGTAGCCGATTCAGGCTGAGGCTGTACCAAGCATAAGCCATTATCACATTGCTCGCTTAGCAGCCCGGGTATTTGATGTTTGACTTTCCACTGTATCTTCATACGATATCCAGGACATGTCCATCTTCGTGAGAGGCAATTCCAACATGCAGGAACCCCCTTGTCACATTTTATGCGACGTTCTTTGCACTTTGAACAGCCGGCTTGATTGGTCAGTATCCAGCCAGGTGTAGACCATACGATTGTGAGAACATACATCTTGAATTCTGGCGTACAATAGGCTTCCACCGTGATGCCATCAAATTACTCTGAGGTTTAGGATATCTCGATAATGCACTTAGCCGGTAGTATATCGTCGAATCGATCTTGGTGGCAAGGAGTTCTTTCTCATTACGAATTATTAGATGGAGTCCGAAGTTACAAGAAGTAGAGTTTCGTCTCTTATCAGCTTATTCGTAGTTTACCAGAGCACAAGCCCTTAGCACTAGGTGGCTACTTTAGCCTTTTTTGGATTACCTCGGGACGAAAGCTAATGTTGCAGATAAGCTCGATCCAAAGCGGGCCATCGACCAGTAAAATTGGCTCGATTTGAGATTGGTTACCGATTACTTTAGCCAACAGGGATCTTATCGTGCAGGCGAAATATACGAAGTATTCTACAGAGTAGCTATCCGTAGGTTCTAAGAACTAATTCCGGTGGGCTTAAGCGCATGACGTGAGTACATTCTCTGGCAGCCAGCTCTCAGTATTATTCACCACTCTGCCACTTTGTCGACGGAGGAAGAGCAGGCTGCTAGACGGTTACAAAATCTAACATCAGAGTTGCTGTTCTCAGTTCTCACCCTTGCCGGCCATAGTTCCTTCTTTGCCTCTTGTTCATTTTGATGGTGCTCAACGACGGCTTCTCTAACAAGTTTCTGGAAGTGTAGCACACCCTTCTCTGCAACAGGTTGGAGCTCCCCGGCGTTATATACACCGTTGTTCAGATTAATTTGAGCGCCAACGCATAGCTCCTTGTCCTCATCCTCGACTTGTTTGAAGAATTTATCCATTGCTTCAAACTGCTCTTGTGTCGCAGCCTTGTGTCGGTATACGTCGTACTTCATTACCGACGTAGTGGGACCCGTGGGACATACGCTCATGTGGTACCAATAGTGAGCTCTGGAAAGTCGTTAATTATGTGAGATTGAACCAACAGATTTTGGGGGTACATACGTGATGCTGACAGCCGCATTGGGGAAAAAGCTACTGGGTGCATAAGAATTGGTGCTTTTCCCAGGCTTGTCCTTTACAAAGTGTAGAATTTCGGCTTTATCCGTTTCAACATAGTATTTGCTAAGGTCGCAGTTCTCAACAAACAGTGGATGGGTTGTCGGACAATGGTAACACTTTGGTTTGAGGTTAGCGTTGCAGTAGAAGCCTCGTTGGAAGAAATTTGTGAAGTACCTCGTTGTAGTTGTCGAGGCTCGCTTTCCAGTTATATGCTCCTTTAATCGACCAGGAATGATCGTATATATAATCATCCATCTTGAATTCCGCCAACCGTGACCGGGTATCACTTCCCTCGAGGATTGACTCCCAAGATTGACTTGGTGTTTCAGAGGCTTCCAGGTTCACCCAGATAAAGCCTCGTGCATCTGTTCTCACATGGATTGGGAAAAGACCGTTTTCCTCCTTACGGAAATTCTCCACGTCCTGGAATTGTGGCGCTTTTGCAAGCTTGCCATTCAGACCGTAGGACCAACCTGAAGTATTGTTGTCAGTCCATGATCAGCAAAGAATTGAAGCCTCTTACCATGATAATAGCATGCGAGGATGCTTTTCGTCCCTGCTTCATCGGCCTCTGGTCTAATAACAGGATATGCACGATGTCGACAGACATTATGAAAGCCCCGGATATTCCTTTCACGGTCCATTATAAGAAAAAATGGTAGACCAGCGATATCATAGCGCACATAGTCACCGGGTTTATTAAAGCGGTTTTTGTGCGCTACAAACATCCAAGATTTGGAAAATATTGCTCGTTTTTCGAGCTTGTATAGATCGGGGGACCGATACCAGCTCGATGGCAGAGCACTATTCTCATTTCGTGTGACTGTGGTGGTTGATGTCGCCATTTTGTGAAAAGGATGCACTATATGAAGAATGCGGTTTCAGCGATAGCTACTATAAGTTGAATCTTTCCGTCAATCCGTACGCGAAGTTCTGATGTTTTATAACCCGTCGCCAACAACAACCCACCTATCCTATTCAGCTTGTCGATTGCATTACAGAATGATCGACGAAAGACGGCACATTGACGGACCAATCGAACGAAACTTCCTTAAGTAGTTTAGCGTACTACTGATCACCCCTCTGGCCTGCCACCTACATAATTAAATCCACCAATAAACTTCGAATAACTCTTCTTGACAACTATTGTGATTCACCTTCAGCAGAGCTTCTGATTATACGGTATGATATCTTGCCGCACGGTCATAGACTCATTTCTTATCTCGGCAGTGGAAAATATTACTTGTTGTGGCTCCTGGAGCCCTAGTCGACGGTCGTATCATAAAGTTGTTTTGCCGCATTAGCATTCCGCGATGCCCATTGCTGTCTAAACAAATACTTCAATCAGCATGAAATTCCGTTGCTAACGGTATTCTGCAATGTTTTCCTGGGCGCTAGTTTCTCAAACTATAAGAGTCAGTGACATTTCGCTCAAATTCAAGGTTAAGTACTTGATGTAGGAGTAAATCCAGCACTCTTCCTGTCATCCTTGGTATCACAAGACCACCCCCACCGTGAATCATCTGGCCAACCTGTTCAGCATGCAATCCTCCATATTCAAACAAACCCCTGACCAACACTCCCACTCCATCGACCAATGTTCGAAGCGAATAGCGAGCATTCATTCGCATGACGCTGGTAAGAAAAGTCAGGAAGAACCTAAGGTTGATATTGCAAATGGCCAATTGTCAAATCTTGGATACCAGGCCGAATTGATAAGATCAAGGTCTACCTGGCAGGTTGCCTTCATGTCATTTGTTCTGGCCTCTGTTCCTTACAGCATGTCCACAACCTTGTACTATCCTCTAATTGGCGGCGGACCTGTGTCCGTTATTTGGGGGTGGTTCACAGTTTGCCTAATAATGTTATGCGTGGCAATCTCACTTGGAGAAATCACTTCGATATACCCTACCGCAGGTGGCGTATATTACCAGACATTTATGGTGTCACCTACTTGGTGCCGTAACATTACCGCATGGTTCTGTGGTTGGTGCTACGTCTTGGGTACTATCACCATAACCTTAGCTGTCAGCTTTGGTACTACTCTCTTGCTCGTTGGGTGTATCAACATCTTCATCGACGAACAGGGTGTTGCCATCTTTCAGCCCGAGAAATACGAAGTTTTCCTTATATTTGTTGCCATTACCCTGCTGAGCACCGCCATATCGTCCTTGGGCAACAAATGGCTCCCATTTCTGGACGTATGTTGCCATACCATTCTCCATATACCTGAATTAGTGTCGTCCTTATAGGAGAGTTCTTCGAAACTAACAACATCATAGGCTATAACAGTGGCTTCTACTGTGACGGCTGTCATGATCATAACAACCTGTGTACTCGTCATTGCGAAGAATGGTCGCAATAGTGCCAGCTATGTTTTTACGTCTTTCGAACCTTCGACGGGGTGGACCCCTGGTTGGTCATTTGTTATCGGGTTGCTGCAAGGAGCCTATGTTACCTCTGCGACCGGAATGGTTATCTCGTAAGCAGGCCGTCTACCGATTGCCTTGAATCAACAGAACATTTCTCTGACCTGTTTCCAGAATATGTGAGGAGGTAAAAGAGCCTGCGACACAACTTCCAAAAGCCATGATTGGTATGATTGGCATGAACTTTATCTGTGGTCTTCTTTTCCTCGTTCCCTTGCTGTTTGTACTTCCAGATATCGCCGAAGTACTAGCATCCCCATCTGGTCAGCCATTACCAGTCATCATTTATTCCGCGGTAGGACATCAAGCAGGGGCTTTTGCGCTTACGATTCCCATTATTGTTCTTGGGTTACTCTGCGGCGTGAGTTGCACTACTGCAGCCTCTCGATGCACCTGGGCTTTCGCTCGAGACGGAGCGATTCCTGGCTCAAAGTTGTGGAAGCAGGTGAACGGAGTACTTCATGTGCCGCTAAATGCTATGTTTCTTAGTATGGGAATTCAACTCCTGCTAGGCTTCATTTACTTTGGCTCCAACACCGCATTCAACGCCTTCAGCGGCGTAGGAGTTATCTTTTTAACTATTAGCTATACTATGCCAATCTTTCTTTCGCTTGTTGGAAAGCGTAAGAGATTACACGCGGCACCACTCAATCTCGGCAAATTCGGCATCGCCTGCAATGTTATCGCAGTTGGTAAGTCATAACCCTGCTCTTTTGGATATCTGGACATAGCTAATGCGTACATAGCCTGGTGTTTACTTATTATTCCAACGTTCAGTATGCCGGTAGCGCTTCCTGTAGCCGGGAATACAATGAACTACGCATCAGTCGTCTTCCTGGGAGGTAACATTATTTCGGCAGTATGGTATTTTACATGGGGCCGAGAGAACTATCTAGGTCCGCCCATAACTACTGATTAGGGATCTCATCTTCGTGAAGTTTAGGCGCAACACGAGCAGCGTAGTTGATTAAGTCGACTCTTCCTTCCCATTCGAGTAAACGAGCCTTGTTCTTTGGAGTGAGCCACGACTACTGATTAAGTACTGGGTAAAAGATGGAGAGATTGACTTGATGCATCAAGAAAAAGTGCATCTTCACCTCCTTGGGCGTGTGTTGTGCTGCTCCAGCCGCGAAAGCGTTCACATTGTACATCTCGGCTGTTTGATAGCGAGGTCCTCAGGGTTGACTTGCCATTTAGCCGCGATGTCGATGAGCTTCTGTGGTGCATTGGCCAAAATATCATCGCCAAGGTATCACCCCCACGCCAGTGTTGCTTATATCAGAGCTCAGGGTGCTGTCTTAGTTCATTAAAGAGCTCAACCAGTTTTGCTTCTTTCTCTGAAGGCGCCTCGCGTGCTCTCCGCTCATCTCCGATGAAGAATTCAGAAGTGAAACCCGTATGCTTCAAGCGATTATACTACCTAGTCGATACTTATTTCCCTAAGCGCCAGCATCGAATGAAGTCAGGGATGCCAATCGTATCCCTACCTATAACAACAAAAGGATAACCTAGTGGCATTTAGTGAATATGTCTTAGGGAAACGTTCCTCGTTTCCAGGGGAAGGGGATCCTTCTTGCGACGTGCAAATCATGTGTTGGGTGGTGCGCAGCTGCAGTCGTCTGCTTCCTACGACTTGGGTGGTCACTCAAACGGCTTTTACATCCGGTAGTGCTGAAGTAACTTCGCTTACCAGTGATTGACGAGCGCTTCGACACCCGTTGAACGCCCGTGACATTAGCTAGTGCACAAGCCGAATATATGCAGCGTATATCATCTGTTTCTTGACACAGGCTTTGATAATACCTTCTTTCCATACTGTGTTCATCCGACAGTCATTCAGCGATTGAATGAAATCCTAGTTGTTAAAAGAACTGGTTTTAATTCCAGTAGCTTAAGACCTTCTCGACGGCAGATGAATTTTATTGGTGAATAATAACGAGACTCTAAAATAAATATGGGCTGCGAGAAGAGGGAATTGAAGGTAGAGTCCTTCATGCTTTATTATGCGAAGAGGGTATGACTAAGGAGGCACAACACATCTCTCCTACTTTCAATTTTCAAAATTCCCATGCACATTGAAGTTTACGCCTCACCCACTCTTCCATTGACAAGCAGGGTGCTCCTGACAACGATGGGTCGATCGCCGACGTCAGAATCTTGGCACCTGTAGTTCTTTCCCTAGAAGGTTCATGCACAACTCTCGGATTAGGGTCTGGTGGACTGAAGAGCCCCTCCATGTACTTGCTACCAATCCTAGCGTCTTGAAGTGTAATTGTCGACACCCCTATATGATATTTCACTTGAGTAGACAAGGACCCACTAACCTTGTCAACAAACAAATTATCCTTCTGTGCAATCATTCTCAAGTTGTGAAGGATCGCACAGATATCTATACACCTACTACCAATCCTCAAAAGCTGTCAGTCATGGCCGAAAGAGGATGCTGCTTGCTGAACGCAATCAAAAACAAGAATTTGTTACTGTGGCAAATGACTCCTTTACTGATGCTACAGAAGGTATATAAGATAGTGCTCAGAAGTTGGGTTAAAGTCAATCGATATCCATCTTCCAAGTTGTTTACTAACTCAGTCACTCTTTCTTGTTTGTGTTTTGTTATTCTGAACCGAAGTCACTCTTTTCCATAGCTATGAAGTGGTCTAAGTCGGCCATCAATACGGCCGCATTGGCTCTACTTGGAGCCGAGACAACGTTGGGCGACGTCTTGACCGTTGTTGACCCTTGCCCGAATGTCCCCAGCATCAAGATCTCTCCCGTAACTGTTACTGCTCAGTATCAGACCGTGCCTACCTGTTCACCGACGACCGCTTGCGTCAAGGCCATATGTGAGACGAAGTATCCCTGGACGACCTACACGTATGTTTCCACCGTGGTGCCTCACGCCTGGGATGGTACAATTGCGCAACAAACTACCGTCACCGATGTTACGCAACCCTTCAGGGTTTCTCAGCACTTTGAAATACTCGCTCAGGTCACTACGGCTCCATCTGCTGGTAACCATACTTGGATTGACTGGTTCAGAGGGAAAGGTCACTCCACTGAAAGCACTACTATCTACGAAACTGTGACAAGAAGGGCTATAGCCCCGTATAACGAGGTTGGACCTCTAGCAATTCCCGGCTGGGAGGGCAGTGGTTTATGCAAGAAGTGTGAACAGGAAGCGGATTTTGGTCGTTCGCAGCTCCTAGATGTCGTCGAATGTCGGTCTGGAGTCAACGCAGAAGGAAAGCCTTATCAAAAGTGTGCTGAGTGGTATGAAACCTTGATCGAGCGACCTGCACCCACTTCGACCGTCACTGCAAAAGCTCAGTGCTTCAGCAAGGGCAACATTCCAAAAGCAGGGCTATACACCTGGACATTCCCCCAAGTTGTTCCTCCAATTACAATTACTGCTCCACCAGCTACAATCACCGTCACTGTGGGTGGCCGACCATCGCTGCAGGTCCTACCACAAAAGATTAATGTGATAAGCGGCAAGAAGTGGGATGCAATCGTCACCAAGTCCTTCTCCGGTGCAACGACTTTCGATTTCAACATCCATATCACCAAAGTCATAATCTTCAACGTCCCACGTTTCACCCAGCCAGCGCACAGCACTCGCCCTGTTCCAATCCCAACCGGGAAAGATAGCCACAAAGGAGGAGATCATTGGCCACTTCCGGACCGTCATGATCCCAAAGGTCAGAGTCAAGCATGGGAGGACTGGAATATTGCGACCTCGCACACACCTACCGTTTCTCCCAGTGGCCAGAGTACTACATCCGCGTCCTCATACGGCGTCAGTCCTACCATTACGAGCACAACCACATCGACTTCGTCCTTTGGAGTAGGACCAATTGCTGGCAGCTCGACCTCTTCCTCCTCTGTCTCATCTGCTTCTTCAACTAGCAGCACAACGTCGACTGGCACCCTTACTACCGCCATCCCAACGACAGGAACGGGCTTTTATCTACAAATCAGCGCGACTGCTATAGTACCGCGTAAGAGACAGAACATCGTGCAGTATCTGGGCTTTGATGCCAACAACAACGGTATCGTGGTCAATAGCATAGCTGCTGCTGCATTGGTCTTCCAAGCGGACAACAATCTTTTTGTTTCTGGAGGCTTTTACATTGGCACATCGACTACATTCTACTCTCCACTCCAGCGCCTCTTGACACTTCCATTAGGTCTCCGTTTCTGGGACTTTGTGGGTGGGCTCGTTCAAGGGATCATTCAGAGGATTGCTTTGTTACGAGGCATATCAGGCTTCTGCTTAAATTCGGACGGAACCATCAGCATATATACTGCAGCCGACACCTGTGCTAACCCGATCTCTCTCGTTCCCTTTGGTACGTTGTCTAGAAAATTGTGAAGCTCTTTGCTAACCATAAAATAGATCCCTTTGCAACAAGTTCGACTTCCTCAACCAGCACTGCGAGTAGTACGGCGAGCACCTCGACAGCCAACACTGTTAGTAGTACCGGAAGCACCTCGACAGCGAACACTGTTAGTAGTACCGCAAGTACCTCGACGGCTACCACTTCGAGCAGTGTTGCAAGTACCTCAACTGTTGGAACTTCCAGCGGTACGGGAAGTTCTTCGATTTTGTCAACAGCGAGCAGCGCGGTTGCGCCAGTTGGTGGGCCAACGACTGGAGTACCGGCATCGTCCAGCGGAACTTCCTCCAGGTCCTCAAGCACCGGAATTGCTGCATCATCACCATCTAGCTCGGCTGTGGGCCCAATTGGTGACTCAGTAACCTCGACAAGCGCATCATCAGGGACATCGACGGGCTCATCGGTCGGCACTTCGACTGGATCATCATCAAGAACATCAACAGGAACATCGACAGGCTCATTGGTCAGTACTTCGACCGGACCATCTTCAAGAACGTCAACAGGATCATTAGCAGGGACATCTACATCCACGCTGTCATCATCATTGTCCTCCGCTTCAACGGCTCGTTCTTCCATTGGTCCTATTGATGGCTCAGCAACGTCTTCAAACTCAGCATCTACAGGAGCCGTATCTTCGCCCACATCCGCTTCGTCCTTGGCCACAGCCACATCTACTACAGTTTCGGCTGCTTTGACAACCACTTCACCCACTATACCAATCTGTAACCTGAATGTCAACATCTGTTTGAACTCTCAGCTGATCACCGCCAATACAGTCAGTTCTCAGGCCTGCCCGCTTCTTGGTGGCCTTCTTTGCAGTGTTAACCAGCTATTGAACCTTGTACCAACACTTCTTGGCACACCTGACGTGCTCTCAGTCCTGGTCGGAGGCAACCAGATCCTTGGCCTAAGGATCACTCCACAGCAAGTTCAAGCAGCTATCAACGCCGGACAGTTGAATTCTGTATGTAATGTTTTGCAGACTGTCAGCCTCGTCTTGAGCGACCCGACATGCCCCATACAATCGACAACAGGAGCAACTTCTTCGACGGTAACCAGCCTCACATCCATAGGTATATCGATTGCAAGCTCCACATCAACGTTAAGCACCTTGTCTACTGTGCCAGCAAACCAAGCATCTAGCACAAGTAGCATTACGAGCACTAGCGCTACACGCGCGAGCACCGTGAGTGTCGTTACCACAACAAACAGAGTGGCTACTACCACGTCAGGTGGTGCCATTACTACGACAACTTCAGCGGCTGCTCAACCTTCGTGCGGAGTTGCTCTCACCCTCTGTCTCGGCCAAACCCTCAACGAAGTTGGACTTTCAAGAGTAACTTGTAGCACGGGTATTGCAGGACTCCTCTGTACTCTGGGCCAAGTTGTTACGTCTGCATTGAATGCTTGTGTTGGTAATTGTCAGGTGATTGGCCGGACTGGTGTTGCTGGTATCAATCTCGATGCCCTGACAGGTCTCTCGTCCATCCAGTCTATTCAAGCTGCCATTAACGCCTACCCTCTCTGTCTCCCTGGTGGTTCTACTATCACCTTGAGCGAACCAAGTTGCCCGATACAACTACTGTAACGGGACAACTCGAGTAAAAGCGAAGCGCATCATGGCTTGATAGAATGTGCAACTTCTAGAGCGGTGCGTTATTCAACTTCTTATAATTATTCTTTTTTAAATGTCGACATGGATAGTAGTCACTGTCTGGACAGATTTAAAGTTATATACAACTATTAATTAATTCGATGAACAAGAAGTCTTTAACAAGTTTTACTGTATACTTACAATGTTTTTCTTGTACTAATAATAAATTCAAGAGCACAAAAGGATCAACAAAAGATAAAAAATCCTGCCTCTAATATACACATTGCCATGCCTTCCCTCTCGTCCTCGTCTATCGACGGATGCTGCATAGTCGCCTAAATGAGAAACTCGATTTCTCTTTTCGACCTTGTAGCCACATTTTTGCTATACCTGAGTCGAAATTCTCAGTAGACTTCTCGCTAAAACTGGAAACATTGACGAATCCTGTCTTTAACCAAGCTTTTTCTTGAGATCTCAGCATTTTTGAAGTTTCTTTCTTTCGATTGCACTTTTCGGCGTGGGAGCCTTGAAAATTTTGCCCGTGTTGACAATAATGCTGGTGCAAGTCTTCTGCGGTTTTAAACACCGTGCCACACCACCAGACCACGCAAATATGGCATTTCAAGGGCGAAGACTTCTGGTCTAGACGTTGCAATCGATGGCCTAATGTGGTAGGTGTATCAGTAATGGAGGTAAAGAAACATTGAATCTCTGACATCGAAGTAGGTGTAGCCGCTGATATGTGTTTTGGTATCTGTAATCCTTTCCACAGTTCGACCACGATCGAGTTTTGCTGACCTAACTGCCTGTTCGGTCCGATATATGATATAGTCATTTGGTTTTCATCAAATTCCATTTTCAGTTTAAGCTTCTGGAGTGTCTCTTCTTGGTTCGAAATTCTTTTTCCAGTCGAAAGATCCTTGATGAACCATTGTTCATGGAAGCCTATGTAGGCCGCCTCTGCCTCGACTGTAGAGTGGAAATCTTCTGACAAAACTTCTATCGGTAAGCAGCCTGTAATCGGCGTGATTAATGGAATAGGTGGTTGGCTGTTCTGTGCGAACTGGCGCCTGGGCAAGTCCTTCTCGCTCTCGTCGACTACGAAGAACTCCTTCACGAATTCCACAAACCTGTCGACATCTTCTCTCGTGGTAATTGGAGCCAGGCTAATTCTTATGATGCCAGTCGGCTTACCGCCAATAACATCCAAGGAATTCCCACAGCTCATCCCTTGCATGAAGTTTCTTTTCATTTCCCAGGAATCTAGGTCCAACATGGCTTCAATGCCGCCAGGGTTACAAACCCCACCTGTTCGAAGCTGAATACCAGCGGCGATTGCGAGTGCTTCAAAGCGAGATTTGCCAATAATCTTGCCCAAATGTGAGCGTATGCTAAAGGAGATTATGGGTCCTTGTGTGCGAGCGTCTCCAAATTGCGCATGGGGAGACTTGTAGATCTGCAATACTCTCACCCCGTTGTAATGGGTTAGGTTGGAGAGCCTCTTATACCCGTGTTCTGTGAGATGAGAAGCCCAATCAGAACATTGTGATGGGGTGCCGAACAGTCTATTATGTGTGTCCATAGCATGGTGAAGAGCGACAATATTATGGAAAGGAAGTGTGCCATCCTCGAGAGCTTCGTGGATCTCGCTTCGATGCAACTGGTGCCATGAATCTCCAATCGCTGTCACCATCTCCACAGTACCACCACCAAAGTATTTTCGCGAAAGAAGAAGATTACTGGACTCTTTTCGCACAATGAGAGCACCAAGATCAGGAAAGCCGAATATCTTGTAGAACGAGAGGGTGATGAAATCAGGGGCCTGGGTATGATCACTGAGGTCGAGGTTGCCGCTGGTGAGATATGAGGCAGCATCGAGGAGTGTGTACGTTGGAAATTTCTGCGAGGCTGTTTTGGCGCGGATTTTCCCACCCCAGTTTAGTGGGAGTCGATACCCCGTCATGTTAGATTGGGCTGGGTAGCCAAAAAGTCGGGGTATGGCTTCATCATTGATACCGGAATCAATCCAAGAATCAACCTCCTCTTTGGTGGCAAAACATCGATGTCCATGTGTAGCGAGCTCCCTGACTCCTACGAGGCTCGTATGTGCATCTGCGTGAAACCCATACCAGTACCCGTGATCTTGAAAGGCGTGTGAGACCAACTTGATGGCGGCAGTAGCGTTGGCGACGAAGATTAGATCGAAGTGCTTTGGATCTGCTTTAAATCGTTCCAATACAAGCCGTCGGACCTCGCTTACACGAGTTGTTGACAGTGCAGATGAGGGAGATGCAGAGTGCGGGTTGCCGAAAAGGTTGGTCGACATATCTTTGGCAAATGCATTTATGGTGGACGCCGGATAGAGGGTTGTGCCCGCATGGTCAAGGTATGTGGTGCCCGATAACTGAGGGTATTCCCGGTGCCTCATTTTCTTAAGATACGCATTATAGCCACCCGCGGAATTCTGCACGGCCATGGTGTGCTATATATGAGGAAATTAGACCTTTCTTGAGGGTCAAGTTTGCCGGTAGCGATACAAAAGTCTGATATTGTTATGGAAGGCCCAAAGACGGACATAATGTGATATTTAGGAGCCTTATATTATATTTAGGAGGACGGTCAATCCGGTATTGAGTTCTCAGACCGCACCAACTCACTAAGATTACAGACACTCCGCCCATTGTATGCACCTTTGAGCTAGCCACAATCCTGCAACTCATCTTACTGAAAACAGTTTATTTCAGCACCGGAGCCATTGCAGTTGTTCTTGATGGGTGCGTTTCGGCTGTACCGAATAAGACTTGCCCATTTGGGTGAGTGTGAAAGGGCCAAGTAGCACAGTGAGTGGATTTCGCTGCTTCCTGTGGGGTGGTTCACCCTCTGCTTTTACCGCCCACAGGACTTGAGCAGCTAAGCGGTGTCAGCGAAGGTAGATTCGAGTAGATAGCCAATGGCGCGTTCCATGGCAAAGGTATCTCGCCTCGAGCGGCGCCTAACAACTTCTAGACAAGGCTATTGGGCAGACGCTGCGGAAAACACTCCCTAGGCGAGATGGTTTACATAATATACGAGGTTTTGTTCAGGTTGCTGGTCAGAAGCCAGGCTCCGGATTAACCGAGTGGCCTTGGATTTAAGGTGGCTTGGCTGACGCAGCCGCTAAAGATTCAGCTTGACTTTTGCTGTTTGTTCTTATCTGTAGGTAGGCTACACTCACTGAATCAAAACTCCTAACTCGACTCCGTCTCTAAGTCGGCGTGCCCAGTGCATTCAATTCTCTGCTCAGGTTCAATTGGCGCCCTATTAAGTGCAATATTTAGTCAAAGCATCCTGTGATAGCGCTTAGGAAGCCCTCTTGCGTTTTATGCATGGGTCTTCTCATGAGCTGTCAGTTCTAGATATTTCGGCAATACAACGACTTCCCAGGTAATTCAAAGTTATGTGTTGAGTCTTGTTTCGAGATAGCGAATAGCCGGCCGATGTTCCTACAGTGCTTACGCGTCATGATTGTAAAAGAAATTCGACTTACCTTCTTGTAGCCTATTAAGTCATCAACCACTGGCCGGAGCAGATATCACTAAAAATGCTTAAATTAGTCATGTATCTCGTATCAAGCATGGCTAAACGATTTTCTAGTCTATATCGTGCAGTAGGCGTAGCTGAAAGCGACAAGGTTGTCTCTCGTGTTTCTGTCGCGACGGAAGCAGAGATACGTCCAAATAGATGTCAAAATTTTGAAATGGTCTGCCCCTAATCAATCGGAGATCTAGTCTAGCAGGCCCGTCCATCCTCATCCCCGCTAAGCCCTCGAATGGACAAATCAAGTTCACACGTTAAATCACCAGATGTCCTCGCTCACCCGCAGCCACGACGGCCAGTCCGACTACCTACCACAGCCATGATTAACTTCACGAGCACACCTATACGTGGCAGAGCCAATATTCCAGCCAGGTGATATCAATGGGCCTATCAACGTAGCCGCCATCGTCTAGTGGAAGCATGTTCTTCGTGTTTGTACGTCGGCACTCAGGCGTACTAGTCCCGACCCACTGATTTGCTTCCGCATTATGATAGGGCGGGCCAGGCAAGAAAGTGCTGCAGATCATGCCACATTCAGCCAGCCCTGAGGACCCCTTCCGTCTTGGACTTGCCATTCTCGGACCTCTGTACGAACGACCTCTGGAGCTCGTTTTCCCAAGGAGTCAGGACGCTGTTTTATTTACTATATGGTACTCGCCGTCTCTGTCGTTCTGCAAAGGGAAAAAAATCTATTCCACCGAATATTATTGCTGATCGAAGCCTCACAGATCTCGTGTGTTTCTCCCTCTTGTTCGAGTTCTATCCACTAAACGTGTAGGCAAATGGATCCTTCTTCAATCGAAGCCCCTCCAATGGAATCCAAAACTTGTGTTACCAAGGAACAGGATCTGGAGTGCGGACTGACTACCAATGCTCTCTTCGTCAACGATACAGTCCATACTCTGTCTTGGGAGAACCTTAGCGTTCATGTTGAGGATCGGAAGAGCAAAACGCCAAAAGCAATTTTGAGCTCGACCTTCGGCCATGTTGAGCCAGGAAAAGTTCTTGCACTCATGGGGCCCAGCGGATGTGGCAAGACTACTATGCTCAATGCTTTAGCTCATCGTCTTGTTTCCACCAAAATGAAATTGACTGGCACGATACATGTCAACGGTCAATCCACAACAGCTTCTAAGCTCAGTAATGTGGCAAGATACGTCGAGCAGGAAGATGCTCTAGTCGGAAGTTTGACTGTCAAAGAAACTGTGGATTTTGGAGCCCGTCTCGCCCTGTCTCAGTCTATTTCAAAGACTGAACGCAACCAGCGTGTTCACGATGCTCTTCAATCCTTCGGCATACTGGAGCAAGCGGACTCAGTCATCGGTACTCCCCTACGGAAAGGCATCTCAGGGGGGCAGAAGAAACGAGTTAGCGTTGCCAGTCAGCTTGTCACATCTCCGAAGATTCTGTTCCTAGATGAACCAACTTCGGGCCTTGACTCCGCAGCCTCTCGAGAAGTGATGTCTTACATCACTAGTCTCGCCAAAGAACTCAACTTAGTTGTTGTCATATCAATTCATCAACCCTCAACCACAACCTTTGAACTCCTCGATCAGATTATGCTTCTATCAGCTGGGAAGACTTGCTTCTTTGGTCCACGAGGTGACCTTGAATCATACTTTGACACAATCGGTTATCCAATCCCCCTCCACACGAACCCTGCTGAATTCTTACTCGATCTGGTCAATGTTGACTTCGCGAAAGACAGAAGTGCAGCTAAAGAACACCTTGAAAAAATTCACAACACTTGGGCTACTTCGAGCAAATCTCAAAATGTAAACCGGGAGGTGTTGTCACTCAGCCAAAACAATACAGGAACATTGCAAGTTGAGAATACAAGCAGGCCAAACATGGCCACTGTCACATGGACATTGCTTCACCGAGCATTCATCAAGTCCTACCGAGACATGATAGCATATCAGATTCGCATAGCCATGTATACAGCACTTGCTATTATGATGGGAACTGTCTGGTTGAGGCTTCCGTATGAACAGACGTCCATCCAGACGTGGATAAACGCCATATTCTTCAGTGGAGCTTTCATGTCATTCATGGCAGTGGCTTACATTCCTGCCTACGTGGAGGACTTGCAAATGTTTCGCAAAGAAAGAGCCAATGGGCTCTACGGCCCCTTTCCTTTCATGCTGGCAAACTTCCTTATCGGCATGCCCTATCTGTTTCTCATAACATTCTTGTTCAGTGTTATTGCTTATTGGCTAGCCAACTTTCGCCCGAGTGCGGGCGGCTTTTGGATGTTCACGTTATACCTATTCTTGGACCTGCTCGCCGCGGAAGGTCTTGTTATTCTTGTTACGAGCATCATGCCAATCTTTGTCGTAGCATTGGCTGTTACAGCATTCGCGAATGGTTTGTGGATGTGTGTCGGAGGCTTCCTTGTGCCCCCGGGGACTCTAAACGTCTTTTGGAAATGTAAGACCTTTTTCAATTATCACCCTTTACTTTCCTTCTCCAATTACCTCCGCTTACTTTAGCTCGAACAGATGTTTTCCATTACATTGACTATCAGGCCTGGGTCACGGAAGGCCTCATTATTAACCAATTCAAGACAACCATTTACGACTGCGCCCTTGGTAGTAATGGAAGCTATAACTGCATGTACCCGAGTGACTTGATGTCGGAGGGAAAGATCAGAGGTACTGTTGTTGTTGATGCATATAGGTACAGCAGCAACGACACCCATGGAAAATTAATTGGTATCATGGTGGGAATCATTGTTGCATATCGTGTGTTCGGCTTTGGTGTACTTGTACTCAAGAGATACTAAGCGCTTATAGGCGACTCGTGGAGTCCCTATGTAGCTTAAAATATTTATAATCTAAGACTTATGTGCCGAAACTTCGGAGAAATTCTAAACACTAAACTTCAAATAACAGAGTTGTGGAAGATAGTATCTTCCCAGAGGCTAGATCATCCCAGCCCTTCATGAAGCTGTTCATTCCGTCTCCAATCTTCAACGTTACGCCCGGTATAGCACCACCTTTCTTGAACACGTCCCAAGCACTATCCAGATCATTAAAGTAAGTAGTGGGTCCGATCACCTGGATTGCTCCGCTTCGTAATGCGATTGCGCTACACAAAGTGGCGCCCTTGTCGGGAAATGCTACAATGGTTTCGCGCATACCTTGGGAATTAGTAGGAGAGGTGCCAACCAGTAGACATCGGATAGATTCGACCCGACCATGAAGCTTGTTGGCCCAAGAAGCAGAAGCTATGCCCCGGGAACCGAAATCGATAATGACTACTTTACTCTTTGATCCGATGCTGGCCTCTCCAACAAGGGCGATAGGATCGTCAGAGTAGACGGCAACTTCGTCGTACCAACCAAACCCTTCCGTCAGTGATTTCGAGGCATCAGAACCCACTCCCACTAAGCGATGCGGCTGACAGTTCCTTGGTCTTAGAACTCTGCACTGCTGGGCGAATGCTGCAGCTGTCTTACTGGATGGTGCGAAGACTAACAGAATTGTGTCTTTGAGATCTGCATCGTCAACGCTCCAGGCGCCTAGTCCGTTGGGAGAAATAGGTGGATGGCCTTCCAAGTCCCAGGCCAACGCGAAGCGATTGATCAAGTAAGAAGTCTCAAAGAGCACCTTCATCGCCGCATCCCAGGCAAAATCGTTCGATGAGGACTCTGGATTATCACGGTAGATAAAATATCGGTTGTAGAGCTCTGAAAGATGTGCCCTGTGCTCCGTTGTTTCCATTATGTAGTTTGGCGAGTCGGACGCCTCTATTCGTTTGGTCACTGGCAGCGTCCCGATGGGAATGTAACCATAGATTTTGGTACCCTCTGGAACTAATGCAGTTGTGCTCTCGATTACGTGTCCGATGCCCCAGCAAGATATACGGCCGTATTTTTCAGGGTCGTTATACGGAGCCGGTGTCGTCGGTGGCAATGGATGGAAGTCCCACCATTTCACTAGATCTCCAAAACGAACGTAGGTAAAGTTGTTCGTCGTGAGGGAGAACAGAGTAGTTTGGACTCTAATAGATGACTCTGCTAATGGGAGAAGTGCCTCGGCTGGTAGTGTAACCAGATGGTGTTCTTTATAGTTGGACTTGTTGATTACTTGTATCTGAGCCATGTTTCGTGGAGAGAAACCTTGTACTGAAGGCTCAATAAAAAGGCGAGACTTTCTGAAGAATTGGGATTTACTGTAACTGCTGATTGCCAAAAAAGATCTTACAAGATAAAGTCTACTATATTCCAACTAATTTGACCTTGAAGAGGATATAAAGAAAGAGGCTTGTGCAGGAACAGATATAGAAGCCGATTAAGTATTCATCAGCTAGGATATATAGAAAACTACTAGACTCATTCATAATCCTGAGTCTCTACTCTACTAGCAATATAAGTCGTAATGTTAACGTTCGGTCCTAGTAGATGGCGAGGCTTCGTTATTCGGTCTTATAACTTCGCGAGGCTTATTAAAAGCTTGAATTACAAATCAATACCTTTGTAATAGTTGGGGTATACTAGACTCTCTGACTCTAGCTCCATTGCTCCTAATTCCCACGAGTGTACTTCTAGTATACTTGCCCTTCAATTCCTTCAATCCGAGGATCACGAGGTTACCCCGTAGTCTCGTACGAGAAGCTCCAAGATGTCCCTTATATCGAAAGTTTGCCGAGTACAAATATACGTCGATACACTGATTCTACTTAAATCCTATTAATTAATACAACTACTGGGGTTTTCGTCTAGAATGTTTAATAATCTAAGAAAGTTCTCGTGTGGGTAGTACCGTAGACTGATCTGAAGCTCGTTGTATCCGTATTCAAGGAGCTTCGCTTTAGATCATTTACCTCGATAATCATGTCTGAAATGTCAACATTTTCACTATCCGTGCCTGAGATTTAAAGTTTATGCGTTTCATTGAGAGAGCCACACTGGTTTACTAGCTCTCAACGTCGAATAGTATACACCTCGCCATGGTCCACCTCCTATGTCTCTCTAGAATAGTAGTTTCGTTCCGGCATAAGTAGACCCAGCGTTCCAGCACTGCTAACAATCTTTCTCAGCGAAACTTGGAGCCAGCGTCGCACCACAGGCATCACTTCTCCCTGAGCACCAGTATAGAAAACCCCCTAGTTAATAGAATTATAGTCTCGAAGCGTAAGGAACAAATTGATCTCGGACGCTTCTAGGCCATGAAGGAGCTGGCTATCATCGAAAGTTGAGTCTATACTGAGGATAGTCTCAAAGCAGTATCCAACCAGTCCCATTTCCGGTCTTAGTCAATCGAGCTAAGTCCTTAGTATTATTGGAATTGTAAGCGTTAAGAAAACCATTCTCCCCTTCGATACTTCTAGTCGCCCCAACTACACCCTCATCGCCAAGCAACACGCAAGGCAAAGCGCTATATACTGCGAAATTAGTATTAAGGTCTCTTACCCTTGAATAATCTTGTTTGCCACATATTCAAAACGGCCATAGACCGTCTACTCGCTAGCTGCCATCACAAAATACTGCATTGAACCTGCGGTCTTAGATCCTGCGAGACGTTCGCCATCTCGACAGTCTTCGCCGAAAGATTTTCAAAAACAGCGATCGCGACCACAGCACCGAAGATACCCGCTGTGCTTGTATTGAGTAACCCACGATATGGTAGCTTAGCACGAACCTTGGACAAACTTTCGAGGACGACCAAGGTTTTCCTGCTGCATTCGCCCGTTTATGATACGGGCTTCGACGGGAGTGATTCAAGCACGTTAATGTGCGTACATGATGCTGTAACTGCCCCAGTCTTGTTCACCTTCCGGACCGCTAATATTCCGCTTAGAGTCCTCATACTGACATGATAATTCAGCCAATGCTCTCCCAGAAGCCCCAGTCTACGTCTTGGAAGTCCAAATCAAACGGAACGGCGTTCTCGAATGTAGGAAACTCGGTCGACAAGTCCCTCACTATATTCGGCGACGGAGTAGTCGACTCCGCTGCTGCTTTTCCGGCAAGGCCAGCAACTTGAGCCTCCAACTTGATCACAAATTCGGGAGTTTGTGGGCAATTATTCGGGCTTGGCTTCATCTGGCGGGTCTTTGAAGCTGACAAGACGAGTTCGGCGGCATGCAAGCGTCGTCGATCCTCTGAAAGCTGGTAAAGACTCGTATTTGCATCGTATACACGAGCAAGTAGCTCCCACAATTGTTGAACCTTAGAAGGATCATCTTGTCGCGAGGCTTCGATCAGGATGCATACGACTAGTCACTGTTAGACGTAACTAAGATAATCGGCTTATGAGAAACTTACGCGAATGCCATGGAAACATCCCCTTGACCCACCACTGAAATGGTCGAATGATAGGATGTGAGTGACTTGCGATGTTATACTCGAGGGATCGCATCGAAGCTGTCACAAGCTTCTCTCGACGCTCAAGACTCATCTGCTCATTCGGCAGGAGAGTGTACAATGTCCGAAGCTGGAGCATGCAAATCAGACTTCGAGCAGACAATTGTAGCAACACTTCGACTGGCTTGATCGGATCGCAGAACTGCAGAAATTTTGTGTTGAGGCCTTCTTCGAGCTGCTCGATCAACATCTCCTTGGACACTTCTGGCAACGATTCTTTGGATTGCCACGATAGCTCAAATCGACCTTGAATAGATTTGAAGAATGCCCGTTGACGCTGAATGACCCAGTATGTGTAAAGGCAGTATGACATGCTAGTCAGGCCCTGTCTTTCGCGCGGAGCTTCCCCCATGTCTGGGTAAAGGTCGTCATCTTCGATGTTCAACGGCAGCTTTGCATCCCAGTCCGCCATTAAGGTCAGAGATGTGACTCCAGTCATAACCGCCAGACCAAGGTCAAAGTGCTGTAATTGCCACCAAAGGCGACGCCGCTCCTCTGTGGATGCAGGAGAGAGACCAAGAAACGTACCGTCGCGGTGGATGCCGAGCTTTTCGGAGTTGCGGAGTATCAGGCCCATGAGTGACCACATGCTTGCGGTGCTCAGTCGTCCAGCCCCAGCCATCTGGATGTTTGTTAGCAGATAAAGGAATCTCATGAAAGACGCATATTTACAATATACATGGCCAAAGCCTTCAGAACAACAATATCGGTGATGCAAAAGAGGTTTGTGCGCGTTACTGCTGCCTCGCACGAGTTTTGGAGACTGAGAAGCAAGTCTGATCGTCTCTGGTCGAGTTGAAGAGCACACTCTTCTTCAGAGAGACTGACGACGCTGAGGAGGTATAGCGCAAACAAAAAGGCATACTCGGCGTCGGTCAGAGGCTTCCCTGCGATGGACCTCGACTTCATGTCCTCCAGAGTCCAGCGAAAGGAAATTCGAATCAGCGGCTCGACTCTTTCGTAGAAAATACCCCATAGGATGCTCGCATGCTGCGGTGTTGGCAGTTTTGAGGTGAAATTAATGGAACTCGTGATGGAGAACATATTCGCAAAAGCCCCAGGATTATTTTGGATTAGGAAGGGGTTTCCAAGTTTGTGCTGACGCCCAGGCGCATCTTGTTGTGTATCGTCCTGCCAACTGGCCCAAGCCCGCCTGCAGTCGGTCAATGTCCGTGACTCAGGCTCGGGGGAAGGAGATACCCACGATTCCAAGTAAAAGGACTGCCCTCCCTCTTCGACAAGCACTGCGTCGCCACCTTGGGCACGACTAGTCACTGTCCCCTCTCCTCCATGCTGCAGTCCGAGAAACCCTACCAGCCTGGATGCTTGCTTATCATTTGATACCCCTACCCTGATGTCTGACCGCTCATCCATCAACAACGTGTTCGAGTCTCCACCAAGTCTTCTGATCTCCGATTCCAGTCGCTGAATCCTATCTGCCGCAGAGACCTGGGGATAACTGCAGTGATCTTTTTTGCGACGTTTGCAACTGGAGCAGGCCGGTTCAAGTCTATCGCAGCGCACCTTCCTCTTTGCGCAAGGTATACACGCTAAATTCTTCATCGCGTTTGCCGTTGGAGCGTGTCACTAAGATGGCTGCAAAGAGAAGGAGAGGAAGGAGTGACGTAGTTGAATATATCGGTAGTTCGGCCGAACTGCCATACTCGGATGGAGAGCAGGGCGCTAGTCCGAATCACCAAAAGCTCGGGCGCGAACCCGAGTTCCATCCCAACCACGACCTTCCCGGACCCTTGCTCGATGTAGGAGAAGATTTAATATCAAAGAGGACTAAAGATCGAAATCTCGCTCTACAATTGCAGAGATCATGACGCATTCGATAGGTCCATCTGGATCGAGCGGTCTGGATATAAGAATAGCAATGCCTGGATCAATCCGCCAAATGTCTCGCAAACAAACCGTCCAACACCCACAATATGGACAGCAAGGTAATCACAGATGAGATGACTCCCGAACAAGAGAATGAGTCGCGAATGGAGACAGTGTGCGGGATCTCTTCCTGGAAAGAGACACAGCAACGACCAAACAACACCGTGACCACGGAAGAATATCCTCCGAAGAAAGTCATCTTGCCTGCCATGGCTGCAATCTATCTGGCTGTCTTCCTCGTTGCCTTGGTTTGACTCTGCCCTGCACCATCTCTGGGCGTTGCTAACTACTTGATCACAGGACAGAACCATAATCGGCACTGCGATCCCTGTCATCACCAACCAGTTCAACAGTTTCGGAGATGTCGCCTGGTATGAAGCCGGTTTCCTCCTTCCCTTTTGCGCATTGCAATTATCCTTCGGACGAGTTTACAAATACTATTCCACGAAATGGATACTCGTGGCTTTGGTTGCAATCTTTGAGATAGGATCTGTGGTATGCGCTGCTGCCCCTACCTCCAATGCCCTCATCGTCGGCCGAGTCGTTAGTGGCATCGGCGCTGCGGGAATTGCCTCCGGTTCCTTCATGCTCATCACACTTTTGTTGCCTTTGCAAAAGCGACCGAAATACGCCGGCGGGCTAGGAGCTGTCTTTGGCGTGGCCTCCATCCTTGGGCCAATAGCAGGGGGAAACCTCACCCAAGTATCGTGGCGGTGGTGCTTCTGGATCAATGCGGCCATCGGCGGAGTCTCCTTGCTCCTACTCCTTCTCGTTCCTGATCGAGCACCACCGGTCAAGCCTGCGACGACCTGGTGGGGTAAAATCAGGCAACTGGATCCTCTCGGCTTTGTGTTGATCTCGTCAACTACCACCTGTCTGTTGTTTGCTCTCCAATGGGGTGGTGTTCAATATGCCTGGAATGATGGTCGGATCATTGCCTTGTTCGTCATCTCTGGTGTACTCGTTATCATTTTCATCGCTGCCCAAGCTTGGATGAAAAACGATGCCACGGTTCCTTGGAAGGTTATCTCCCAACGAAGTATACTTGCTAGTTGCTTTGCGCAAGCGGGCATCGGTCCGGTGCTTGTCGGCTATGCCTTCTACCTGCCCATCTGGTTCCAGGTCATTCAGGGAGAGTCACCGCAAAGCTCAGGACTGTCGTTACTGCCTCTTCTTCTCAGCAATGTCATCGCCGTTATGGTCGTTGGACTTGCCACGAGCAAGCTTGGGTACTACACACCATTCATGATCGTCGGTGGTGTCGTTGTCATCCTCGGCTCGGCTCTCATAACCACTTGGACGGTGAATGTCGGCGCAGGGAAGTGGATATCTTACCAGGTATGTCAGGTTTGCTGTTCTTGTGAACGTACACTGATTCTCACGAAGATCGTCACCGGCTTTGGACTGGGCCTTGTCCTTCAAGGTCCGAATGTTTCTGCTCAGACTGTCTTACCAGACAGCGAGGTCTCGATTGGTTTATCACTGTTGAACTTCATCAGCCTTCTGGGGGGCTCCATTTTCGTCACAGTGTCTCAGACACTGATGCAAAACAAACTCCAACAGGGACTGAAGGACATCCTACCTGGAGTCGACATCCAGAACGTCACGAATAGCGGTACCATATGGCTGAGAACTGCTGTGCCCTCGGATAAGCTTCTGGCGGTACTCAGACTATACAACGACTCAATCCGGGCTATCTGGTATCTATACGTTGGTCTTGCATGTTTGATTCTTCTTTCGTCGCTAGGTCTTGAGTGGAAAAACGTCAAGAGCCAGGAGCACAAACAAAAGGCGGGAGATGATCCTTAGTAATACCAAGCGTTGGAATTCCGTTCGCAAGATCTATTATGCTAACTTTTCTTGACATCCAAAGGGCAAGGTAGCTCGGCCAAGCAAGTGTTTTCCTGGCAAACGTGCACTATTATGTAATATTATTTCAAGTAAAACTCATGCAGCTTAAAGACCATTTCTTCCAAAGAACCTGAACATCTCTTCATATCCCCCCGTGGCGTTACGATGTAATGTGAATCCGTGAGCAGTTTTAGGTTGAATATGTACCTCAACAACGGGATTGTTTGGATAAATTGTCTCCCTAATTTGAGTCAAGTTGTATGCTTCCTTACAATCGCCATTGCAGACTGGCGCATCGAACTCGGCAAGAAAGAATTGAAGCGGCTTGGTGTAATTATGTGCAGTAAGTCCTAGGAGGGCGATAGCCGAGCGTCCCTCGCCGACTGTACTAGGCTGCTTAATCTTCCAACCGTAGTCGAGTATCTTCGGATCGAAATCTCCACCACCGAAGAATGAGTTGTGCAAGTTGTACTTAGCACCAGGGCAGATGTATCCGGATCCTAGATGACCAAACTCTTCTGGGAAGGCTTCGCTTGCCAGCTGGTATCCTCGAACTCCCAATTGATATTGTGGGCCGTGCGGATTGATAATAAAACCTGTTAGAATAGATCCATCGGTAAGGTCAGGGTATTTAGCAAGAAGCCCCGAAGTGAGGATGGAACCGTAAGAGTGCCCGACATGGACAAATTTAGTGAAATCTGGCAGCACTGTATCAATCTGGCGCGCGGCAAGTCTCGATATATCGCCAGAGCGAGCCATCTCTGTCACCCCTCGGAGGATTTCGAGTTCAACGGGAGCTTGTACAATGTCATATGCATCGGGCTTGTCAGAGCCACCAACACTGAGCCGATCATATGTGAAAATGGAATAGCCTGCGTTCGTAGCTGCTCTGATATAGTTGTAGTTTTCTGGCTCAACTTCAGCGTCCCAGTATCTATGAGGAACTATGTTAAAAATTCCAATCCGCGGTGCATGACGCACAAACCTGGTCGTTAGGACGAGAACTTACCTCTTATCAAAGCTATTACCATGGGTTGCAATCTGGAGAATATCACTTTTGCCGCCAGAGGATGGTATGCATAACTGAGCCGCTATGTTGAAAGCGGTGTTCACGGATATGGTCCCTTTGATACGTTCCGTTGCGTTTGCAGAGGACCATGTATCGCCGTCCCATGCATAGGTAACAGCATCGAAACTGCTATCCACTCGAGGACCTTCGAGTATAAGATTTGTCGCATTGACTGGGACCACAAGGCTGAACTTCGTACACTTTGTTCCGTTCTCTGTGGTCCAGCTTGTGGACGACCTTTCGGTGGATGATCGAGCAGTGGGAGTTGCACGTGTCGCGATGCCGCAAAGACCCAACGAAATGAGGAGTTGAGAGGCACTGAGCTTCATGGTGATGGGCACTGAGGAGTTTTTGATGATAGATTCAGTACAATCAGGACAAGCTGTGGAGGCTGCGGATGTATTTTAGTATTACAATCGAGCTTTTCGAACGGCGTTATGGCATTTATATCGAAGAACGGAGCCAATTTTAATGACCCATTACGCAAACTCCTCAGCCACATCTTACTTTCCAGACATACGCTTCTGTGTAAAGTATGCGAATACGAAAATCAACACCTTTTCTCTACTGAAATCGTATTCCCTAACAGAAATTAGCAGAACACTACGTCATTAGGGACCGTGCCTATCGGACGTAGTGGTTAAGCGGAAACGGATTCGGGCTTACGCATACGAGAGGACCAACCTGCTCGGCCAGCACTTTGAGACGGTGCAACAACTTCCTAGGTACTTTCCAATCAAAGACTGCCTCCGGTTGAGCTCAATGTGATTTCTCATGACGTAGGTATTGGGCTTTAAAATTTTCCGCACCTATAGGAAGAGAATTATTAATCTTTCCGCGCTCATAACAGCAGGATACGATAGCTTGTTCCTGATGACGATACTTCACTGCGTATTCTTTCGTACCAGAATACTATTAACCCTTAGATCTCTGTTACGATTAGATTGTTCCGCATTTCCTACTTTTAGATCTGAGACCACTGCGGATCTCCTACTCCGACTCGGCACCGATTTCGGCATCCTGGTTCCCGAAACCTTTGCTTCCTTTGCTTGAAGGCGTATGAACCCTAGTGGTAGACGAGGCTCATTATAGGCTGAAGGCACATTTGAGGCGTGACACTTCTTACCGGAAAGATCGAAGTTATTTCACACCAAAGTATTCAGCTTCCTAAAGATTGTTTCCATAACTTCAGAACAAACACACTCTCGGAAGCCGTAAATCCAGGTGTTTATATGCCGTGGCTTTAGCATGGACTCAACATCTGCATAACTATACTCAGTGTATATGCCAATCTATGTGACTGAAAGTTTAAATTAGGTGCGATATAGCTCTCGTCGCGGAAGGACCGTTATACGATACTGAGCTTCGATGAGACATTAGACATAGCATGAGTGTGGGTGACAGAGGAATTGGGGCTTCGCATAGAGTGTTCAACCGGGTTCAATTTTTTGAGGCTGGATGTATTGCATCCTGCGAAAATGACTGGTTCGAACTTATTCCCCTGTATATCCCGCAGCAGCAACACCAATAGCTTCGAATAACTTCCGAAACAGCCCACACCCACCATCTAGAGATCCGGCATGTACTATTTTCCTCAGATCTCCTGTTCCATCGCCATAAATTCCGACCCCAGGGCCGAGTACTGCAACATCAGGCACCTCATTCCATCCTGGCCCACGATTGGGGTTCTTAGCAAATGCTGCCCAGGCCGATTGCATACTCTGACTCAAGCGCTCCTCATCTTCCGTGGAGTCTTGTTTTGGATAAGTACCAAAGACAAGGTCAATCTCGGCTCCATGGTATGCCTTCAAATTAGGAAGCACTTGTGTATTGGCAAAGCTTGCATTGAAGAAGTACCGCCACGTTTGAAATCCCGCTGCCTGGGAGTCATTCGCAACAATGGCCGCAGGGCAATGGAACGCATAGTCGGTGAAAAAGTTGGCAATTGAATCAGGATCATTCGCAGTGTATACTGCAAGCACACTCTGTATCATTTGTTGTGGCACCCAGTTCTCAATAAATGCTGTGACGTTGGTCTCCCCAACGGTGAGGATTGTTGCTTCATTCCCATTTGTTCCTGTTAGAATTGGAACATTAGCAACTGAGCGATTCACCCGTGCTGCTTCCGAATACCGTGGCGACGTGACATTGTCATTTACTGCCGGCCACGGCAACGCCATGTGCTCAATGGTAGACTTCAGAGCACTCGCAGGAATTGAACGTAGGCATGTAAGGTTGCTTGCATAAGATGTGCAATTCAATATTGCAGACAAGGCCAACCAGCTCGTCGGTTCATTCGTCGGATTGATGTTGAAAGATGCTTGACCGGACTGCATGATTCCGGCACGGAACGGTGGATTGTTTGGAAATGCCGTCAGCAAGGTGTCGACAGATCCGGCACCAGCTGATTCACCAAAAATCGTCACTTTCTCAGGATCACCATTAAAAGCCTCGATATTTCGTTGAACCCAGGCGAGTGCGAAGCCTATCCGATTAGCACGAGAAAAGCATGGGTTAGAGACCTACGTTGGTCAAGAAATCCTAGATTTCGTTCAGCGAGTGGAAGCTCCGGTGAGTTTGGAAAGCCAAACACTTCCGATGTCAGCTAAACTCGACACAAGTCAACATGCTCACCATTTGTCCGATAGTTCAAACTAACAATGATGACATCCTGGTGCCCTGCAAAGGATGCCCCATCGTAATTAGATATTGAATTGGAACCATGTTCCTTAGAGCCACCCTGTCGCCGTGAGAAAGGTTTTTCTGAAATGCTTGCAACATACATAAATCCAAACCATAACAGTCTTCTTGTTTGTTTTTGTCCTCGGCACCCAAACATTCACATTCAAGCAATCCTCACTCTCGCCCGCGGGTGGAGGGGGAGTATTTTCCAGGTAAATGGTGAGATTGCGGCTCTCTTCAGGGTAGTTGAATTGTTGGATGCAGGCAGGACCAAACTGAGTAGCTTCATATGGCCATGGCCATGACGTCGGGGACGCTGGCGGCGCAAAACGAGTGGGAGAAGCAGCAAACGGGATGCCCAGGAATTTATCTACAATCACCTTCGAGCCAATGAGAGACGTCGCTATACCTATGACGACTCCCGAATCAATTGTAGCCGTTGGAGCCGTCAAGGTCGTCGAGGCGATAATTTCAGCACCGAATAGAGCGGCAAGAAAAAGGTGGGAAAGCATTGCGAACAAATTGGAAACAACGGTTCGAAAACCTCGAATATGGCCGCAAGTGCTTTGAGCTCACCTCTCATTTTATATGTATTCTTGTTTTTCACGGTTAAGTCTGTTTGTTCAATTGCCATGACCAGGCCCAGCATTACGGCTATGCAATCACACAGCCGTTTGAATCCCTGAGATCCCAATAAACGTCCTGAAGGTTGATTGCAAAGTCAAGTTACATTGCCGAACCGATGAGGGTAATAATCCGGCCCAGGAACTAGCAACAAGCTTATGTACGGCCCGAAGCCCTCCAGCGATGACATAGTGCTCCTTTCCCTTCTCCCTCGAAGGATATGCCAAGCAGCCAAGACTCTGCTGTGTGGCGTCAAGCTGAAAAAAGGTGCCTAGGCATCGTGCGTTGATCGACGGGCGACTTGCAAACCTAGACTCCTCAAAGCAGATTAACTATGGTTTATACAAAGGAACAATTAGAAATCTATTTCGATCGCATTGATTATCACAAATCACGCCATGCAGCCGATCCATATACATTTCTCAGAGCCCTTCAGAAGCATCAGCTGAATTCAGTTCCATTCGAATCGCTTTCCTTACATTACTCACCCAATAAGATAATCTCCTTGGAGCCCGTCGATTTGTTTCAAAAGATCGTTTTAAACAAGAGGGGAGGTTACTGTTTGGAAAACAATCGGTTCTTTGCAGATATCCTTCGAAGTCTTGGTTTCTCGGTGTTCCATATTGTTTGTCGAATTACCAGTGCGACAAGAGGAATTTTGGACGGAAGCTGGCGAGCAATGTATGAATCAAGAATACTCGAGCGTCATGTAACTAATAGAAACTCAGGAGTCACATGGCAAATATTGTCTCGATCGGTGATACGAGATATCTTGTAGATGTTGGTTATGGAGCGGACGGGCCATCACAGCCTTTGCCATTGGTATCTGGAACGTCGCGGGGGGGACTGCCGGGCCAAGACATATCACTTCGGCATGAGTGCTTGTCGCAGCATCAAGATCCTGTTCAAAGAGTGTGGATCTATGCGACACGCAAGGATTTTGGATCTTGGAATGATGTTTACCATTTTGCAGAAACGGAGTTTTTTCCTGCTGACTTTGACGTGCTAAATTACTATAACATGAACCTCAGCTCTTTTGCCAAGACTATCGTTGTTCAGAGATTTTTGCTCGAAGAAGATACGGCAGAGGAAAACCCTTGCGGATTCTTGCTTTTAATTCGAGATCAGCTGTTTCTCAGGAAGGATGGTGGTCAAGAGACACTAGAAATCTTCAGAACCGAGGATCAACGACTAAGAGCATTTCAACAATACTTCAACATTGTCCTCACTCAGGAACAAGCTGAGGCGATTCGTGGTGCCCCATCTGAGCTAAAAGAAAGAATTCAGACGGAAGGCGAAGGATGAGCGGGAAACGAAGTGAAAAGCAACGCTCTGTAAGAATGACACGCCCACGGACTATATGCAGACTCACCTGGTGCTTGTTGTCTCCATAGACAGTCCCAAAGAAATTTTGTATTTTAACTATACAAACAACTCTACCAGTGTATCTATCTCTTTAAAACTAGCTGAATAAAGACACGACAACCTTTATCTATTCTGCATCCTTCTGGGTGATCAAGTGGTGAACGATAATCGAACTCGACCTCCTGTGAAGACCAAACTCCCCTGTCCGCCACAACTCCACTTCTTGATTCGTTCCCGATCTACCATCTTGTAATTCTCCAGTCTCGTACTTAGTCAGACTCCAACGATTCGAATCATTCTTCCAAGTCAAAGATCAGTCGCTGTTGCTGTTGATGTTGTTGTCGTTGTGGGCTGGTGAAGAAAATCTCAGGTATGGATTACGATGTTTGTAGCTCAACACAGGCTGTGTTTCAATACCATCCATCCCAAACGCTCTTCTCGGCCTGATAAATGTGGGGAAGTAGTATAGTAAGATAACCATAACACACACCATGAGAATGCCGTCGAAGACAAAGAGCGGCCACTCATGGGAAAGCAGGTATCCATCACGGCCTCCGGCAGTCTCGACAACTCGAAACAGATTTCGCACCATGATCACACCGCTGACAACATATAGAACCATGATCATCACTTCCCATTGGATCTCAGGGCGATTCGATGCATCAGTGCGTTCTTTGCGGATGCGCATGTGGAAAATGGTGGCAACAAAAACGAACAAGCCAAAGAGGAATATCTGTAAGCCGAGACCGGCAAGGATGATATATCTTCCTGTTCTGACACTGGTTAGGTTAGCCCCAGACATGATGGCAGCACCGCCTAACTGAACACAGAAACAGATGACATCTCCTGTAACAAATATCTTGGTCAATAAGGAAGGTCGAATAGGAGACAGATGAGCAGCCTGCACCGCAATTATGGTACGGCCAAGGATCATGTAGATGGTTGCAGCGAAGACTGAAGGCGCGACGAGTAGCAGGATTTTTTGAACGATCTCTGTGTTGCTATCACATGGGCTATTATGACCCATGATTCGTATAGCGTAGCCACCGACTTCCACTACGTGATATAATAAACCCGATCAGCGATTAATCCCACATTCACAACAAGCGTGATGCAACGTACTGACTCCAGCGAGGACGAAAGCTGCCATGAACCACTGTTTATCTTTGAAGATTCGGAAGGTATGAGCCAAGCTCACAAACCCAAATAAAAGGATGAATACGACCGAGCCTGCAACGGAAGGCAGATACTCGTACGGGCTCGGTTCGTTATTGGGACACGATATTTTCGACATGTTGATCGACTCGGATGAATTTTGGTTGTTGAATGAATGCTTCAAAAAGGTAAACAGCAATAGTGACAATTTGAATTGTAAAGCTTCAAAGTTGCACGAAGTTCGTGGGATTCAATGATGTGGAATTGTAAACTTTGTGACTACACTCGACCTTTAAGTAGGTTCCAGCAATCACAAAACCTGGACTCCCAAAACGAATACTATCACCCTACACGACAGCTCGCAAAAGAATCTATCAATGGACTTTGCGAGCGGCTCTGTACCGTGGTCGTGGTCATGATGGCCGATTTTGCGAGCCAGCCTACCGCCGCGACAGTGGCAGTGCTAAAACATGCATCAGAACGCCATAGATTGCATTGACCCTGAGTGCTAAATGCTGATTCAAAACCACAGCTAGAATTTTTTCTGGCAATTTGATCATGATGAGGCTAATATGTGAAATGTGGTGCTCGCAAAACTCTTCCCCAAAATGGACTGGGCTAACATTGAGCCTGGCGCTAATTAGGTACAAAGGGGCAATGAAATATTTTGTACCTGAACAAGTATCCACCTAGCAGGTCCAAAAGCCCCTTTCATGGGACCCTTCTGCATCCGTTTGGCCAAAATCATGTTGCGACAGTAGGTCCCTGATAAGTTGAAGACGCGTTGATACCGATCGCCTGCGCCTGAAGGCTGCGTCGTTCCTGCCAAGGTGCCAAGGCAGAACATCATCTAAATGCCAGCGGCGTTTCAAACAAACGTGCCGGGGTCTCCATTCCCAGGCAGCAGGATATGCATTGGGGGCCAGGTCTAATTAGGATATCTAAGGTTCTTGAGTAATATCGTTCTCATCGAACACTGCGAAATCTTCATATCTTAGTCTCGAGATTAGATGTACTTCCTACACCAGTCGCAGACATTTTTAGTTTACCTTCCTGAGACAACGCTGTTGGTGTTTCACGTGGAGACCGGTGACACAAGAATATTGAAAGCTTTACGCACAACGCGCTTACGAAGACTGGCTGGCTATCTTGGCAACGAAGTATTCGCAAGGCTGAATGTTGTTGATCTTCATGCGCGCATTCCTACGGCAAATTCTCACACCTGGACAACATCCCATATCAACTCTTTGATCACACACTTTTTCCCGGATGAGCAAGATCGCGCTCGAACTTACTCACAGAAGAATAATACTATCCTACCCAGACCATGGTCAACCGGGGGCGTTCCAAGGGGTGTCACAACTGCAAACGGCGAAGGGTAAAGTGCGATGAAACCAAGCCAAACTGCCAGAGGTGCGCGAGAGTCAAGGTTGAATGTGAAGGGTATGAGCCAAGGAAGACCATCAAAATCCAGTTTAAGGACCAGACTCTGGCGATGACTCGACGCCCATGTCCAAAAACAAGACAGAATTCCAAGCTTGCTCATCTGCATCAGTGCCAAGATCATATTTCTAAGATTTTGAGTAGCCTTCCTCCAGATGAAGAGAGCCTTGCGTGTGGATTTTTCCTCAACAGCTTTATAACGACTGGCCAGAATGCTGAGTCAAGCCGAGGCCTATTCGAGAACATCATGCCAGCTCTCACCGCAGCTCAGGCAGAGTCGCCAGTATTCTTGGCATTCTCTGCCGTGGCAACGCAGATGTACAGCCAGTGGCATCGTGGTACACTCAAGTCAAGCCGACTGCCCAAGGTCCGATTGATACAGGCATTGAAGCGACTCCAAGGGGCTTTGCTAGACCCTGTTGAAAGCAAGCGTCATGAGACTCTCGTGGCCACTCTACTTCTGCAATTTCAAGACAATGTCACCTCTATCCACCGCTTGCAGAGGGGCTCGCGGACGCATCTTAATGGTGCTCTGGCGCTGATCAGACATCAAAGCCGAGAAAATCCTGAGGCTGTCAGCGACAAGTATATACTTCTCCGGATTATCAATGTGGAAGTTTCTTTAGCGATACGCGAGGGTCGATCCGTGGCAGCGGATCTGCACCATTGGTGCGACTGGAACAACATGCATCGGACTGAAAGCTCAGACCTGGACAGAATTGGAATCACCGTGGCTGATTTGCAGCGTATTTTTACCCAGACATGGGATCATCACTCCCAATGTACCAAGTCTCTTTGCCCGCATTTCGATATAATTGTCGAGCTTTGTGGTCAAGCCAAGCGAGCAGAAGAGGAACTTAAATCGTGGGCGTCAAGAGTACCCATTTCCTGGACGCCTTCGAAGTTCGATCTAGGGTGCATTCGAGGAAGTAACCTGCCAATCCAGACATATTCGGGGAGATGTGACATATATCCTTCAATTCAGATCGCGTCTCTCTGGAATGCATTACGATCCTACCGTCTGGTGATCTTGAATATTCAGTTAGCGTGTGGGACGATTCAGGAAGTATCTGGGCTGGCTGGATCATTGCTTTTCATCTCCCAAAACGCCGATAAGACCAGCATCCAAAGCAACATCCAGGAGTGTCTCGATTCAATCTGTGCAACTGTACCTTACTACCTTGGAAACCGCATAAGAATGTGCAGCTTAGAAGATTTCTCGGATAAGACGCTTGATTTTCCAGCTTACCATTTGCTGCAGCGGAAAGATCCTGCTCTAGCTGATGTGACAGGCAATTGCACTATCATGTCAGGCATGACCCATGACCGACATACACTTACCCAGGGTCCTTGGCATATCATTAACTTCCTGAGTAGAATACTGAGCTTGTGTTCGGGACCAATTGGTGCGTTGCTAACGACTGCGATGCGGAAACAACAACTAGCGTGGATTCAGGGGCAATTCCTTCGATGTGTGACCATTCTTGGTCTCGACCACAATAAGTTTGATCATGGAGACCCATTGGCCGACAAGCATTGTACATTACTCTCGGACAACCTCAATGCCACGCTTGGTCGTTGATGATCGGGTCATTAGTTGAATAGAGTAAGCATACATTTTCTGAGACCACTAAAGTACCAGGCTAAAGACCTGCGATCATCATTCGACTGAAGCTCAAATGAGCATTTATCTAGAGCAGAACAAGCCTACGTGTTTTCGAGCCACTTATTGTGTGTGGTAGTTACAGCCAAAGGAAACGCCGGGACGATCCAAGTCAACAACGCCCAATCGGCGCTCGCTGAGATCCCGTGACTTTCCCGAGGCAAATAGTTTACAACTGTGGCTATCGGTTGTTGCCTTTCCGAGGACTCCAATGGAACGTCCATACCGACCTTTGATGTGCACGCCTTTACATGGCTCCATATGGCAAAGAAGCTAAATTTCGCTATTTCAGTTGTCTCATAAACTCTGCGCGACGCAATGACCTATCTATGACACCAAAGATGGGGGATCATTGCGAGATAGCGCTTTAATCCAAGCCGCAAAAGTCATCTCAGAATATTGCTCCGACAAGGGTTGGACAGATAGCAGAGCTAGATAAATGTGCAGCTGTTTTAAACCGGTACAGACCAGATCTGAAATCCTATGAAGAACTATACAAGCATCATCATGCCAATCCAGAGCTTTCTAAACAGGAAAATGATACTGTTGCTCTTATAACGAAGCACATGAGAGCCCTTTCAGGAAATTTCGATATTCGCACACACATTGATGGCCATGGACAAATCGCCGTCTTCCACAATGGTCCCGGTAGCACCATTATGCTCCGGGCCGACATCGATGGTATGCCAGTCCAGGAAAAGACGAATTTGCCGTTCGCCAGCAATAAGACTATGGCCGACACCGGTGGAATCATCAAACCAGTCATGCATGCATGTGGTCATGATTTCCATATTACTTCTCTTCTAGCGGCCGCAGAAACGTTGGTGACTGCACGAACAGCTTGGTCAGGGACTATTGTGTTTCTGTTTCAACCAGGAGAAGAACGTGCTGCAGGAGCTCAGTACATGGTCAATGATGGTCTCTACAATAAGCATGGATGTCCGATCCCCGATGTGGTCCTCAGTCAACATGTGTTCCCTCTCAAGGCAGGCCACACGGTAACCAGGTCAGGGCCATTCATGTCTGCTGCAGACAGTTTTAAGATTACCGTTTATGGTAGTAGTGGACATGGATCCCTCCCACAGATGACTGTCGACCCTGTTGTCCTCGCAAGTCATATCGTTGTCCGGCTACAAACTATAATTTCAAGAGAAGTCCCACCCAATGAGATTGCTGTTCTTACCGTGGGCGCTATCGAAGGTGGGAATACTGAGAATATAATCGCAGATCATGCTATTCTCAAGGTCAATATTCGATCTTCCAGTCAGAAATGGAGGGCCAAGCTACTTACGGCTCTGGAAAGAATCGTTAAAGCCGAATATTTGGCACCAATTCTCCCCAGCAGCCGTTGATTGAACCAACTACTTCTTATCCATTGACTGACAACGATGTTGAGGCTACAGGCAAGGTCAGTGATGCTTTCAATGCATATTTTGGCGAAAAGCACGACCCTGCATTCAAGGACACCCTCTGGAGTGAAGATTTTGGTATTCTCGGGTTTTGTGTAAATTGTCCCCACTGCTTTTGGTTCTTTAGTGGGCATGACGCGCAGACCGTTGACGAGTTGGTACAGAAAGATGAAGCACACAAGATTCCAACCAATTATAGTGCTTTATTTGCGCCGGTCCTTCAGCCGACTTTGCAAACTGGAGTTGATGCTACGGTAGTAGCCGCTTTAGCTTATGTGGAAATGTATTTGGAATCGGTCTCCTTGATAAGCTAAAACTTGATCTGATCGTCCAAACTAGGGTACTCCCATACGTGAGGCTCTGACATATATCCAAACTCATCCCATTGGTTGTCCAGGAGAGTGTTTAGTCCATAGAATCCACCAACCTCTTGTGTTCCAAAGTCAAAATGGCTTCCTCTGACGTCATGAAGCTCCACCGATGTATCTGAAGGTTGGGGATCGAATACGGTGCCTCGCAGTGCATCATTGTTTGTCTGGCCACTATTCGTCCTCACCTGAGCCAATGGACTGTCTGTGTCACTGGCAGTAAGCCCTGTGGTGCTCGAGTTTTGCGCTCGTGCTGCTCGCTGCCTTCGGAAATCGAGGTACGTCCCATCACTCATCCGATGAGTGACAGTTTCACATTGAGCAAGGCAAACATCTGCAAGATCCCAGCATTTGTCGTCCTTGACCTTGCGCAAATGTTCAATCATACCCTGGGCCTTTAAAACGCAGCCGTGTGCTATCTCATCACTTGGCGCCTCTAGGGCACATCCAAGCATAAGAGTGGCAGCAGACGCAAAATGATATGCCACATCTACCCGCACAAGTCAACGCACGTCAGTAAAGCTAATGTAGATTCTTGCCGCGGCTTGAGCGGTTCCATGCGACCATAATTTCGTGTTCGAGGAGTTCAATGTGACTGGTGCTGAAATGGGTTGGGGACAGAACTCACAGGGAAGCCAAAAGACATGTAGATCATCTTCTTGTAAAGAAGTTGTGAATTCTATCACAGCCTCTGCCGACTTTCGACAACGAGACTGGAGATAAAGCTTTCTTTCCATGTCTGTTACACTTTCCGGATAGGACGCTTTCTGTCGTCACACAACATGTCAGAGGCCACAAGCTCCAATTTCCATCTCAAATATGAACATACCAGTAGTAAGAGGCGAGATATGCACATCTTGATTGCTAAAAAGCAGAGACGGAGATTCAGTGCTCCGGGTGCAGACCTTTTGAATTGAGGGTTGTCATGATTGAGCCATCCCGGCAATGAATCTTCCCATTCATCGAGACGGATTGCGATGCGTCGTAATACTTTCTGGAGATCAGAAGCATTTGTTGGCTTTAGGCTGTAGATCAATGGCAACACGGATCCAACGATTTCAGTCAGTCGACAGAGGAAGACAAACGAGCATGCACCTGCATGAATATTGTTCAAGCTTATATCTATGTCACTATCGGTTGGCACACCGAGCAAATCGAGATCGGGAAGTTCGACATCAAAGTTTTCAGGCATGATATGTGGGGGAGTTCCTGTAGTTAGACTCGCCCTGTGGAAAATAAGTCTGAGTCGAGGTCTTGGATTGCACGATGTGTACATACCACCAATCATGGATTAAAACTGCCCACCACGTTCTGATACGTAGGGCCTTCTTCCGATCGTCGAGAGACCATTTTCGAGGACTGCGATTGAGACCAAGGCTGTGAGACAGGGCCACCAGACGGCCTATATTAAGTGCATTGTACGTCACAAGGGTTGTTGGCCGTCCTAAGAGGTCTAAGATACATGCCAATATTGTCGGGAAGCCAGGTGCTGTGAAATCTTCGTCCATAGCTTTGACAGCTTGCCTCCAAATATATCTCATGTCCGGCTGTGGTCGACTTCTTAACGAAGTATCCACTGACCTTTCCCAGAAGATTATCGAAGCCGCATAAATCTCGCATAGTAATGGAAATGGCAGTTCTGATTTTTGGTGAGCCTTTCGTATTTCATTTTCATCTAGGAAAGGTAATGGTGGGTGGAGTTGACTGAAATATCTAACAAGTCGTGTTAGCAAACGTGATAGGGCAGAAGGGTCATGGCCCTACAGGTCAAAGACAGAACTGCAATGCGGTTCAAGAACCTTCGATATTGCTTCATAGCGAGCAAATCCGGCCGCCTCGTTCCCAGTTGCAGGATTTTCTCTCCGGCGAGGCACTCGAAGATATAGTATTGGATTTGTTGGATCACTGGAGTAAACACTGTAGGGTTGCGATTTACGATACGATTTAGGCGAGGAAGTCGAGGGCGACATGTACTGATCCAGAACTTGGACATCATGTGCAGATACTGGTCCTACGATGTGTCCGGAATGGGCCTCAACCGATCTCGTTGTCAAGCCTCCATCAGGACCAGGTGTTGCATCATCTCCGTCTCCGGGGTTGGAACCACTGTTTGTAGCCGGAAGACCATGATATAAGGCTTCATTTAGTGCGGTGTTCTTGCCCTGGTGGACGACTCGGCTTGATCGCTTATGTCGCACTTCATTAGATACTCCATCTTGAGTGCATTCTGCACCATGCATTTGGCAAAGTACGCATTTTCGATTTTCCAAAGACCTCACGCAGCGAGACTTACGCTTACGACAGAAGTCGCATGCGGGGAATTTGTGCGATCGATAGGGACGCGAAAACTCCTTCGGCGGGTCTGTCAATGGGCTGTCGATATCCATAGTGGATGTGTTAGGTCGTGAATGTATCAAGGTGAAGGCCGTCGGCTCAAGGATGACGACTTACTGAGGCACCGGAAATGATAATTGAAGTGCCAACAGCAAATTGGTGTTTTCCGACGGCAAGTGATATCGGTGAAGAGAAAGCCAAGGACCAACAGTTAGCAGCGAACAATGCCGCTGATGTCCGATCTTCCTAGGATACTCCTTCAAGTAGCCATCCATCGGGATATAGACCCAGACTATTTGAGCATTTTCGTGGTTCGACAAGAAGGTCCGAATTGCATGTACTGACTTTTCGGAAATTTAGCCCAGCTACATGGCCATCAATGCATATGTGCCTCAAGAACGCAAAGGTTCATAAAGTCGGATGGGATGTAGATTGAATAATGTCCAAAGTCACATTGCTTAATAATCTGGCTAACATTAATTTGGCTGAGAAATCAATAAAAAGCCTGGCATTTGGGTTCTGTACTGAATCTTCGAAGATGGCTACAGCCTGGTCGTCATAGCTTGCTCGTTCGGAGAGATGAATATGCATTCAGTGAAAGCTGTCCCCCAAGGTGAGCGTACAGCACTTTGCTCCCTTTCGGAATTTCACCATTCCTTATCATGTCTATCATACCAGCAAGGCTCTTTCCTTCATAAACTGGATCAGTAATGAATGCTTCAGTGGAAGCCCCAAATTTCATCGCATCAATAGTCTGCTGATCTGGGATACCATAACAACCGGCATGATATCTATCGTCAAGGATGACATCCTCAGCAGTGATATCGTCTTCATGTAGTCCTATCTTCACAGCCGTAGCTTTTGCAATACGAAGCACTTGATCAAAGGTCGCTTGAACCTTGGCTGACGCATCAATTCCAATGATCTTGCGCTGCCTTGAACCGTGTTTCTGGGCTAGTTTGAAACCTGCAATCATGCCTGCAAATGTCGAGCCAGTCACGGTGCAGACAATGATCGTGTCAAAGAAAATCCCAAGTTGCTCTTCCTGTTGTTCGACTTCGAAGGCCCATCTGGCAAATCCTAGCCCACCCAGAGGATGATCCGAAGCTCCAGCGGGTATGTAGTACGGCTTACCTCCTTTCGACGCCACCTCATTCGTGAGAGTCTGGAGGGAGGTTTTGTGCTCAATGCCAAACGTCGATGGGTCTAGGCGCGAGTCGGCACCCATAAGACGTGAAAGCTGAATGTTACCGACTTTAGTGTAGCCAGGGTCTTCCCAGTCCACCCAGTGTTCCTGGACAAGTGCTGACTTCAACCCCAGCTTAGCGGCAACAGCAGCCACTTGTCGGGTGTGGTTCGACTGTACGCCACCGATGCTGACTAAAGTATCACATCCTTTGGCCAAGGCTTCAGGAATGAGGTATCTTTGTCACGATGTCAGCTTTGGATGGGGATAAATTTCAAGTGACGTACTCAAGTTTCCGGGTTTTATTCCCTCCAAATGCTAGACCAGAGTTACAGTCCTCACGTTTAGCGTACACTTCAACATCCCCTCCCAAAACTTTTGACATCAGCGGCAAGTGCTGGATTGGCGAGGGACCGAATAAGAAGTTCTCTCTAGGGATGCTCGCAAAAGGTTCGGGCAGCCGTATCTCAGGGTATGAAACAGCCACCATTTTGGCTTTGGGGGGATGTAAATCAAGATCAGATCGTTGAACCAGTATGCCGAGGGAGATAAGGAACCCAGAATCTTTTTATCGTCAAAGCGGTAGTGTTACAGCCCTTTTCAATCCTTCTATCGCGGTGTATCAGCCGATGTATCAAGATCTGCTCATCGGTCAAAGCAACCGGTGGAGTTTTCCGCGGGAAACTCTACTAAATGAGCCTCGCTTCAATGACGCCAAACCGATCCCGATGTCTGTTCGTGCTTGGTAATTGAATGCCTGCCGGGTTTCCGCTAGTTAAGCACTGTGCACGCAGGACCTCCTTGGATCGCCGCAAGCCGAGCCGTACTGGGTCCAACTCTGGGCCAGGGCTTCGTGTCGCTATTAGGTCGCTCCACGTTCCCAGAGATGCGTCATTATCCGAGGGAAAGCTAGATGTGTAGACAGACAAGGATGATATCAGCCGACTACTTGTCTAGAAAGGAGATAAGGAGGTGAACATATGTGACACACTATTGATTCGCCAAATATGTTTATATTCGCAATCACCATTGTGTCGGCATGGCAACTTGACACCGCAACTTGTGTTTCGCAATCCGCCTATCTTCAAACTCAATTCAATAACCATCATGGACATAAAACAATCCAATTTGGGGCACGAAAATAGCAATGTGATTGCATCGATTGACTTGGGGAGCGAAGTTACTGCGGACGCTGCTCTGGATAATATCTTGCGATGGAAAATTGATATGACGTTGATACCGTTATTGTGCATAACGTATGCTCTTCAATCAATCGACAAAACCACTCTGAGCTATGCAGCGGTATTCGGCGTCAGGGCATCCCTGGACATGGTCGGCACCCAGTTCTTTCGGACCAGCTCCGTTTTTTTACTTTGGGTATCTGGTCTGGGAACGTCCAACCAATCTACTCCTGCAAAAGCTGCCTGTCAATACCTTTTTGTCGGTGACTGTGAGTTGTATCTTGCATTTTCATCTCAGATTCTGACAATGATCACAGGTGATCACATGGACTGGGGGTCTAATGTGCCATGCTGCAGTACAAAACTTCGCCGGGCTTATGGCGGTGCGTACGTTCCTCGGAGTGTTTGAAACTTCGATGAACCCAGCAAACATGATCATCTTTTCGATGTACTACACAAGACAAGAACAGCCACTGTGCATGGGCCTCTGGATTGGCTCTGCGGGTATTGGATATATCATCGCAGAAATCTCCACCTTCGGTATTGGGCACATCAAATCATCCTTAGAGACTTGGAGAGTCATGTTCCTCATCTGGGGCGCCATCACCGTAGCATGGGGTGTAGTCTTGTTCTTTACCCTCCCAGGATCTCCTGCAAGTCGCAAGATATGGAAAACAGAAGAGCGGGCAGGTATCTTGGATCGCATCAAAGACAATGGTACAGGAATCAAAGACAAAAACTTCAAGTTCGAGCAGGTCAAGGAGACCATGCTTGATTTGAAAACGTTGTTGCTATTCATGTTTGCAGTTTCTTTCAATTCTCCAAATGGTGGACTGACAGCGGTAAGTTGAGCGCCCGCGCTGCTTGTTGTCCTGAGAACCTGCTAATCATCGCATAGTTCCAAGGACTTGTCATTAAAGGCTTGGGATTCTCGAACTTGCGGACAACACTAATCCAGATGCCATCCGGGGGCGTTCAATTCGTCTTCTGCACAGCCGCATGGTAGGCTTATCTGACTCTTCCCATTGACGCCTATACTGAGTGGGTCACGGTTATATTGTTTCACAGTTCCAGAATGCGCGACCTGGCGTCATGCTGGCTTGTCTCGTACCTTTCTTGGCGGGTGTGCTCGGATTATGGCTCATCAACTCAACGATACTATATGGCAGACTTGCCTGTCTCCGGATTGCCTTCGCCTATACGGCCACTTGGACACTGTCAATGTCTGTAGCCACAGCAAATACTGCGGGGCATACTAAAAAGGTTACCACAATGCCATTCTGCTCATTGGCTATTGCTCAGGCAATTTCATTGGACCCTTCTTCTTCAGGACGAATCAAGCACCCACGTACAATCTCGGAACTGGCATGATGTTGTTCTGTGTTGGATTTCAAGTGTTGTGTAACTCTGGGTTGTGGGTGCTATTCATCTTCAGAAATCGGAGGAAAGGAAGAGCCTCAGACAGATTCGGACACGCGGACCGCTCGAGCAAATGGTTTCCTCGATGTGACTGACAAGAACAATCCTTACTTCAAGGTACGTATGACTCCGAACTATCGTTGTGTTACTTTCTAATGCCCGTGATTAGTACAAATACTAATGAGAGGCATTGATTTGTTGACTGGAGACTTAGCAAAGATATCAGGCAGTCCCGACCCCATGTGATAGCACTGTTGGGGATGTGGGGAGTTGAGTTAGTCTTGGCGGTGCCCCCTCGGCCTTGCGCCCCATCTTCCCCACATTCAAGTCCAAGTCATTGAATAGAATAAACCTATATGAGATTGAATGCACTGTTCTGGTGGCTGTCCTTTCGGCAGAAACGGAGTCGTGACTGCCGCGCTTCTCTTTTCTTTATCCAATACACTTGCAGGTGTCTATCGTAGCAATGACTTCCGATGAGGCAAGGTTTCCAGCAAGGTATGCAGACCCTGAGTATCAACAAACTCATCGAAACTTGTTCTCCGCAGCTCTCCTCCAACCTCTCGAGGAAGTGCTTCCCCCCGGTGTCAGCAAAAGCTCTTTCGATGCTGCTATCCAAAAATTGAAAGAAATTGTTGGGTATGATCAAGTGATCTTAGGAACAGGGCTTGAGGAATATGTAGACCCCTACGAACTTTGGGAAAATGAGGGTAAACGAAGAATGCCCAGCTGCGCAATTTGGTAAGCGGGAAACCGGGCGAACCTTGCTGTCCAGAGAGCTGACGTGAAGCTCAGTCCTTCCTCGACTGAGGAGCTCCAAGGAGTTCTGTCCATTGCGAACCAGTTTGAAATTCCAGTGTGGACATTTTCTAGGGGGAAAAATTTGGGCTGTATGGTTTCGAATTTGTGAGAGATAAGCCAGCTGACGAGTTGATAGATGGAGGGCCTGCACCACGGCTGAATGGTTCTGCAGCACTCGATCTGCATCGTATGAACCGTATCATTGAAGTTAACGAGCAATTCTCTTATGCAGTCGTCGAGCCAGGAGTGACATTTACTGATCTATACCAATATTGTGCATCCAAGAAACTTCGAGTGTGGCCGAGTGTACCTTCACTTGGATGGGGTAGCGTGGTGGGAAATGTAACAGACCTCCGTTCTTTAATACCAGGGTGATCACTGACATAACCATAGACAGTTGATCGGGGCACCGGATTTACGCCGACTGCGACACATCATCAAAATATGTGCGGGATTGAGGTCATGCTGGCTAATGGGGACATTGTCAGGTCAGGCCAATTTGCGATATCAAACTCTGCTGCAGCGCACTTGTCGAAGTTCTCTTTCGGTCCGTCCATCGAAGGCCTCTTCCTTCAAAGTAATCTTGGTATCGTCACCAAGATGGGCATTTGGCTACACCCCCAGCCGCAAGCCTACATGTCGTGCTCATTCGATATGCCGGAGTTCGAAGATGTAGAGACCATCGTTGATATTTTTGGAGAGCTCAGAAGAGATGGATTACTCCCAAGCACCGTGTATGTCTCCAATATCGTGGAATGGTTGGGTATGATGGGCAAAAGAGTTGAAATGTGGCCGAACGATGGTCCTATTCCGGACTGGAGGCTGCGTGAGCTCCAAAAGGAACTGAACTTGGGCTATTGGAATGTCAAGTTCGGCCTATATGGTGCGGCCGCAGTGATTCAAGCACACTTCGACGAGCTCAAGCGAATAGTAACCAAAAAATCACCAACAGCTGCTCACCGTCTCCAAGGTCACATCTTCGCTGGCGAGAACGACGCGCTACTGGAAGCAACATCTGTCCCTGATCCTCATGGTGGATTTTTTGTTGGTGTCCCAAGCTTGTGGAGTCTACCAATGGTAAAGTACCGTCTACCAACCCAGTCTGGAGTTGGGGCTCACGCCGACTATTCTCCCATCATTCCATCCTCGGGAAAGACAATTCTGGAATGGGCGCGAACTGCGCGCAAAGTTTGCGAGAAGGAGAACTTCGATCTCTTTTGCGACTTCTTCATGCATGAGAGACATGTCATATTTGTCAACATGATGGTGTTTGATAAGACCAATCCCGACCACCGAAAAGCAGTTGACACCATTTTTCGAGCATTGTATCGGGGGGGCCGGCAAAGAGGATTTAGCAAATATCGCTCACATGTCAATTACATGGGTATTTCTTCTCCCTACATTGAACCTGCATGCCGCCATGACTGACATCACTAGATCTGGTTGCTGATGCGTATGATTACAACGACCATGCTTATCGACGCTTTCTCGAGAAGTTGAAGGTAATTTTGCTCGTGACAAAATGTACGTGGTGGCCATGTTAACAATTGGCAGGACTCAGTTGATCCCAATGGGATTTTGTCGCCCGGAAAACAAGGGATATGGCCCAATAAGTACCGTCAGTTTAGAGAGCGGCTGTGACAGACGGCCGGTTTGCTTGCTGCTTGTTTGGTATTATGTTGGCTCCCGCATCGGCTTGTATGACAGATTTGTCCAGGGTGAGAGGGTGAATCCTCTTCTACCATGAAATCCAACGACTCCCTTTTATTCTCGCTTTCTTATGCGTGGAAAGCTCAACCAGATCATCGCCACCACGGCAATTAACGCTAAGATAATGGGCTGTAGAACGCTCACACCTTTTTTGGCAGCTATTGCACCAATTGCGAATGGGAAGATCGTACCTCCAGTACCACCTAAAGCCATTGCAAAGCCAAGTGCACTCACGTGGATGTGCTTTGGTAATAATTTGGCAGTCATCATGACGCCTCCAGGAAACATAGGTCCCAAAAAGAATCCGAGAAATGCCACTGCAACTGCACTCACTACAAACTGTGGGACTAACCAGAAGATCAATTGTAGTGCAATGCATATGGCGAGATAGATTGAAACACACAAGCGTTCACCATATCGCTCCGTAACGAATCCAAGCGATGCACGCCCTGCAGCCATGCCAGCCCAAAATCCCGTACCTGAGATACCGGCATTGTAGGGTGAGGCATGTCGCACACGAAGCATGAAAGTGACCACCCAGCCTCCTAAGCCCACTTTGGTTTTGAATTAGCGAAAATTTTGTTGGCCACAATGACTCAGAACGTCAACGTACCTTCTATGCCCATGTAAAGAAGGAGATAGAACATGCAGGTCCATGTGATTCGCGACCTTATCGCTTCTCTGGTCCGGCTTCCTGTAGCTTCTGAGTCTCGTGGATGTTCATCACGATACGCCTTTCCAGTCCTGTGCCAGAAGCTCGTGAGTAGCCCCGCCCATTCCAAGACAGAGGCAGCAACCTAGGGAGGCTTTGTTAGTTTAGAAGATTTCAGAGGCGAACCTTTGACCAACCATGACGTAGTAGAATGTATACCAAGGCAGATTGGACTTGACAATCATACTTGTGGCAATTAAGGGGGCGAAGAGTGCGCCGATGGAATAACACGAGTGTAGTAACCCTTGAATCGAGTTCGGATTTTGCATTCCACCAACCCATGCCGAGAAGCACGCATCCGTCAGACCATTACCAAAACCAGAGATGATATTGATGACGACTAACACGGGAAATGGGGGGTGTAGACAGATCACGACATAGGTGATGATATGGCAGATCGGGGCCGCGAAAGCTATACCTCGCTGACCAAACCTGGAATGAATTGTAGCATTCACGAAGGCCGCAGTCGAATAGCCAGCAAACGGGGTCAGGAACATCAGGGACACCAGAGTGTAATTGAGTCTGTAATACTCCTCAAGGTAAGGTATCAGAGCACCAATAGCTGCATCATTCATTCCGGCAATCATGAATGATAAAAATGCACATCCAAGCCTGGGGATATTGCCAGTTGGTTGATTCCATTTCTGTGCGATGAGTGAATGCCGAGCAGATGAAGTTTCGGCATTTAAGTCACCAAGTTCATTTTGTTGCGTTGTAGCTACTGATTTCGGTGTGCCAAAAACTCGTCGCGAAAACTCTTTGAATGTGCTTCCAGGTGCTGTGCGTCTAATCTGGGCATTGACAGAATGCTCCGGCGCCGAGACGGGTGACTGTGATACCCGGTGTTCCCCAGATGGCCTAGGAACTTCCATTTTTTATTATTTAGGTCGTGAATTGATGACCATTGATTATTGGGAGAGAGAAAAAGGACAAAAAGCCTGGCGTATTTGACATAGAGGCGACGGAAAAGCCCGACATCAGATTTGGGGAATTTCGGGCCAATAACGTCCGAATCTCGTCCAATGTCGCAAGTCAGGCACCCACCAGGATACCCCGAGAATATCGCCGAGACTATGAAGGCCGCTTGGCTTCAAAGTCGACAGCTTCGCTACCAAACAAATCATTGAGATGTCTACTGTACAATTCTTTTAAACCACGATCCAGTCCTTACCGAGTAAATGTCTCGGCCATCCATCTCTTCCAGCCACACTCTGGGCCGGAGGCTCTTTGTCTGACTGCCACATCATTCCTAACATTTCCATGGCAGTGTGAAGATATCCCCAAGGCAACATTCCCCACAAGGCAGAAAGATGATCGACTGCCCATCTCTGCTGCTTTGGGTCCTTTGTTTCAATTCCTGCAATGAACGTCGGCCACGACGTACTCTTCAGTAAGTGATTGCCAGGACGAATTAGTGACAGATGGTCGATTATGTCCGCAACCAACGTTTTCACACTACTCCCGTCGAGTAGAGCGCCTCCAGACACCACCCGATTAATGTACAAGCATATAGCCGATCTGTGAGCTGACGCTACATGCAGTCGACTCCGGTAATCATTTTGCAATGCCAGTCCTTGGACACCGGCCGCCCAGGCGTTCAGGTCAAACGAGTTGACTCTCTCCATGAGCTCCAGACCATGCTGAAGACGATACTGCTGCGCATCCTTGGGGTCGTCAAGAGAGAGGTCATCGACGGGTCGTGTGAAGTGAGATGCCAGAAGGATGGCTTGAAGAAAGTTTGCTGGACATGACAGGTAACTATTCAACTCACCTCGTTCGAGCATCTCAATGAGCTTCAAGTGTTGGTTCTCGTCTCCCGGGGGAGGCTTAGGTGATGAGAATGCGGATCCCAGGACATAATAGCTAAGGCTAACATCAGATCGGCGGGCTCGAATCAGAAGTGGTAACTTACATAAGGCAGTCGGCCACGACATAATCATGCAGCATCCCTGTTTCTGCACCTTGCGACCCTTTGCGAGGCTGGAAATTGGAGATGATTTTCCTAGCGCCCTCCACGTGCACCTTCCACCGGTCCTTACCAGAACTCATCAGCTCGAAATTGATAAACAGTAATATGGTGCTCAGTATGACATCTCGCTCTACCCCATGGGTTGGATTTGGTGCCCCTCTGAGAAGCTGGAGGGCTTTTTGCTCGGCGGTAAAGGCATCACGCCTAAACTTGAGCACTATGTCGGTGGCAACATAGGATGGACTGTCACCAACACCGCCACGGATTTCAAGGGACGGTGGCGATGAATGGAGATTCGCTAGATGTATCGCCGAATTTGCTATTACCGCTTGGAGAAGAAATGGATGATCTCGAGTAAGTGATATGAGGTTTCGATACGGGTTGTGGCTTGGGATGTCATACGTTACGAGATCCTGACACAGTCGATTGTGAACTGGGAGGGGTCAGCGATCTTTGGTCTAACTCCATCTGGGGGCAAATACTTACAGTGTGATAGATAGAATCGAGCTGCGTGGGTGAAGTCTTGGACTGATGGATCCAGTAAGGGAAACGACAATTGAAGTTGACTCCTCAACCCGTCTGGAGTCCCTTTTGGAGACAGAAGTCCCTTTTCCCCTTCCGTACTCTGACTGCAAGTCGATTCCGAACCATCAGGGCTCATCTCCCGCCCGGGTTTTATTGAGATTTCTTTTTCAAGATACTCGGGCTGTTTCGGTTTACGGCTCCCACGGGTTGAATTACTGTCATTCCAGCGAAGAAGTTGGCTATAGCCGAGGCATCTCCTATTGGCGATGGTACATTTCATACAAAAAGGTATTGAAGCATCGCATCGAAGTCTCCGCTGTCGGCAATTATGACATGCTTTCGATTTTGACGGCATGAGAAGCTCACGGATGTTCAAGATTCAGGGCAAGGCACACAAAATCTTGATCATGCCTCTGGACCGCTCTGTACCTTTGACGAATGATATATTGGCTGGGAGATGACGCCGATGCCATCTTTTGCATATAATGAGAAAGCAAAGTGCTTATCTACCTTGCTATGTGTTATACTGTGTAGTATTGGAAGTTTGCAAATGCCCAGATGCCTTATCTCAAGTGACCAGGATTGTCAGTCAAGCTTTCTGATAAGACATTCTCGGACGCGGATTTGTTCGTTCTTGGGCATGGCGTATGCCAAGGGATGCGCATGGTCTAGAAAGGACTTTGAATAAAGCGGCTTGCTCTGCTTCCAGATCGAGTTAGCCTGAACTAGGACATCATCCTTTCTGGCAGAATTTCCAACAAATAAACAACCAAAGTTGAAAGACGAAGTCTCTTTAGGTCCTTAGTTACATACCACACAGATGCCGAACTTGGCATATTGACAATCTCCAGGCCGGAAAGGTTGGTTGGGAGACTCAGTTCCTCTGTCGGATATCTACTCGTTGCTCGGCCTAACTCATGCCATGACTAGCTAATCATCACCAATGTCCCCATGATCTCACACATGCTTTCAGATGTCCTTGTTGTCCTGGCATTGTTACTTAGCATTTTCAGGGACCTCCATTGCTTTGCCGTTCATCTCTCCCACATCCAACGCAACCAAAAACCTGCTCACGCAGTTATAAGCAGCAATTCCGGCGGTCAATTCAACGACTTCTCTCTTGTCAAGCCCAATCTCATTCAGCTTGTCAAAAATGATTTGAGGGACCTCGACATTTTTGGTCATGGCATCCGTGTACCTAACCACAGCTTCTTCCTTGAGAGATAGATTCTCCCATACTCTAGCTTCCCCAAAGCCTGATTGTACGTCGAGAATGGCTTCTAACGCGGCCTTGCTCACTCCTGCCTTGACGGCCAAGATTGCATGTGCTCGCCATTCCCAGACCGCACCATTCAAGGCTCCTATTCGACATATTGCAAGTTCCATCAGACCTTGATCGACAACAGTCTCATTCCTGATTGCGTTGAGAAAGCTGTTATATCCATCTGCCACTGGCGGGGAGTGCAATAGGGTCAAATCGAGTGGAATCAGAGGCCTGGGCTTACGCCTGGCAGCAATCCGCTCGTATATTTCAGCAGCCTTCACTTGATCTTGAGGGGCCGTTTCTGGGGCATATGGAAGACGCATGATGATTTTTCCAGCCCATTGGTTTGGGGGTGAAACTAAGCAACGAACTCCAGAGACTCTATCGTAGGTTTACTAAAGTTGTTACGACTACGGGGGATCAGAAGGGTTTCGGAAGTGGTCCCGGAACTGGCCGTGTCTGGTCCCTCGTCCCAATATCAGCATCAACGAGGACTATACAATAGTGAGACTTTCATCTGACGCGCATCTGGGCGACTGAGTATTCCGTATAACTAATTGACACTAGACACTGCGCTGGTAAGCTCAATCTCTCGATCTCCGGGCCTTCGAGTGCCTTGACGGAAGGGCATGGATCCGATAGGGTGAACCATAGGCCCCGGCTTGTGCCCGGAGTTCCAGAAGACAAACGGAACCTGCCCTGACCAAATTGCCGTACAATCGATCCGCGGGGTAAGTAATTGTGCTGATCGACTTGCACGCGCCTAAGGACATTGCCGTCCCAATCTTCAAGCTGCACAACCACAAATGACTGTATGCGGAGGGTTAATAGCATCCGTTGTGATCTGCATGCACCCTGAAAGGTGTTGACAGTCGATGCCAGGTTTGTTTTCTCGATCAATACGCACAAAGTGGGTGTCTAGATCCTACACCACGCCTTGTCACCACCGACCTGTAGCCTCTACCAACAGCGATCGACATAGTCTTCCTGCCTGCGCAACGCGTAGAAGAATGCTGCACCATCTCATGGTTGGTACCTGGACGCCTCCAGGTGCCATATTCAGCTTCGAGTTCGACGATGAACAACTGACCTTGAAACTGATCAACAGAGCAGAAATTCCGGAAGATGAACCCATATCATGGATGACTTTTAATGTTCGTTCATGTCGACCCAATGACTACTCCGTCCTCCAAATGCTAACACAGGGAAATAGCATTCCAGGAAAACCATATACGGCGCGTCCATGAAAAAATGGTCTAGCCATACGGTCAACAGCCCAACAGATATTCAGCACAATGTGTCGCATTCGATAGCGGGACATGGTATGTGTTACTCTCCTTGTTCCACATCCACGTATTGACGACAAATCTCAGAACTTGCACCAAGCCGCGATACCAATACTCGAGCCATTTTCGTCCTTGCCGCACAGAAACCCCCTTACAATGTCTACGGCAACCCCTTCTACAAGTATGCCTCACACGGGAATGTTTTCAGTGTCCATGACGCTGGTAGATTGGCGCAAAACATACAGAATTATGAGTACGAAGAAAAAGCAGGCGTGCATGGAATGGTCTTTGATCCAACCGAATCATTCCTGTACTCAGCAGACATGGGCGCGGATAAGTTATGGACACATGCAAAGAATCATGAAACGGGACAAGTACAGCTCGCTGGAAGCGTCTCGGCACCCGAGACTGGAGACCACCCTAGATGGGTGGAGATGCACAAGAGTGGAAAACATCTTTACCTGCTGATGGAAGCTGGGAATCGTCTGGCGGAATACAAGATCGACCAAGACTCCCACCTGCCCGAATTTACTGGTAAAAGCTTCTCACTTATCCCAGAAGGTTAGTCTCAAAGTCCTCCACCAAATGGCCTGCTATAATTGACACGCATCAGATTTACGCGCCAATAAAAATAACTATCGTGGTGATGTTGTGTTCTGTGCACAAAGTGGCGAATATCTCTTTGCTACAACGCGTTCCAACACCCTGACAATTCCCGGCTGGATTAGTGCCTACAAGTTGGCCGAAGATGGCAGTATTGAGAAGCGAGTGCTGCTACAAGCCACCAGTTCCAGTGGAGGTCATTCAAATGCACTCGGCATGTGTCCCTGGACGGATGAATGGATTGCCTTGACAGATGACACCGTTGGCTTTATTGAAATGTACCGATGGTCCAATGAAAAACTCCAGGTGGTGGCGAGGTGTGAGGTGCATGAACCTGGATTTGGCATGAATGCGATTTGGTATGATTAGAAAGAATCCTGTCATAGTCAAAAGTGTCCACCTTCTGCGTAGATGACAGAGAGAACGTTGGTGTGATCTCACGGCGAAGACATTCAAGCCCGTTGTTTGGAGTACGGTGCGACGGATGCCGGCTGAAAATCCCAGATCTTCTCTGGGGAAAAGAAAAAAGCCGACAGGCGATGCCGATCCGTCAGGGCAGCTTCCGAGCAGCTTTAGATTCACGTCATAACTAGCCTTTGGTGGGATTGCCTTGACACAACTAATTATCTTGTATGACCTACACTCCTGAGCGACGGGAAACGCGAGGTCTATAGTTCTGTACATACCAGAGCAAAACAGTACAATCACTTGCTCCAATCGCAATCATCTGGGAGGAAGCCAGCACGTGGATTTGTTGCAAGTGATAAATCGATAATTCCTGATACAACAATGGCAGGAGCCAGTCCCACTCCAGGGCTCCTGTTCGTAAGGATGAACCCACACGACAATTTATCTCCCGAAGAATTTCATGACTGGTACAACAATGAACACGGCCCTATGCGGCTCCGACTAGATTCAATTGAAAATGGCTACAGATTCCGGGCACTCGATGTTGCTGAAACGAAATTCTCCAGGTATGAGACAAGTGATACCGAGACGACGGAAAGAAAGGTAAGTCTTTGTTTAATTCTAACGTGCTCATGTCTATGGATGAAGCAGCAAATATTGAAGAATACGCTAGGTGGCCCAGTCAAGTCTTCCGACACCCAGCAAAAACAAGGCCGAATGGCTTGCAGTATACGACATCGATGACATGGCAAATCTTCAGAAGGATTCTTATCTTCGATTAAGATCTCCTCCTTGGAAGTCTCAACGCGAGATTTCCGTGATGTCACGAATCGATGTAGATCGCCGACTGTACGACCAGATTTACACTTCAAGTGTCTCCAAATATCAGCCATTGGACTCACTACCAGAAGTTAAGGAGAACTCGAATATCCTCATCGTTGCATCCCGAACATTGCCGGTCACTGATGTCCCCAAGTTGGTGAAATGGTACAGTGACCAACGACTCCCTGTTCTCAAGAAGGAGCAAAGCTGGAAGCGTACCCGCTTGTTCAGTACCCATGACGAGGGGAGTCAAGGAGCAACAATTGAGGTTATAGTGATGCACGAATTTGCAGCTGAACAAGCTCAAAATGATCTCGAAGCCGCCGCTAAAACAATCACATCTGCTGACCAGGACTGGGCTGGAAATCAAGGTCAAGATGCCGATATCAGACCTTATGAACTTCATTATGTTTTTGGTCCTGGTCCAAGACATTTGACCGCAAATGCACCAAAATACGATCATGAAGTGGCTGGTACGAGAACGACAGGGGCAAGCCTCAATGGAGGACGGTCAACAGTGCATTCACAAATAACAACGGAAGACGGAGTTTCACTACCATACCTGCTGGAGGGATCCGTTCATCCCGAAGCTCCCCTCATTGTCCTATCCAATTCTGTTCTCGTGGACTGGCACATCTGGGATGACTTTGTGGATGATTTCCTCTCGCGTTCAGAAAGCCAACGATATCGCATATTACGGTACGAGACCCGTGGCAGGACCAAAAATTGTGGTAGTCAACCCATCACCGTGGACTCATTAGCCAAGGACATCTTGACGTTACTCAATCACCTCAGGGTCGAAAAAGCTGCGGCAGTCATTGGCGTGAGTCTAGGAGGAGCAACTGTTCTCAACTTTGCTCTCAAATATCCATCAAGATTAGAAAACGTCGTATCTTGTGATACTAATTCTAGCAGCCCTCCTGGGAACGACAAGCTATGGCTGGATAGAATTGCGGTAGCAGAGAAGGAGAACGCGACCAGAACTCCGACTGGGGAAAACATCATTGGTGAAGAATTAGGAGAGTTGACTGTTCGAAGGTGGGCGGTTGCGGAAAGCTATGATGGTGGTCAACTTGAGGGTAAGGTGCAGAAGGTGAAAGAATCGGTCATTAGCAACAGCTTGCATGGGTTCAAGAACGTCGTCAAAGCTCTCTGGGACTATGATTTGAGACCAGAGATGAAAACGGCGACAGTACGTGCGCTTTTCGTGGTTGGTGCTGGAGACGGAAAGCTTCCAACATCAATGGCAGCTATGGCCCAGGACTATGGAAACGGTGCTGGCTTTCATCAAATCGAAGGTGCTGGGCATTTACCGATGGTCGAGAAACCTCAAGAGTTCTCCTCCGTGGTGACTGAATTTCTATCTAGATCATAACTGGGAGGGGCATCCAGGTTAAAAGGCGATATTCAAATTCATCTCTTTCTCCGACGGCGCCTGAAGGGGTATGCGGGCCAGAAGCCACCAGTTAAGTCCTTGCGAGAAGCTAATACAACTCATGAACCCGACCCTGGAACTGGATGACCTAGGTACGCCTGTCGGCATCGCCTCGTTCTCCATGCTACTCGTACTATTGGCTATTTTAATCATCAGAGTGAGGCCCATGGACCAGGTTTGTAATCAGGAGAAGAGGAAGCCTGTTCCAGTCAAACGGGCGTGCCGAGGGAAAGAAAACCCAAGCACTCCCAGTTCAGTTAACCACGAGGAGAAGACTTTCTTCTACCTTTTCTTATGTTTGACATTTCTCTTATCAGATTCTTTTGATCGGTAGCGCACGAAGTAATAGCAAGTCCACTTGCAACCTCTCCAATCCACCATAACCACCATAACAAGGGCCATCAAGAAGCTATTTCGTACGTAACGATCTCTTTCAGCCAGCCTGACGACTAAGTTACTCTGATTTGATGCCCCTGAGTGGACACTCTTAGGTGGAATACGACTTTGTTTGTCAGGTCGTTAGGCACCGTCGTGATACTTACGTATAGGTCGCCATTTGAGGCACCAATCTAGCTGCTCGACTTCGTTGGCACTCGGCTAGCCACCACCTCCCTTCGTATTTGAACAAAGCTTAACCACGACAAGCCAACCACCTTATTTTGGCGATCGACTATTACGAGGGCTGAAGATCTAAACCGTTCAGCTAACAGGATCTTGGGCAAGACCAGATTGTTATCTTTCGTGAACTAAGGCACTTTCTTTTGGAGATTTGCTCCTACTTGACCAGATTGGTCCTTCGGGGACCACCCACCCAGCTTGACATTCCTGATTAGATGTTTGAGGTGAAGTTTTTCCTTCCTCTTGCTGATGGGACGCATATAAGCTGGCGGTACGCAGCGTCCTACCTCAAAATGAGCTTGTGTTGTGCATTGACAGGCTGCTTCCCACTGGCCACGCCCTTTTTCGTTTTCCCCTCAACCCATCTATGAAATTATTCTGCAAGCATGGCATTTCCCACCCAGCCAGCATTCGTTGTTCACGGCGATATGGACGAAAGAACGGCCAAACATCCCGGAATGAAATTCCTGGAAGCTGTTAAAAGCGACTTTGACCAGCGCAATTGGGATCCCAAGTACTATGCACCGGACTTCACCTGGGTCGCGCCTAATGGCCAGGTAACCGAAGGCCGAGACAAGGCGCTGGAGGTCATCAAAGCACAATACATGCCTCTCACCGCACATTGGCATGAGCCCTTTTACCAGGTGTGCACCGAAACCGGCTATGGCTACGAGCTGCTCGGATCGGCCACCATGTGGGCCAACCTCGCGGGGGAGCCAGCGGCAGGCGAGACCAAGAAACACGACAAGAATGGGAGGGCCTGGGACCTGGCGGGACCTGGAGGCTTTCGCTTTCACGTGGTGAAGCATGGCGATGGCTTCCTACTGAAACGGATGGAAGTAACTGCGGATTCGGGACCAGTGGTCATGGCAATGATCCGGAGAGGAATGCTCAGCGCTCAAGATCTGGGATTGTGAACACTCGGTGTAAGGGGCAAGTGGGTTTTGAGGAGCAAACGGCCTGACTGACTTACCCAGCTCGAAGGTTTCTTTTGGTTCAATGTCCTCTCATTATCCTCTTACCTTGTGGGAACGTCCAAGACCGACTAGCACACAATTAAAATAAAATTCATCGTGCATCATGGAGGCGGTGACCATTACTTGCTTATCATGATATTATTGAAATTGAATCAGAAGCGTCACAGTTAAGATGAATATGCACGTCGTACGAAATACTACCTGGTATCGCTTGCGCAGCTAAGGTACAGGCTGCGGGAGAATTGCTTCCCAGCCCTTTCGCCGAGGGTTCAGGCCAATGAGTAAGACACTGGTTTTCGTCTGCTAAAACCAGCAAAGTCTGGATTCCTACATTCAAAAACCTCGACCCTAAACCAATCGAACGATAACACCGCTTAGTCCAACTATTGTCTCGCTCGAGGTGTCCCATGGTCTAATTCGACGACCCCAGGCGGCACATCTGATCCAGACAGCTCTAGGACTTTCTTCTCCATGGGACTTCCAGCGTGATGCGTCGGTAGCTAGGGTCGACTTGAGTGGACAAGCGATCCTGGAAGCTCCTCACCTATAGATTGTGAAAGCTTGGCATTCATATTTCCAGCACGCTCATTCCCACAGCGCCACTTCCAGAAGATGAACGCGGCGACACCGACAAGTAAAAGACCTCCAAGTGAGGTACCTACGGCTATGCCAATGGTAGCACCCGAAGACAGGCGTGTCGGGTGGATGGATGTGCAATTCGCTATTGCAGTCGAAGAGGTAGAGGTGCTTGCGTCAGTAGTTTGGCCAGCCCCCGTGGGTGACTTTGTGGCAAGCGTGCTGGAGTCAGCATTGATCGTAGTGGCACTTGTCATTGCACCACTCAGATCTACCGAAACCGCAGGCGAGTACGAGGCTCCAGTCACATCATCCTCCAAGATGAAATACCAGATGGGGGTGTTGTTGAACTTCGTGACATCAGGCATGGGCAGTAAGGTGACTTGGTCAGATGAGTTGAAAATGTTGACACCACCGACATAACCCCCTGTTCCAAATGCTGTCCACGAGAGTTATGACATTATATGGACGAGGTTTTTGCTCTGTTAAACGGCATTTAGCTTACCTTGTGGGATAATGTAGTTGGATGCGAACAAAGACGGCTCGGTCTGGATGTGTCATCAGCATTTATGTTCATACACGACGCGCTCTCATGGGTATCTTTTGACGGAACTCACACCAAGCAAAATGGAAAGAAGTCCATTGGTTGGTCGGGACTAGGTTAAGGTATAGTTGGATTTGGGAATGATCTTGGGAAGCCCGTCATTCGGCGCATTGACGGTGTTATTCAGGTTGGCGACTTGGGCGGTCGCTGGTGATGATAAGCAACAGAGAAGCAAGAGCCCAGAACGGATTTCATAGCGTTGTGTGGGATCTCATCGACTGAAGTGAGCGAGGGGGACGAAAAAGGTCGTTTTTGAGCGCAGATGGGAAAGACAAGGTATTGAGAATACAACAGCAGAGTCGAGCGAGAAAGGGACCACAAATCGAGACTGAGGGACTAATTGCGACAAAGGTTTGGGTCCTATATCTCGTATGAGGTGGCCTTGACCTACCTTCGCGCGGGCGTATCAATGTAGGCTGTGGCTGGCTATGGTTTCCACCGAGGTAGTTGGTAGCCATTTCCACACCAAGATCTGCCAACGTGCTCTCCGCTTAGAAGTATTCGAGTGTGGTCGTGCGAACACTACTATTCTCACATAGCGGGCTTCCGCCTAGAGAATCGGTTATGGTCGTGACGGATGATATTAAACAGTTAGGACATCACGATAGCAAAGTGTCTGGGAATCGACGCCCGGGACGATCTGTTGATGGTGGGTGTGGTAGGCTTGTAGCGCTCTTCGATTCGGCATGGGTGCAGCAACCCACGAAATAGGCTCCATCAGGCGATCACAAGCTTTGTTATTCCTGCGGGTGAAGCTTAGCGAGAGAGCCAGCTAAGCGAATAAGACCAGTGTGGCCCAACTTCGCAGTCTGAACGACGGAAATACCGAAGTAGCCAGACGCCTTCTTGAATGCTGGTCGTTCTGAGTCAAAATTTGCCGGTAATTGTACAAAGATCATGGTCGCCAGGAAGAAATATGGTTGGAGATCACCACCTAGGTAACTAGCAGCCTCTCCGGAACCTACCCGTGTAGATTCACCTTCGTCGTTTTAAGATACCAATGTCCCGAGTGGATTTAAAGGGAGGAACTAGTTTTCATAGATGATTGGGAAGCTAGGGGTAGAACGCCACTCAAAAAAGACTAGAAACAGTCTATTTCCCGATCTTTCTCTGGACTCTACTTCAGCCAAAGTACAAGGAAGGCATACGAGTAGGAAGACCTTGAAGGTTTAACAGCGCCGCTCGTTCTGCCAAGACTAGTCATCACGTGATTGAAGACGTGTTGCCACGTGACCTGGCTTCCGACTCCAAGGTTCCTCTTCGGAACTTTTTCCAAAACCGTGGTTATGAACATTCTTACGGTTCATCGATGGCCATGTCAGTGACCCGTCGCTTCCTACATACTCCTTGGTAAGGAAAGGATATTAGACCAGGGGTAATCAAGGCGATGAAGACACCTGTTGTGCCATCAAAGAGTCTTTTGCGCTTTCTACGATCACAATCCAGCTTTGCCTGCAACACTCATTGTTTGCGCCTTCGATCCGTCGATCCGAGCCAGAAATCATGTCGAGGGCTGGCAACATCCCCCCCATTGCTTTCAAGTCGATCTTCCACCAACGATGAGATCTGGCAGCGACCTCGTGAACCTCTCAAGGCATTGCCTGCTCCCAGATCTCTTCCTCCCAAGGCGACTCAAACTCGAAATGCCAGCACAGAGAGTCATCCACCAGGCTTCTGGCGACGATGGCTACGCCATAGACAAGCCCTAGCTCGCTCAAAAATCCCCCCCGATCCTCGCACCGGCAATTCCTCTTACGAAGAAGCCTCGGCTCAACTCTTCAATCTCTCTAGGACTCTGTCGAGAAATACCTCGGGCGCAGATCTCAAACTGCGCTGCACCGAGTTTGATGCCAATGGCTCCGTCACTCTGGTCTCCGGGGAATTTAAGAAGTCCGAGTTGATAGCCAAATACGGTCTGCAGCCTCGAGATTTGAGGAAGATCGACTCCTCAGTCCTCCCTCATATTCTCGTTCGACCAACTGCCCTCCTCATCAATCTCCTTCATCTTCGAGTCCTCATCCAATCCGACCGGGTCCTAGTCTTCGATGCTTATGGCAGTACTGATTCTTATACCCAATCGCTATTCATGTACGATCTAGAGGGCAAGCTCCGACAGAAGGCAGACCCCAGGAATGGATCAACACATCTTCCCTATGAGCTGCGTGCCCTCGAAGCAGTACTCATCTCGGTCACCTCGGGATTGGAAGCTGAATTCGCCCTGGTCCGAGAGCCCGTTGCCAACATTCTTCAAGCCCTAGAAGAAGATATCGATCGAGATAAGTTGAGACATCTGCTCATTCACTCCAAGAAGTTGGGCACCTTTGAACAAAAGGCTCGATTGGTTCGGGATGCCATTGATGACTTGTTGGAAGCAGATGACGATCTGGCCACCATGTATCTCACCGAACGAAAACTCACTGGCACGGCGCGAGAGGAGGACAATCATCAAGAGGTGGAGATGTTGCTAGAGTCATATCATAAAATCTGTGATGAAATCGTCGAAATTTCCGGTCTCTTGATCAGCAATATTCGCAATACCGAAGAGGTAGTCAAGGCTATTCTCGACGCAAATCGTAATCAGCTCATGCTTCTCGAAATCAAATTCAGCATTGGTACATTGGGACTCGCTGGAGGCACTCTGGTCGCTGGACTTTATGGTATGAACCTGAAGAACTTCATAGAAGAGTCGGATCTGGCTTTTGGCGGGGTCAGTGTCATTTGTTTTGCTCTGTCTGCCATGATCTGTGTCTATGGCATGCGCAAACTACGAAAGGTCCAAAAAGTGCGTATGTGGGGCGAAGGCATTGACATCTTCGGTCGCCAACCCAGAGGTGGTGGAAGAGGCAACTGGAGGAATGAGGCTGTTGAAAGCCAAGCACAGCGTCAAAGCAGATTGAATAGGACTGGGATCAATTATGCAACTCATCCAGCTCAAGCCGGGCCTGTACTCTGGCCAGGAATGGAGGGTCTGGGAGTGCATAAACTCGATTCCACTGGAGACAATGATCGACGAAGTGGTGAACTAGACACCAATAGTGACGCTGACGTGCATGGGCATGACGATGTCAACGCAACGACTCACGATGAGTTTAAAAGTGTCGAATCAAGGATGAGAGCGGACACGGTTCAAGAAAGAGGCGTGGCTGTGAAGAACCATCAGCGACAGCCACATCATAATCATGGACATCGCCATGGCAAGAAATGAGCGGAAATACGACGGTCCGGACAACGACTGATCTTGTAACACCACCATTGTCACTCTCCTATTTGCATTTACGTGGCGATGTCTCGACTCTTGTCATTTTCACTTTCTAGCGTTCAAGCGGGACAACGGAGCCACGGCTGAGAAATCTATTACCAAAGATGGGACGGAGAGGATTGGAAAGCCATAGATCCTACACATTCTGTACACACTGTGGCATTCTTCTCCCGGTAAAAGGCCCGAGAGCCCCACTCAGCGTGGCAGACCAACACGACGGTAGTCGTTCATGTATAGACACATAGCACTCCTTTCTAGAATAGACTGTGTGTGGAGCTTCACACTCATCTCTTGAGGATTCTGCCCCATAAATATAATATTCCTGCACTTCTGAAAGACTCAGTTCAATCTCCGATCGGAACCATTGTTCAACGTTTAGCACTCACCATTGAGAACGTCGTCGAAAGACGTACCCTACGGCGGTCTTGCGCTGGAGTCGGAATGGATTTAGGTATCTGGATTCTCTATCGCTTGATTGGTGATGCGAGAACTATGGTAATATTATTTCTTGAACTCTGACACTAGCCTTTCCCCTTCCCCGAGTTCGGCATCACTGCTTGTTCTAATACTGAGTATACTGTGGAGCTTTTGACTTGGTTTGACCTTTAATCTTCGGACACTGTCCAATATCATCCCATGTCCCATGAGTCCAGTGCTACTCTCCGATGTTGTTCTTGTTTGTTCGCTCCGCTGGAATTCCCCTTGTCACCCGGTTGCCTGACGACCTCAAGGTGCCAGGAGAGGATTGGTAGGTCTCATTCTTGCACTCTGAGTATTCCCATGACCACAAGGCTAAGCGCAAGTCTACACACTTATAAAGGCACGTGCTTCCCGAAATCACCAATCATCATCGTCATCTTTCTCATCATCTAAGAAACCCAAGAGTTAGCGATTCCTACCGGACAAAACAGCATAATATGGGCAAAAGTTTAAACTTACCACTTCCGCTAACTTTCTTCTTCCTCTGGCTCAATGCTGCCGCAAGCGCACCCGCAAGACCACCTTGATCGGCACCACCGGCCGGAGAGCCAGGAGCACCGCCCGATGGAGCAGATGCCACGTTTTCACTTCCAGGGACCTGTGCTGCAGAACGGTCTCGTTTCTCACTGTCTTTGACTTTGCGCAGGCCACCACCGCTTTTGCCGCCTGTGCCACGGATGGCTGCGAGCAGACTGTCGTGTGGGTCTCCGCCGCCCGAAGGGAGACGAGGCGGCGGTGGGCCTGCTCCGCCAGGTGGTGGAGGTGGTGGCGGAGGGGGCCCTCCAGATGCTGGCATTGGTGGTGGTGGCGGTGGGAGTGGAGGTCCGGCGGATGATGGCATCGGCGGAGGGGGCGGAGGGGGCGGTGGTCCAGCGCCCGTCGGTGGTGGTGGGACTGCCCTGGTATTGGGCGGTGGTAATGGTGGAGCATTGTTACGACCAGGTGGTGGAGGTGGTGGCGGCGGGATGAAGGCAGGCGCAATGGCATGGCCCGGTGGTCCCGAGGCCTTTGGCGGCAACGGTGGTGGTACAGCTCCATATCCTGTATCCCGACTGGGTGGTGGTGGTGGCACAGGGCCACGACTGGGAGGTAATGGTGGTGCCGATGATTTGCGCTCTCCAGAAAACGGCGGAGGAACCCTGAACATTCCTGATGATGGTTCATCATCGACAGGCGATTTTGGTGGCCGAGGTGGAGGTGGTGGGCCAGGATTCGCAAGTGAAGCGGATGACGCTCGATCTCTACCGGATGACAAGTTTGGCGGGGCAGCCTTGCCTGCAAATTTACCGGCATCGGCGAGGGGTGGAGGAGCACGGAATCTCGGCTGTGGGCTTGGAGCGGGAGATGGAGTTCTCGGAGGCGGAGAAGGGGAGCGAGGGGGCGAAGGGGCTCTTCCACCAACTGGTCTGCGTGATGGCGGTGGTGCTGGTGGAGGACCTCTTCGGCTGGAAGTCGTGGTACCCGTATTGTCAGGGCTTATCCTTGATGGTGGTGCTGCAGGTGGTGGCGGCGGCGGCGGAGCTCTGCTTGATCTTGTCTCTGTCGCTGAAGGTAAGGCCTGAACAATACCATTTGCCATCTCCTCGGCCTGCTTTTGCTTGACATAGTTCTTGATGAAATCAGCATTCTGTTCGATCTGGTCCTCGGTGATTCCCATCTCAAGCAACTCGTTCAAGATCGGTCTCCACGTGGGATCTGAAAGATCAATAGAGCCACTCGCACTATTTTGGGGTCGCATGGGAGCACCCGGACTGTAGAGAGGCTGAGGAGCAATTGACTGAGGCTGCTGTGGCTGAGTGGGAATGGAGCTGTGCCTGTGACCTCGTAGAAAATTTCCCACTCGGCTGTGATGTTTGTGAGAACCACCAGGGACGTACACCTGTCCGCCTCCGAGAGAAGAAGCGAACGGTTGAGCCTTTGTCTGCTTGCTAGCATTCTTTTCTCTTTCGTCCATCTTCTTCTTGAATTGTCTGGCTTCTTTCTCGTCGATAAAGGACAAACCGGCGATACATTGTTCGAGTTCGAAGGAATGGAAAAAGGTGCGGTCTTGGTTGTATTGGAAGGTGTCATAGATTTCCTGGTCCCAGATGACACCTCGATTGGCGGAAGAGATGTCGACCAGTTTCAGCCAGAAAGTGTTTCCCACCAAGTCGTTGCTCAACACGGCCGCACCCTGTAGTCCAGTGTAGGTCCACCGCCCTCGATTGGGGAGAGCGACATAAAGCCTGGCCACAGCGACAGCCTGGATCTTGTTCGAAGCCTTGGGGACCGTCCTTTTGACGGTCTCTTTATCGGCGTCGGTAAGAATGGACGGCATGGTGGGAGAAACTCCCTGGGGTGGGTAGTAAGCTTATCGTGGGATGATGGATGAACCACAGAATGGTCCGGTGATAGGGGGAGGCCAGACAGATGGGAGTCGAATGTAAGAAAGATTGAGGTCAGGCTGGTGAGGAGACAGGATTATCGAAACCTGGAGAACGACGTTGATGGAGAATGATCGAGGTGGAAGTGGAGGTGGAGGCCTTCCTTCAGGTTCCAAGGTTCTGCCTTTTGACAGCCGCGTGGATTGCAGGGATTCATTCGTATCCTCGAGGGAAGTTCAAGGTCAAGTCGGGCCACGGGGACGTCACTCTTTAGTTAAGAGCCAAGAAGCTAATGGCTGGTTTGTACCGAGAACGAGAGCCACAAACGCCGCCTCCCTGACTACCTACAGCAGGTACCTAACTAGGTGGTTAGTGATTTAGGCAGGTAGGTAGTAGCTTCAGGCATAGTCACAACCGACCGAGGGCCCTTCGGGCTATTAATCGCACTAAGAAGACTCGCCCCAGGCGCCAACGCTCGATAAGTGGTGCCCTTTGCACCTGAAGCCCCAAAGCATCCTTTTGCTGCCTTGACATTCTATCATCAGAAAAGGTCATCACAAATACTCCCGTTTTTCAGATGTCGCAAAACATGCTTGGAACAACCTTTAACCAGTCTTACTTCTGTGATCTTCATATCGTTCATCTTGAGTTATCTTTCCATGGTATATCAGGCAAAGCACGAATAACGCCAGATGTGAATGGCGGCCGTCCATCCATGAAATGCCCCATGATTGAAACGTTGTTCAACCATGGCTAAACGTCATTGCCAGGCTACCGTCTCCTTCATGGGACGCCGTACCAAGATGTTAGAAGCTCTAAGCACTTATAACACTCCATGTCTGCCCCCTTGATGAGGAATTGCAAGGTTGTCGCTCTTTGTTGGGGCTCAAAGGATAAACCTCTTATTCCTCCCAAAATATGTCAGGTATTCCGGTGGTCACCGACGAGGACGGCGTCCAAAGTCTAGCCGGGCCAATCTTTGAGTTTGATTACATTAATGTCAACAAGAACGAGACGAGGTTCCTGATCTTGCTGCCTTGCGGTGGAGATAAAGGAGCCCCAGAAAACCATGTCAGGTGTTCACTTGAGGTCCAACCACTGACCGAGGCCGATCCTTTTGTCGCAGTCAAAAATGGTCGTGGCTATAGGTTGATGCAGTTGCCCATCGAAATCAATGGGAAATATCTACTCGTCTCCATCGCTCTCGAAAGGTTCCTCAGGCATTACAGGAAATCCGACGTTCCTGTCCGCCTTTGGCTACGCTATTTGTGTGTCAACGATAAAGACGCTGCAGAAATGTCTTCTCAGTGGACCCGACCATGGGTTGACAAGATGTATGAGCTGGCTGAATCCATCGTTGACATGCAGCCGTTCTTACGCGACCTTCAGGATCGAGGTGTGTTCGAACATGCAGTTGACGCGAGGTATATGGACTGGACCAAAGAATGGGAAGAACCGCCAGAATCCGGGCCATTGCCCAAGATATTCCCTGTCCGGTTAGGAGCAAAACCTGCTCCTGAAAATCCCACAGCGAATTACGAGTACGTGCCGTTGGACACAGTCGCAGACGAGACTCGCATTGCCGTGATCTCAAATAACCCAGATCGGGAGGCGCCTCTGTCAATTTATCTGGCCCACTGCCCCGTCGTCTGTGAGGTTGCATATCATGCGTTATCCCACACATGGGGCTTGGATCATGAGAGCTGCGACATCATCGTGACGGGTCAGAAGTGGCAGATGCGCAGAAATCTTGAGGTTGTGCTTCGTTACCTGCGTTCCCCAACGCATGGATTCGCCATCTGGGTGGACACCCTTTGTATCGACCAGTCCGACCTTTCGGAACGCAATCATCAGATCGACCGCATTGCTCGCATATTCGACCGGGCTGCCTGTGTTATCTGTTATGTCGGTGATTCTGACCAGTACAGTGACCTTGCCTTGGATTTCGTCAAGCATTTACACTCTCTCCCAGTGGTGCCATGTGATGAGAACGGGAATTGGAAGGTCGGGCAGCCTGAACGTATCAGTGTCTCAAAACTCCCAGAATACTGTGCCGCACTATATCTATTCCTCAAACGACCGTACTTCCGCCGTGCGTGGATCATTCAGGAAATTGCCCTGGCTTCCAGTCCAGTCATCGTTTGCGGAGACAGACATGATGTTTCCCTCCGCCTGCTCGACCAAGCCACGCACAATCTATTCTATATGATCTCCCAAGACGCGGAACTTTGCGAGAACATGATGAAGTCCGCACCCGAGATTGGCGAAGTCGACATTGACGAATTATACTTCGTGCGCAAACTGTTCTACTTCCGACATCTACACACTGGAGGTGCCTTGTATGGATGGAAAAGAGCTGAAGTTAGCGCGACCTCGCCCGGTTACCTGGAGACTCTGATCCTTGCCAGGAATTTCCAAGCCACCATCCCACACGACAAGATTTTCGCCCTATGGAATGTGGCCAATGACAAAAAGGGACTGGAGTTCGCAATGGATTATTCCGTTCCCTTTGATCAGACTTGTATGAACTTCGTCAAGGCGTGGTGTGCGCAAACTGGTTCCTTGGACATCATCGGTGCGGCGGAATTCGCACGTCCCAGTGATACCAATCTCAACAACTTCTACGCCACCGCCTCATCCTGGTGCCCCGACTGGAGCGTATCATCTCAGGCCAGCTCTTTTATTCGCCGAGAAACCTTCCGCATGGAATCCATGGATTGGATGGACGACATCGACGGCACGATCTACTGGGCCGACGGTGGCGTACATCAAGAGCCAGGCACCGACAAATTCTTTACCTTCGAAGGCAGAACATTATATTGCACAGGCTTAATTCTAGACCACGTGATGGCATCTCTACCGAGGAACCCAAATGACTCTTCTGTGGCCGCAAAAGTCGGCGGTCTCCTCGGCGCAAACAAGCACTTTGAAGCCGAGGGCAAGAAAACGCCCTACGAAGATGCCGAGCAAGCAGTCATGGCAATGATGCACGGCGACGTTGTCGCTGCATGGCCACGCCGTGAAGATAACATGGAGAATGCCGACGAGGATCTCCCAATGGAATCGTACGTGTGCACCCCTCGGCGGCCAAGAGCGTGCCAGGAGCGTTTGCCCTCTGAGTCGCGCCACGTCCCGTATTACGCGGGCGGCTACAGACGCTCCGAAGCATACCACGTGGCGCGCACGATCCTGCGTGGGAGAATCCCCTTCATCACCGCAAAGTACTATCTCGGCCTCATGCCGGAATACGCTGTCGCGGCTGATGGGGAGACACGGACCTTGGTCGTCGCGATCCTGGCGACGTGCTCGGTGCCGGTGTTATTAGAGGAACACCCAAAGGTTCCTGGGGCGTATAGGCTTGTCGGGACGTGTTTCGTGCAAGGTTGGATGGAGGGCGAAGTCTTGTGCGAGGAGATGGGTTGCGATGACCCTGCGGAGTTTTGGAATGCGTTGGAAGGGAGTGAGAGGTTAAGGATCTTGTGAGCGCGCACTTCTCATCCTCATCGATAGATCTGATGGGTCGCTGTGATGCTAGCTACGCGTGATACTGAGCACTGTCGTACATTGTTCAATTTGATCCGGGAAGTCAAGTGTGCGACCCGGCCAGGGATCGATGAACCCTCTTGAACTAAGCTAAGGATTCGGTCAGAGATCCAACCGCCCCTGAACCCGGAGCGAACCCTCGTCAAACGTAATACCATTCCTCCTCATCACACTCCTCTGCTCAGCCAAAGCATTGACCCAAGCACCTAGTCTGTATCCTGCCTTTGCAATCTGTGCCTCGACAATCGGCACCGCGCCTTGATAATACTCTTTCGATACATCCTCAGGACCATGCCACTCCCACCGACAGTCATCGTTGTTCCTATCACGCCCGAGATTCTTTCCATCTTTCAGTACGTACGAGCATATTAACTTGTTCGCTTCTCCAGCCCATTTCAACGCGCATTTTTCGGGGGTGTTGATGTTGATGCATTCCAATGCGGTTGGGGCGGCAAGCAAGCCAGCGTCGATTCTGGTCTTGAGTTCTGCAGCCCAGGTGCGGGCCAGGCTCTTGTCGTAGACGTTATTAGGATCCGGGCTTGTAGGCCTTTTGTAGCCGATGAGTTTCTGGATTATTAGAGAGTCCCAGACTTGGTGGAGCTTTTCCCGTGGTGAGTTTAAGGGGCCCCATTGGACCATTAGATTGTTGCCGCCTTTGCATTTTTCCTCGGTGTGAAGAGGTTGTGTCACGTCCCCCAGGAAATGGAGCAGAAATTTGAAGGCGTTGCTCTGCTCCTGCTTTAAGAGTGCTTGATTGTTGACTCGAGAGGTCTTGGTGGGTTTCCAGAGAGTTAGCGTTCGAAACAAACGTACCTAATGTGGATGTTTTGGGAGCGGGCTCAATAAACTGCTCACCATATTCACGATGGCCGCTATGACACAATGTTTATCTGGATCACAGTCGGTACTATACACTATGGTGCAATTGTCTGGGGGATCATCCTTTGCATCGATGTAATGCCATGGTTTTGAGAAAGGCATCCGGATCTGGACACCATGATCGTCCGCCCAGACCGCACCATCAGATATATCAAACATGGCGGTAGGGGCAAGGAGTTCATTGAAGAGTGCCTCGCCATTAGGGGTGAAATACAAGCGGGCTAGATATCCGACTGTTCGGTGGCCATGCTCGCCCCATGCGAAGGATTCAACGCTGAATGACAGCACCAGAAGAGCGGTATGCACAAAAAAGGCACGCATAGTGAAGTCTGCCAGTCAGTGACGTGGGTTTGGAAGGGAGATGTGGTTGACCCTCAGGAGGACTTTGGAAATGGAGAGAAATATATATGTGAGTAAGAACAACCCACCTCGCACTAGGTGCCCGTCAACCCGAGGGTAGCTACACCAGCTGAGCATTCTTTCTGTGCATATGCAGATGTCAAACTCGGCCATCTAAGCACCCCCCTCATGTTGGACACAAGAGAGCGCCCCGGCAGCCTTGAGAGATATTGGCTTTTGGTTCTCTCTGGTCTTGCATCTTCAGCTGAATGGATGCATGAAATGAGGCTGAGACTCGATGTCAAGAGGTGACAGGACTTCCTGACAATTGGCTGTCACTGTGCTTTGCCAAGTGATCACCCTCACGTCTTTTGAGGGGTAGCTTCTCAAGACCAGAGCTTCAACTGTGGAGGTGTGAAAGTGGCTAGCTGTGAGAATGAAATGTGCTTTCGACGGCAATCTGGCCTTGACCTTGAGATGCCATTTCTCTCATGGTCGAGATTGGAATGAGAACTGGTTTACTGTCATTGATTGATTTTGGTCATCCCAACGAAACTCGGGAAGGACTCCTCCCCATCGTCATTGCTTCCCCACACTGATAATCCTCCCAAAGTATGGCAGACGTCATCGAGGTGACATGATGTGATGGCTACACAAGAATCAGGCAGAGCCATAAGTAGGCAATCATAAATCCAATTCATCTTTAATCCGTAAACCATAATTCATAATTCATCCACTGGAACCTTCGCTCATTGAATTTCTCAAATCTGCTTCTACCATTCTCCATCTCAACTTGAATCTCATAGCAAAATGCCAACCCTCCCCTCCGAAGAGAATCACTCAGAGCCGCGAGGCAGTTTGACGGACAAAGTGGCCAAAGAATCCAGCGACTCAACCGCCTCGGACCATCCCATCCACGACAAGGCGCAGGCTCATCATCACCAAGGCAAGGGACCCCAGATCAGCGACAGTGAGTGATTTCCTTGCGAGAAGCCGAAATGATGTGCCATGAATGGTTTGCTAATACGAGTTTGAACATGATAGATATCCCTACCACGGCCGAGGGCTCAAAGGAGGAACTCCAGGCTAAGGCTAAAGAGTTGAACAAGTAAAGAGAATGAGTGTTGTCATCTAGACAGGCTGGTGCATGAGACTCGAGCTTGCCAGAAGCTGGCCGGATTCATAAACATCATGACACCTCAGCAGGATGCACAGGGTTTTGCATTGGTACTCTAGCATCAGGCAGACATAAAATAAAATGAAGATCTGATCCATGCCTGTCCCGGTTTGTTTGCTTGGTGTCTGTTGCCATCTGCGTACTAGAGATGAACTTGTCATTAATGTGCTGCTGTACGCCATGTCATGCACCGACTCCATTTCATGCCATTCCTTCCAGGAAACCCCGAAAAGCATTCGCTCAATCGTACAAAGAGACATCTCTTGAATCATACCCTCCGTGCCCTCTTTCCCAATGGCTCTCCACTTGCCGTCCGATCTTGACTTCGGGTCACGCGACCAGTAGAAATCGCCAGCGACTCGTTCGGAGGGGTTACCGGTGAGTTGGACTTTGACTCTGCTGCTCCCACGGTGATCGTATCGTCGGCGTTTGCTTCTGCGTCGGCGATTGCTGCTAGTTCAGTCGCCGTTTCGCCGCCGCTGGATGGTCTAGATTTGGGCAGAGTGATGGCGAAGTAGATTAGACGCCGGCATTTTTTCTCTTGGTCGATGAGCCTCACAGATGTCTTGTCTTGAATCCCTTGATCGGACTTGATGCCTTCTTTTTCCTTCTCAGAGTCGGAATTCTTCTCGGCCACGGTGTTTGTGTCGGCCTTGGTATTCGTGATGGCCAGTTTGTCCTTTTTCTCTTTCTCGTCGCCAGATTTGAGACCCTTCTTGTCGTCATCCTCGGGAAGCTCACTGTAATTCCAGAGAAGCTGGAACTCCCCTTTCACCAGCGCAGTGCTCCAGAGAGATATCAAGACGCCAGGTACGAGATACAACAGCGCCGGCTGTGCGTGGGCGGCGATCTGCATGACGACCACAGTTGTGATCATGCCTATTATGTAGCCGAAGATGCTCGCGTAGAAATATGGCTTTGGGAACTTAGTTGCCAGAACTCCTTCAGATCTGGATTTGGAATTCGTCCAGAACCGCTCGCCCCATTGTCCGTGAGCGTTGATGTATGCTGGTTTGTCCTCGTCTACCACCACGGTCTTTGATTGTGAGGGTTTGCTTCGACCACTCTTCTTCAGGTAGTGGACGTAAAGATCAAAGCGCAATGCAAAAGCCAGCATCATTCCCGGTACCACTATATCTCCTAGTCCTAGCATCGCCATGCTCCGCTTCTTCGCTAGGCATTGAAGATATTCCTCCATTGCTGTCGATCCTTCCGGTACTCCTACGGGATAAATACAACCATCCGGGCGCGGGAAGAGCAATTTGATGGGTACGTCAAGTTTGGTGGCGACGGTAACCATCATGGGTGTGAAGAAGACGAAGTAGATATCATAGAAGAACAGTGCACCGAGGACGAGCGTGCCAGTCCATGCTGTTGATGGCGTCATGAATTGGAGGGAGCCGTAACAGAATGAGAATCCAAGGAAATTCGTCAGGAACCAAGGTTTGGCTATGAATGTGTGGTAGTACACAATGGCACATGAAAGCACGAGGCTTGAAAGATCTAGCAGGTCAACAGATGTTTTCAGCGTGATGAGTTGATGAAGGTGGAAATTGAGTCGTGCTTTGGTGTACAGGAGGTTCTGAAGCGTCCATATGAAACGAGAGATTGACGTGGGAAGCGGGACATGTCTCAAGATGCCAGGTAATGGTGATTTCGAGATGGTCCCCCGATCCGAGATGTAAACCGTTCTTTTGAGGTCCACCTTCCATCGAGATCCACCGGCGGAATATTCTGTGGGGAAGGTGTACGAGCGAAGGACTGAAAAGACATCCTTGAGAAACTTCATGGCGAAGAATAATCCCATCTGTGAGAAATAAAGACCCAGAGCCCAGTTCAACCACGCGGGATCTTGCAGCCATTTCAAAATGAAATAGAGGGAAGCCAAAGTTGCACCAGCCAGTAAGGGAAAGAGGAGTGCGTCAGACGGAGTCAGGCTCTCGATCTTCTGAGATATTTCCTCGTCGCTCTCATCATCATCGTCCTGGTCATTGACACCTTTGTTCTTGCCTTTCTTCTTTGGTGCCGCGGATAGTGGTCTGGACAATGATGCATGGGCCGCGGTGTAGATTGGAAAAATCGCCGAGACCAGAAGATGAAGATATGTTGGTAACAGGGGTTTCATTATCTGCAATTCATATGCCACCCGGCCAAGCAGTTCCATGGCTGGCCCCGGCTGAGATGCCATTTTGAACTGGCAATTTTGTGGTAAGAGGAGTTGATTTCGATCCTTGAACTTTCATTTGAGAATATTGTGAAAGGTAGAAATGAATAGAAGGAAAAAAAACCAAGTCTAGAGACTGTGACCTGGTCAATAGTGCGAAGGAAGGGAAAACTCTATCAACTGACAATTTGTTTTGACCTTCGAGTTTGAAGGTGAACGCGTCCGCGTGTGAAGCCAGGCTGTCCTTCAAGTTGGCTACGGTGAAGTTTAGCCCGAGGCGCCTAGTTAAATCTTTGCCTGAACACAGAGCTCAAGGCGCCCGGAAGTATGAGTTCCAGGCGGCCGCCTTCCAGAATTGTACCCCAAAACACCCAACTCAATTATCCCTTCCTAGGTGATAGATAGGTACTTTCGATTAAATACTATTCGGACTCGGAGACTCAAAGACATTCACCTGGCCAATTCCTCTTTCCTTCTGTTACACATTTTCCTTAGGGTATCTATAAAGCAGAATCAATCTTGACCGTGCGACGTCTCATCTTACTTCGATCATACCTCGACGCATCATAAAAGTGCCGTCCTGCGGCAGAGGGATCAATACCCGATTCATCATAAAAACTAAGAAGTCGAAGAGATCGAGTATAAACCTTCTGCAACATGAGTCGTCCCCATAACTCCTCCTGCTCGTGACTCGGATACAATTTGAGGATGTCTATGGCGATCCTCAGAGGTGCTGCAATTGACTTGGGCCCCAAGTCCAAGAACTCCTCTCGACTACAGTACTCGACGGAACGAAGGATGTTTCGAGCGGGGATCATGTAGTCTCTCTGCTGGCCAAGTTCATGCAGAACGAGAGTCTGAACTTTGTTTCCATCAGGTAACGTACACTGCAAGTAATGCAGAAGCTCGGTCAATCGCATCATCCCATGCCATAAGATGGTTTGGGTTGACCACATCATCAACAGCGTGTTGGCAATGTTGAGATCTCGAAAATTGAGTGCCAAAGGAAACATGATTTCTTCTTCCGTTGCTGTAACATTACTGGCCAATTGCGTCCAGTATGTCGGCTGCTCGCCAGAACTCATCACTCGATCATACACCAGCATCAACTCATGGTCCAGCTCCCAACATTTCGATAACAGATCTGTTGCAACATTCGCCTGCAGTTCGGGTTCCATTTTGGCTATCATGTCACCCTTGGCTACCAACTCGGGCGCAAAGCTGAGTAGATCCCAGATCTTGTCATATGCAGATTTTGAGGTGTTTTGCCAGGGAATCCGTTGCCAGTCTGGATCGGCCAAGAAAGTTGGCTTGTGAATACCAAGATTGTACAATATCTAGTGTAATCAGCAACACTTTCGACTCAAATATGCGATATCCTTACCCCTTGCACTCGGAAGTGTGCGAATATCTTATGCGCCATTCCATCCCTGTGCTTTTCAGGGCCACGAAGACAAATGAGCTTCTCGCAACCAGTGACATGACTCAGATATGGTTGCATGGAGTCTGAAGGACACTCGGTCATTTCATAATGTGTCAATGCAACACAAGCTCCGAGGGTTTGGTCATCATACAAAAGCTGTGGATGCAACAGCGCCATTCGAAGCTCCCGAAGTGCCCTATGATACAGTTGAAGGCCTTCGAGTTTGAATCTTTCATCTCCGTTGAAGTCTCCTATCTTGGCGAAACACATTGCCATGATGGAACTTTCCAATGCCGACGTAAGGTAGGGAAGACATGGTACACTCTCAATCCACATCCTGTCCTTTAGTAAGCCGAGGTCCACCTTGGGCACGATCTGATCCATATAGATGCAGAGAATCTGCTGTCGGTATGCAGGCTTGTAACTGATCTGTTTAGAGAATGGACGGGTGGCTATCTCCGAGGTAAGCACTTTGCAGGGGGTCAAATTCGGGAAATTTGAGTTCGTCTTTGATAGACCAATATGCCGTTGGCGAGCCACATGTTTAGACTGCGAATCTTGTGGCGGCTCGCTCTTGAGAACTTGGCCAGACACAGGTTTGGGTGTCGGTTTCTCGTAAGTGACAAAGACCGGGTAATCTCGATAGCCGGTACATTCTCTCTTGGATTTGATACACTGCGCACAAGTTGGTCTCTCTTGGCCACACTATCGATCGAGAGTTAACTTTATATCAATCGCAGGATGATCACGGAGCGATCCATACCAGAATCTTCCTTTTACGACATGTAGCGCAACCTCGACGTCGAGCAATGCCAACCATGTTTGAAGTGGATCAAAGCTGGATTCAAATAACCAATGACGCGGAAATTGATGGAAAAGTAAAAGTAATGATCCTGAAGCAGGTCGGAGATGTGAATTGAGCTGTCCAAAATGAGAGCATTCAGCGAAGAACGTGTCTTGGGCTGTTCAGGATCTGATTAGTATCCAACGTCCAATGCGATGGTTGGTCTCTAGAACGATTTTCATGACAGTTAGAGAGTACTATGGAAGAAGCACGCGACATCATTAGGAATAGATAAAATTCGACCAATTTGAACAAAGAGTGTTCGAGTCTTTCAAACATCAGGCATCTGGAATGGTCCAGCTGATCGTCTATTGGTGTGCCGGTGGTGGAAGTAGTGAGGATTGCTCTATGCCTAAATAGGTTGATTCTGCGAGAATACGGATACGAGATAACCGTCCAGAGCTGATTGATACCTATGGGCCAATTAGGGAGTGAGCTGTCGTAGATAAGTGGACTTTCAATGACTGAAATTAGTCTCGCAAGATTGGAACCAGTGCAGCACAACATGAACTGGATGTGTTGAAAGAAGAAGGGAATCTGAAAGCCTCACAAAAGAAGAAGCGTAGAGAGATTATGTAATCAGTAGTTCGGCATAATGATGTTCCGATGCGATCACCTGACTCTCGGTGTGGCTGGTCCACGTGATTTGACGTAAAGAGCCCAGCCACCTTGCACTGGAGATTTGAGGACGCGACGATCATTTGCCAGCGCAGAGTCGAGCACACCGTCAATCAGTCAGTGCTACTGGTAGGCTTCCTAGAGGAACACAACCCTTCCTGCCGCCTGCATTTGGTTGATGATCCCTTCATTCGATCGTTGAGGGTCCATCTCAGCTACACACCTACAATGACATTACGATAATTCTGTACTTTTCACGACAATTAATCAATGATAGTAATCTCCAAGTACCGCCTTTCGCCACAGCCTTTCTCCAAACATACATACCTAGTACCTACACAGTGATGCTCGCGACGCCCTGACCTCCTTACGATCCCATCCCGCATCATGGGAAAGTCCAGTTCCGGTCGGCCAAGGGCTGGCTCAGAAACCTCAGCACCATCTGAGAAACGTCGCGACAGCAAGCGCGATTCCACCACCTCTTCTCGACGTAAATTAAGTCGTCGTGACGATTATGTTGATGAACACTACGATGCGACGGTCACTTCTTCCCGTGTCGCTCCCTCCACTTATGTTACTGCCTTTACTGCAGAGCCGTCCTCGATCGATGCGGTGCAAGAAACCCCATCTAAATACAACGATCGCGACCGATATGATAATTCCCGTGGCTCTCGAGACGACACCCCGTCGAAATACCGGCCCAGCAAGGGTAGTGCAGAGAATGATGGGCAGAATAGCAAGTCCGAAAGAGACAATGGTCGTGATCGTCGTGATTCTCGAAGGTCTGGTCGTTCAGATGATAGAACTAGTGCTCGGGCTTCGGACAACCACGATGCGTCACTCCCACAAAACCAATTCCCGGGCGAAATGCCTTTAACTTACACTCAGCCATACCGTCCTCCAGGCCAAGCCTCCAGCTACTATGGCGATCAAGGAGAGTCGGTCTCCTTTCAACCAGGCGTCCGCCCCATTCAACCAAGCATTGTTACCAATGCTGAACAGGCGCATTTGATGGAACCTACCATTGACGCCCGACCACCCGCAGAACCAAGCAGTTTAGGTCAAGTAGGAGCTGCTGCAGGTTATTTCGGCAACTCTGGCTTCGCGAATGACTCCGGTGTTCAATCGACCCCCTCAAAACCATCCCAGCGGCTAGATCACAACCGCCCAGACCAATCTGGTGGGTTTGATACTAGTCCAAGAGCAAGCCCTTCACCAGGCGGATATCAAGATAGGCCGTCACAACAAGCCTCGGGTGGCGGAGCTCATTTCGCTCCACCAACGGCGGCAGAGTATTACTCAGGTTCGGCATTTCAAACGCCACCACGATTGCCACAGGGATCTTTCGAAGGATCGGGACCATACTCTGCCCCGGCAGGTGCAGGTGCGTCTTTTGCAAACTCGAATGTACCTCTTTATGGAGCCGCCGGCATGGCAGCCGGAGCTGCGTATTTGCATCATCACAATAATCAGCAGTCCCATTGGCCTTCTGGAATGAGCAATGCCGGGCCATATTCGAGTGGACCAACTCAAATGCAACATAGACACGAGCACAAACACAAACATCGCAGTCCACTGGGTAAATTTGTTGACTGGTTTCGTGATCCCAAGGCCGTGGCCGAATATGAGCAGTATACGGAAGCCATCGGAGTCTGTAAATACTGTTTTGATCCCATGAGCTCGCCAGCAGATGCCCCTCGTAGGCATCACTATCGTCCCAAAAGAACATCTTCTGGAAGCCGATATGGCAGTTCAACCCGTGTCGACAAAACTTATCGCTATTCATCGGATGAGGAGAGGAAGCGACGTTCTGGAGCCAAAAAGGTGGTAGCTGGTGGATTGGCTGGCTATGGGGCCGCCAAGGTCGGGAATGCTATACTCAAAGCAAATCACGATTTTGATGACACCTACTCTGTTAAGTCTGGAAGGCCATTTACCGCCAGCCGTGTCAGCTTCCAGGGCGAAGAAATGAGATCCACGAGCAAGTCCAAACAACGCTACTCTTCCACCGAAGATCTTCGAGGATCACACGAGAAACGTAGGGAGTCTCACTCCAATGAAGCCACCCGCCGCCGAGACAAGCATAGCTCACGTCGACGTGAATCAAGCTCTTCATCTTCATCACACGGCATCTCCCGAGGTGTTGCTCTGAGCACTGGAATCGGAGCCGCTGGGCTTGCTATGGGAGCGGCCGCTCTCAATAAAAAATCACGACGAGACAGTAGAGACCGGAGCCGAAGCCGAAGTCCGCCCTCGAGAAAGAAGTACTATTCGAAACGCGTTTCTCCAATGCATTCTTATGTTGATCTATCAACCACAAATTCCGGACCCACTAGCGTTGCAGGGTTCTTTACAAGTCCGTCAGCCAACAAGAAAAAGGGGAAGAAGCCCAAAGGATTTTTCACTTTCTCGAATGGATCCAGTTCATCTTCAGATGCAGATTTGGCTTATGGTGCCGGCACGGTACGGACGAAGAGATCAAGTCGTCGTCTATCAGCATCACATGACCGAAACAAGCAGTATGCATCAGCCGCAGGTATGATGGGTTTAGTAAAACTGGGGAATGACTTGGCCAGCGAGAGTGATAGACGGGGGCACAAAGGTAAGCGGGTAAGTGATGCTCACAGTAAAGTAGGTCCAGACAGTCGGTTCTCGAGTAACGGATTCTACATGCAAGATCAAGCACAAATCCCGACCATAGGCCAAGATGAAGAGTGGTATGACACAGACGATTCTGATGGTGGCCTTGTCTATGGTAGCGGTACCTCTTTATTACCACGCCGAGAACCCGGTCCACAACCACCTCGCTATCCTTCAGACCATTACCAAAGGGCTCAAGCGGGCGGAAATGACTCTTCCAGACGTCAGAGTGCATCCTACAATCAGTCCCAGAATGGAGATCCCAAGAAGTTTACGGCCAGTTTCGAAACTACAGAGACTGCCCCTGCTATGGACTTCACTGGCAAGCCTCCACCTATGCAAGAGTTGGAGCCACGCCCAATATCGAACGATGCGTCTTTCGATACTCGCAGATCCCGACGCGATTCATACCACAATGGCCAGCAATACCAAACTTCGTCAAGTTCTGTGCCTCTTCACCAACCTCAACCAGTTCCCATCATCCCATTCATAAATCAATCGATGAACACATCACTCAGCCAAGGGACGGGGTCAACAGATTACCGCAGAACAAAGCCCTTGTTGGAGAATATGGGGGCTAATCGAAACATTGGCTCTGAGCCGTCCGATAGACGTAGTTCAAGGCGCTCTCGACGTGACTCAAGCCCTGCCAAACTGCTATCCCAGGATCCCAAGAACAATGTCAGCTTCGATTTAAGCAACGAGCAACTCGACAACGAACGGAAATCAAGCAAGAAAGACGATGCGCGAGAGAGCAGGCGTGATAAGAAGGATCGACGCAAGTCTGCCGACGCCGCGCTTGTGTTGGGTGCTGGAGCTCTCATTGCCGGCGCTCTCGCTAAGGACCAGATGTCAGACAAGGGGAAATCTTCCGATTCTGTCCGCGATGCTCCTTCTCAGGCGTCCACGCGAGAAGCTGACATAGACCGCCAGCTCCAGGCTCTGTATGATGAGAAACGTCGTCAAGAAGAACATAAGCGTACGCTGGAACGGTTGGAGCAGGGAAACAAATCGACAACGTCAGGAAAACCAACCGGTCCGGAACTCGTTAAGAGAAGCAGTTCCAGTGAGGATTCGAGTCGTCCCCGACGCAAATCGAGCCTCAAGAAAAACAACGCACGCGAAGTCTCGCCTACTTCGGACACACAGCAGGAACGCATCGCGCGTATGGCTGCTCAGCGCGTGAAATCAACACCCTCCCCTGTTCACGAAGACTATGGCAACTTCTTCGTTCCTCAAGAACTTGTTGAACATCTCAAGGAGCATAATGAGAAGGCGGAGCATCGAGATGATGTTGAGCCCAATGTCGTCGAAATTGTCCCTGGGGCATCAAAGTCCAAGGGACGAAATCCTTTCGATCCTTTCCTCTACCGTCCATTTGGACTAGATGTGGATGATGATCCTAGTTTACACCCTTGGCCTGTTCCGATGTTGGGACTCGTTGAACCCACTCCTCCAGGCAGTCGGGCTCACAGTGATCGTGGAGACATAACACCCGTGGCGCGACCGTCTTCTGTTGAACCTCCGCATGATGAGGGTGAACCGCTCGAAAGAAAAGCTAGCAACGGAACCAAAGTGACCTGGGGTGATCATGATACCTACGTGTACGAAGTTCAAACCCCAGAATATGAAAGATCCGACTATATCCCTGACCACAAAGAGGCCGGCCGTAAGGACGACTCGAAGCGAGAGGAGCCCAAGATTTCGCACGGCGAGAATTCTACTGAACAACGTCCTAAGGCTGGTCGCACATGGACTCTGGATGAGACTGAAGCCGAATTGTTGGAACGGGAAGTTCCCAGCGTGTCTGAACGTCCACACGTCAGTCGTGCATGGACTGTCGATGACAAGGAGGCTGATCAAATCGAACATCCAGCAAGATCATCGCATGCAGATGTTCTTGATGACGTGACACCTCAAGTTGTTGAGATCAGGCCCAGACAAGTTGAAGCCTCTCCTTCACGTGACGCGAAACCAACCCAGCTGGATACTGCAAACGCTTCTCCACGTGCGGAAGAAGGTGCCGAGCCTCTCAGAGAGGTATATCAGAGCCCTTTTGCGGAGACTGCGAGTGATCTCGGTTTATCAGACGAGCAGCGCCACCTTCCAGATTCACCTGATGGGAGGATGTCGCTGGGAATGTCGGACTTGCAAGATAAGCCACAAGACGCGGACACCGACTTCCCAGATGTCAGATCGAGTAAGAGCGAGAAGCGTCGACGTGAGCGTGCATCTTCCTCCATTGAAACAGCCGATGAGCATTCGACGTTTTCCACCAACCCACGCGAGAACGCTACAGCCCCTTCAGATCGTGAAAGTGTCTTTGATTTCCTCGTTGAGGATGGCGGAAAGTCGGTAGCAGCTGCTGCGGCAATTGGTCTGGGTGCTGCTGCGATTTCTGCTGCTCATCAGTCAAGTAAGGAACCATCACAACATACCAGTGATCGCAATATAGATCTGGATGACGATGTTGTCGGAAATCGGGCCGGTGTCAAGAGATCTAGCACGTTTGACGACTCTCAGTTGCAGCGCCAGCCGCACTCGAGTTCTAGGTCTGATCCACAATCTGATCCTGAAGACTGGGAGCGTTCACGAACTTCCAAGAACGCCAAAGGAACCAAACGCTCGGCGCAGAGCGACGTTGGACTCGGTGGCAAGGGGTCTAGCGAATCCAAAGATGAGGTCCGTCCCGATGATTTGTTGTTCGAGAAGCCTCGAAGATCTCACACTGAGAGCGAAATCGGGGATGATTTTGACACAAAGTCTTCGGCCAGTGGCCGCAAGCGGAAGAGCAAGCGTTCTGAGAGATCCAACGGTCAATCCCGTGAAGATTCTGCTTCAAGAGTTGAAGATGCTGAAAAACCTAGACGGAAATCGAAACGAGATTCTCAAATTTTTGATGATGGCGATGTGCAATCAGTAGTCAGCAGCCCTGCAGACTTGGACAAGTATAGCAAGGAGAAGGATAAGAAGTCGTCTGGCGGCTTTTTCAGCAACATCTTCTCCAGCAATAAAAGCGACGTCAGCACAAGCAGCAAGCGAAGCTCGAAATCATCCAAATCCGAATCTCGTGCAGAACGACCCCGTGAGGAGGGATCAGAATCACGGAAGAAGCACAGGTCCAAGGATCGAGATCTAGATGACGCCGCAACTGCAGTCTCAGAACCATTACGAAGTTCAAAGCGAAGTTCTGAACGTCCTCGTAAGGACAAGTCTGAGAAGACATATTCCAGAGATGAAAGTCTAGATGATGGCTTCGTATCTGCCGAGGAGTCCACTGAGGTGCCAGCCTTTGATGACGGAGACGAGAAATCTTTTTTAGGGAAGCGCCCCGAAATGCCACAACCAACGGACATAGCTATGCCAATGGATACTGATGGTGTCTCGGGGCTAGCGTCCGGAAGAATATCGTCCAAGACACCCAGAGCAACTGATGCCTTTTCACCTGATACTCGAACAGGTGATGATTTTGAAGCGTTTGTTGCTCGGAATCTCAACGTTGAGGGTGCCTCGGATTTGCCCTCGAAACCGAGTGCTGCTCGTCGAAGGCTTTCAGCAATTCAAACACGAGAGCCTGAGTCAAACCCAACCACACCTGGCTTTCCAACAGCCACTAGTGTTCCAGTGCACTTTCGTATCCCAGCGTCGTCTCCAATTGCACCACGCTTTTCCATGAGCTCTCCCATCGCTTCTCCTGCTTCCCCACTCACCACGCCTCGAACGCGGCAAGGTCGACCCAAATCAACGGAATTCGCTGGTAAGAACATTCGACCTCTGTACCTAGTGGAAGCGTCGAATCCCTCCAAGAATGCATTACCAGATACTAGTGATTATCCCCCTCTACCTCCCAGCATAGCGAGCTCTTCGCATCCTTCAACGGAGGACCTCCGTGCAGAAGCCCAGGCACAAGAACAACTAGAGCTATTTACACCCTCCCGCTTGACAGCTGATAAGTTTCGCGACCAAGCAAGGAGACAAAGTTATTCCTACTGGCATGATGGAGAGCAAAGACGTCGTTCACCAGACTATCTTGACTCGAGATCGGCTACGCCTGTGCCAGGGGAAGCACAGCGGGCCAGAGATCGTGAGATTAAACCCAAGCCGAAGTACGAATTCCATTCTCCCAGTGAACTGTTACAAGACCCGTCCCTGCTATACGGAGACGGAGATATGGAAGATGATCGACCCGGCAGTCCCCTTCCCAGCGTGGTCAGCACTGACTTGGACTACATGAGTGCACGAAGTAGGAGTTTATCACCGCCGTCGCGAGCTAGAAGTTTAAGTAGGGGACGCCGCAGTGCTTCAGGCTCACGGTCAACCTCTGTCTCCTGGCAAGATGCTGTGTCCACAGTCGCTGCGGGTGCGTTGGTCGGGTCTGCGCTTGGTTATGTTGCACATGAAGCTCTCAATGAGTCATCGTTCACAGTCCCCGAACGTGATGTATCAGCGGTGCGTAGGCATCTAGATACAGAATCAGTACAGCGGCAAGAATCACTTGACTCCACCGCCCACCGTGGGAGGCCAGCAGAAAGACGGCTTGAAATCAACGATCTACCTACCAGCACCGCTGTGGATATGCAAGACGAGCCCCTCGACCAAGATACTGAGGTGGAAATGCCTTATAGCGACGCAGATGCTCGTACAACCAGTGTTGCGGCTACCAAGACCTCGAAAAAGACCAAGAAGGACAAGAAGAAGCAGAAACGTCAGCAACTGACCTCGACGCTCAGCGATGATTTGCTACCGTCGTCTGAAGATCCTGCGCAAATAACCTCTAAGATGCCTGAAGCTTCGTCTAGGTCTGATTCAATGGCTCATGAGCTGCAATCCTCTGAACTGCATGATGAAACCCAGGTCACTGCCCGTGATTTGTCTGCCCTTGTTGACCGAGAAGTGGAGGGTATGGAGGGCCTGTCCAGGACCGATAAGATCGATGACTTCCAAAATCAGAGCAATATGCATGAAAACACGAATGCTCCTGGTCTTGGGCATTATGATGATCCTTCTTTGAAAGACAGCGCTCAATCTCTGAGTCAATCTCCCAGTCAGAGGCCACATACTGAGTTGTCCCCTTTCGAGCAAGCACTAGAAGCGGCTGTCCATGCGAGAGGCCTCAGCCAAGGCACAACCATGGAGGTGGCACACGACGCGTTTCTACCAGATGCGCCGACTGATTTGCCTGACAATGGTGGAACATCTTTGACCACCATTGAAGAAGAGAACGAATCTGTCAGTCCAGCCGTGCAGATGAACAAGGCTGTCCCTGAGCGCAAAAACTCCAAAAAGTCCAAGCGGAAGGATAAAAAGTCCCTTGATTGGGAACCTGCTTCGGAAACCCAAGAGGCCGAAGCCGTCTTCGGACAGACTCCATCTGATCAGCCAAAATCCGCTGAGCCAGAAAGCTTTGCCCAAGAGCGAGATTCGACTCCAAATCCCTTCGGCAATGATTTTGTGGTGACGGATGAGGATGTTATCACTTCAACTCCGCCGAGAATTGAGATTCCAGATTCTAGCGTCTCAGCAAGTGAACTAATGGCGAATACAGATTCTTTAAGCGGTTTAGCCCATGATCCAAAGACAAGCCAGGAAGTTGATGACTGGCCTACGCCTACAACCAAGAAAGGCAAGAAGGACAAGAAAGGCAGAAAAGGACAATCATTAAATCCGGAGGAGTCAGCGGAAATGGCTGTACCTACCGAACCTCAGTCTCCTACCGTTGCTATGCCCAACGTGGAACATAAATCAACAAGTGGAGAGCAGGCACTAGTCGAGTCTCACTCTGCAGATCCAATGCTAGTAGATCCAATGCTAGTCGACTCGGAACAAACCAGCACGCAAAATGATCAAGTACGCCTGGATGACACTTTCGTCCAGGACAAAAATGAGGAAGCACCAGCCTCTGAGAACGCAGATGATACATGGGACACTGGCGCGAAGAAATCCAAGAAGTCTAAGAAAGGCAAGCGCAAAAGTCTTACTTGGGCAGATGAGGAAAACCTCACGAGCTTCGCGGCGGCTCCTACTGAAGACGCATTTCCTAGCGCCACAGATCCTGTTCTCGATGCCGCTCAATCCGGACAAGCCATTGTCCCCGCCAGCCAAGAAAAGAAGATCATCGCTGAGCAACCCAAAGAGCTACGAGAAGAATCAGAGGTACGGGCACCGACTTCGACAAATGATAGCTCTCGAGTCACACCAGAGGAGCCGGAGTTCGACGATTTCTACTCCACCAAATCCACGAAAAAGTCAAAGAAGAAGCAGAAGAAACGCGACTCTGATGCTCTCGTTGCAGGTGCTGCCATGGGTGCGGTCGGCGCTCTCGCTCTCGGTCCACTTCATACGGGTGGGCCTGATGCCGATCAGGCTGTGACTGTGACAGCAGACGCGCCGATGATCACTATCACTCCTGATCATAAGTCATCCAATTCTGGCGTCACTCAAGATCTTCCCGCGAGAGATGACAATGAGGGCACATCAGTCCGAGAAGTCGTAGATTTCTCGAATTCTACAGAATCGTTGTCAACCTCACCAACACTTCTTCCTTCTGCGGATGACGGTACATCAGAGCCCTTGCGGAGTTTTGACTCGGAGGTGCAACCACCAGCAGAACTCCCAAAGGCCTCCTTAGACCAAGTGTCTGAAGATTTGTTTCCCCTTGTAGGCAAGAAGTCCAAGAAAGACAAGAAAAAGATGCGGCAGAGCACAATCGACGAATTCAGCACAGAGCCCATTGCAGACACGGCTTCCTATGCGATAGTGGATAGTAAACCAAACGAGGAAGACAATGTGATCGACGCGTCGGAATTGACCCCTCAATCATCACAACTGCAAGATCCAGAAGCTGAACAACCAGAAACCCAGGAAGTGGCTGATGACTTTGGCTTCGCTGACAAAAAGATGTCGAAGAAAGACAAGAAAAAGAAACATCAATCTACGTTTGAGCCTGAAACTGATGTCTTTGAAGATGCCGTCTCCAGTCCCGTGCCAGACGATGTTCCCATTGAAACGGAGGCGGTCACTGGGCCTTCTGATTCTATTCAGCGAATGCTAGAACTTCAAGACTCGGCGCCTGCGCAAGAGGAAGTGCAGGAGGCAGCTGACAACTCCGGTTTTATTGATAAGAAGAAGGCAAAGAAAGACAAGAAAAAGAAGCGCCAGTCCACCTTTGACGAGCCTGATGCGAATGTAGATGAGAAGGTCACATCTACCTCTGTAGCAGAGACTGAATTTATCGACAAGGTTGATGACAACCAAAATGCTGAGTTGAGCACTCTCCCTACTGCAACTGGAAATCAGGAAGAGATCGAGGATTTCGGAATTCTTGATAAAAAGAAGTCGAAGAAAGACAAGAGGAAACAACGTCATGCGACATTTGACGAACCCGAGGAGAATGCAGCTGATGTAGTTGTGCCCACTTCGGCGGCGGAGGGCGAATCCATTGCCAAGGTTGACGATATCGAGGCTGAGGCACCGAGCACATTACTTACTGAAAACCAGGACGAAGCTGTCGAGGATTTTGGTTTCGTGGATAAGAAGAAGTCAAAGAAGGACAAGAAAAAGAAACGCCAGTCCACGTTCGATGCCTTTGAAATACCATCAGAAACCATCACGAGTACGCCAGCAGCACAAGATGCAGAGCTTCCAGCTGTATCAAGAACCAACTCAACCCATCCTGATCCTGTGGCCTTTGTTGATGAATTAGCACCCATTGGAAAGCAATCAAAGAAGGACAAGAAGAAAAAGCGAGCGTCTGCTGTGCAATTCGCCAGTCCCGAACAACTACCCACCTCGGCTGGTGTCGATGACTTGCGCTCTCCTGGCGCTTTTGATCTCAACGATGAAGCTATACCTACTGGCGAAGAACCGCAAGCATTCCAGTCTGAACCTCGTGGTCGAGACGATCATTCCATACCCGAAGACAGCGCTCCTGTGACATCATCAGACGATTCAAGAGCAGTCGAGCCCACCGTTGTTGAGACCTCTATGGTCGAGCCTTTGCCCGAGGCTTCTGTAGATGAGACTCCAACAAGGGTACCTGCTTCCGATGACGCTCAAGATGTCACAGATGCGCTCGGGTATTTGAGAGATGATCATGCTTTGAGAACGGGTGACTATCCTGTAGTTGATACTCCTGCGGTTGAGATCCCTACAAGTGTCCCTGTTCCTGACAATGCTCAAGATGTGACGGCCGCCTCCAAAGGCATGGAAGGAGAAGCGACTCCACAGGAAGCTGCAAGCGAGATCTCTGGTGAGCAGGAACCAACCATCGGAGTCTCTGATATCGTGGCTGTTCCTAAAGGCTCCTCCTCCGAGACCGACCAGCCAAGTGCCGATGTTTCGACCAACGAACTAAATGTGACTGATGATACGATAGCCGCACCGAAAGATCTGGGTGACAATGCACCAGACGAATGGGAGCCCACACCCAAAAAGTCGAAAAAGGATAAGAGAAAGAAGAAACAGAATGCTCTAGATGACAGCGCGGAGGGCGCAACAATATTAGAGGACAAGTCGACAAGTTTAGCAAAAGACTCGACGTCTGAGCCGGCAGCATCCTTATTTACGGATCAAAGTGGTCTACTCGACACTCCCATCATTGCTGCCACTGTCGCGATGGCCAGTCATGACCAAAAGATCGAGGACGACGAGTGGAATTCATCAACGAAGAAGTCCAAGAAGGACAAGAAAAAGAAACGTCAATCTGCTCTGACAAGCCCGCCTGACGAACTAGATGTAACATACAACGATGCTGCCGACAAACCTGATGAGCTTCCTGCCGCCCAACTAATGCCTGCCGAGGTCAGCTCAACAGAAGCCCCTGCTGAAGCAGAATCGACAGCGGGACCTGAAGCTGCAGAGGACGAGGAATGGGGATACTCGTCGAAAAAACTCAAGAAAGACAAGAAGAAAAAGCGTCAATCTCTGCTCTCTACGCCTCCCAATGAGCAGGAGGTCCCGACAAGTGATACTATCGACAAGTTTGAACTTCTCTCAACTGAACCTACTATTGCTCCTTCACCCGAACCACTAGATCCTTCAGCTGATGGGTCGGTTGAAAAAAATCCCCTGAAACAACCTGAAGTTGCAGAGGAAGGTGACTGGGGATTCACGTCAAAGAAATCCAAGAAGGATAAGAAGAAGAAACGCCAGTCTCTTATGACTACCCCTCCCAACGAATCTGAACCTACTGCAATGGGTGATGACAACACACCCGGTTTTGGAGCTCTACCAACTGAGTCAGAAACCGCAAAAGAGCCTATCGTTATGGAAACATCATCGGACCGTGCAATTGCTGGAGAGGCTGTTATCGATGTGGTGCCAGATCCTGAACCTGAGTGGGGATATTCGACGAAGAAATCCAAAAACGACAAGAAGAAGCGTCGATCTGGTTTCGAAGATTCAGTTCCAGATAACGATGCTCCTGAACCGGATTCTACGATATCAACCATGCAGGAGCCTGCGCAAAATCTCGATGAGGCGGCCAAAACAGCAGAATCAGTCGAGCCAACACGAGATCTGGTATCAGATGAATTATCAAAGGAATCCGGCACAGTGCCCAACCAGTCACCTGCTGCTGAAGATGATGTATGGCCTGTGAAATCGAAGAAGTCAAAGAAGGACAAAAGGAAATCAAAGATGACTGATTTTAGTCCTTTCGAAACCGACGGATCCTCCTTTGCAGCTGAAACTTCTGCGATGGACACTTCTAGAGGCATCGAAGAGTCGATCCTGCATGATGATGCAATGGCCATGGCCATTGCCATAGGGGATCCTACGACGGAGTTCAGTAATGCCAATCAGGATCCACTTCCTGCGAACACTTCATTCGAGAACAAAGTCACCCAGCCTGAGAATAATGAAGCTCCAAATCCTGGGTCTATCGAACAGGAAACCATCGGAACAGATGACCTAGATAGCTTCTCCATGAAGAAGTCAAAGAAGGACAAGAAGAAGAAAAAGCGCCAGTCTACCTTCGATGATGCTTATGATGAACCCGAGAGCACAACGCTAACTGCTGCTGTGCTCGCAACTGACAGAGAACTCCCTAGTCCATCTACAGAGCTTGATGTTGCCAAAGTCGCAAGCGATGGAGATGTAGCAGAAACAGAAGTCGACACCGGACAGACGGTTGAGGCGGACGAGCAATCTTCGGCACCAGTGGTTCTAACCAAAACTTCGGAAGACGCTGCAACTGTCGACAAGCCACTGCAAGATCCCGTGGGTGCAACGGTAGAGACTGAATTTGATACCCAGCCAATTGAATCAACCTCCAGAGTCATCGACGCCGAAGCTGAACCTGATTTCTCAACTTCCTTGAAGAAGTCGAAGAAAGACAAGAAAAAGAAACGAATCTCATCCTTTGACGATGCACTTGAGAATGTCCAAGACCCCACTCTAGCTAAAGATATTGTTGATGATCCCGAACCTCTTACGGCATTCGATGAGTCTAGGGAAGCCTCGGGGACTGCTGAGGGGACTGCCCTTGATACTCAAGCAATGGTGTCTGCGTCAAAAGAGATCGATATTGACGCTGGCCATGATTTTTCAACCCCGTCGAAGAAGTCGAAAAAGGAGAAGAAGGAAAAGCGAACGTCCACTTTTGACGACACTTTCGAGGGCGCTGCATCAGAGCCCATTGCATCTGAAGACACTGCAACTGAGCCTCAGCCAGCTCCTATCTCCGAAGAGCCTCTCAGGGATCGCACGGACGCACCTAAAGACCCTGCCATTGAGATTTACCCTACTGAAGTAGCAACAAGAGAAATTGAGCCCGATGCTGACCCTAAGCTTACCACTCTCTCGCAGGAGAAGAAGGAGAAGAGATTGTCTACCTTTGATGACGCATTTGAGGATGCTGTTGAAGAGCCCATTGTATCTGAAGATATTGCCATGCTTGATGTACAACCAGCCTATCCAGAGTCCATGGAGCCCGACGCCGAGGCGGAATTCACGACTACGTCAAAGAAGTCAAAGAAGGACAAGAAGAAAAAGAGAATTTCCACTTTCGATGACACGGCCGATGTATCTCCCCAACAGCCCGTTGCTATATCTCAAAATGCTGTTGTTGATGCTCAATTGGTCGAATCAATTATCAAGCCTGAAGCCCAGGATGAGTTCGAAGTTCCATCAAAAAAATCGAAGAAGAATAAGAAGAAAAGAGTTTCTGCTTTTGACGATCTTGTTGATGAGCCAACACAAGATCTCGAGACCTTACCCGAGGTCTTGGCCAGTGATTTGCAAACTACTGGTGTCGCTACGACTGATGAACCTACAAAGGATCTAGAAACTACAGAGGTTCTTGCTGATGATGTTGAGACTGCTAAACCAAGCACGACTGATGAAGCATCTATCACACCTGAAGCCGAAGGGGAGACATTTTCCACTTCATCCAAAAAGTCGAAGAAAGACAAGAAGAAAAATAGGATGCCCGCATTTGATGACAGTTTTACGGACACTATCAATGAATCTTCACGAGATCTGGAAGTTGCACCTGAAACTCTTGCCCCAAATGCACCAGCTGTTGAACCACTTGCAACTGATGATCCAGCCACTGCCGCCGAGCCACAAGAGGACGAATTTTACACTTCGTCCAAAAAGTCAAAAAAGGGCAAGAAAAAGAATAGGGCTATGTTTGATGACATGGCCAAGGAACTCGAAGAGCCAGCAGAAGTACCCAAACTCCTTGACGCCGATACAAAATCTTCTGAGCCATTCTTGACTGCCGACCCAACCACAGTTACTGAACCGGAAGAGGAATTTGTCACTCTCGGCAAGAAGTCGAAAAAGGACAAGAAAAAGCGGATGTCTACATTTGATGATACGATCGAGGAACCTCGAGATCAAATAGCAACACCTAAAGTCCTTGAAAGTGATCCTATAGAGACATTCGCGACCACTGAACCGACCACAGACCTTAACCCTGAAGAGGAAGACTCCATGACTTCGTCCAAAAAGTCCAAGAAAGACAAGAAGAAAAAGAGGATGTCCACGTTTGATGACATTGTTGATGAGCCCGAAGATGGAGGTTCAGCACACGGAATCCTTGATCCTGATGCGCCATTAACCGGACCAGATATCGTTACTGAAGAGGATTTTGTCGAATCGGCGAACAAATCGAAGAAGGACAAGAAGAAGAAGCGTCAAGCAACCTTCGATGACACATTTGATGAGCCTAAACAAGAAGTGGAAGACCTTGAAACTGCTGCGACTTCAAACGAGCCAACCTCGTTTGCTGACCCTGAGGATGAGAGTGAGTTTATCCAAACCTCGAAGAAATCGAAGAAGGATAAGAAAAAGAAACGCCAATCAACCTTCGATGAGCCACAACAGGACGTCGTAGTACCTGGAGCCCACGAACCTGATGCCCTCTCTGCCGAGCCAGCCATGGTCGCTGAACCTGAACCTGAACCTGAAGATGAGTTTGGAGAGCCATTGAAGAGGTCAAAAAAGGACAAGAAGAAGCAGCGCCAATCAACCTTCGATGATATGATTGACGAGCCTAAGCAAGAGGCCCCAACAACTGAAATTCTCGACGCTGATGATACTATCTCAGCCGAGCCTGTCTGGCCTACTAAACCTGAAGCTGATGATCAGCTTATCGAACCATCCAAAAAGTCAAAAAAGGATAAGAAAAAGAAGCGCCAATCGACCTTTGACGACACAGTCGATGAACCAAGCCGAGCTATAGTTGTCTATCCTCTTGAGGGTCGCAGCACCGAACCACAATCAATCGAGCTGGCTATAGCTCCCGAGGCAGACGAGGAGTTCACCATGCCATCGAAAAAGTCAAAGAAAAAGAAACGCCAGTCAACCTTTGGCGATATTCTCGACGAGCCTGGACAAGATTTAGTCGCTCCGCCAGCGGAAGTCCTTACCACTGATGACCAACCAGTCGACCCTCCTGTCACTGCTAGGGACGAGGACGAGGCAGACTCTGTTTTCTCATCCAAAAATTCAGAGAAGGATAAGCAAAACAAGGGTCAGCCAGCCAACGAAGATACCTCGCCTGCCTACCAAGAGCTGCTCACACCCGACTTACAAGAATCAGCCCCGACTCTTGAGTCAGAGTCACAACGCATGCAGGGGGTTGAATTTAATCCTAATGGTTCTCATGGACAAGCCATGGATGTGGATACTTCAGAGCAAATCATCGCCACCGAGTGCGACCGACAACCCTCCGATTCTGCGCCGACCTGGTTGGCAGTGGCGGATCATGCAACCGCTGAAGAGTCGTTCGACATGGTCAACAGCAGTGCCCAAAATCAAGCTGCTGAAGTGACAATGACAGATGTTGGCCAAGTCGAAGAGAGTTTCAACAATATCCCTTCCAAGAATGATCAAGAAAGTAGGGGAGTGGAAACGCATGGCACAGATGCTTCTCTATTGACTGATGTACCACACTCTCAGCAACCAGAACTTGGTCAGGAAGCCACTGTATCCGAAAATCGTGATCTGGACGATGCTGAGGTAAGTCAAGCGGACTGGAACTTCTCTTCCATAAAGCCCAAGAAAGACAAAAAGAAGCGCCAATCCACATTGAACGAGCCTGTGGCATTTCCAATCGAGGAAGATACCTTTACTCTCGCAGCGGCTGCGCATAGCAAGGCAGTGACAGAAAAATTTGTCGATACTGAAGTTTTTCCGATGTCTTCGAAAAAATCAAAAAAGGACAAAAAGAAGCGCCAGTCGACTCTCGACGAAACGGTGGCTGACTCATATGACAATGTTACGACTCTTCAAGCAGATACGCCAAGCATAGAAGTACCAGAAACACCCGCTGATGCCGAGCCTGATTGGGGGCTTTCGTCCAAGAAATCCAAGAAGGATAAAAAGAAGCGTCAGTCGACAATTGAAGCCATCGATTCCGAACCTTTTCAAGAAGATACGCTTACTCCCCAAGCTGATATAACCATGGAGGACACGACAAAGGAGCTTGCCGGTGTTGATTTCCAATCCACCAGCTTGCGTAGAGAGCTAGATCGGGCTCTGGAGCCAGACAACAAGGACATTGAACACAATATCATTCACACAACGGAGCATTCCCAGCATGAGTCCCCTCCCGTTGCTGAACCGCCGATAGAGGCAGATGCGAACACGCAACCAGGGCAAATTGTACCAAATGAAGATCGAGATCGCCTTGAATCAGTAATTCGGGGCAATGAGTTCACTACTGCGACCACTGTGGAGCCATCCCAGCATGAGACGTCCAACAATATTGGTTTCGAAATTCCTCAACAGAAGTCGAAGAAAGACAAGAAGAAAACCCGACAGTCTAAGTCTGCGCAGATTGACTGGGAAGAACCACAACCAGAATCTGAGGACATCCGGGACCAGGCAATCATTGAAGCAACACAAGAACCAAGGGAGCTTTCTTCTGCTAATGAGAAGACAACTTTTGAGCACAGCAGGCACGTTGTGCGGCAAGAATCCTGGGATGAGATGGAAGTGGACGAAAGACGAGCTTCCTTGACTAAGCCAGCTGCCTTGAATGACGAGAGCATTCAAGAGACAGCAAGGTCTACTTCAGACAACGATGGTGCATTCCTGGGCGCGGTGGCTGCTACTGGAGCTGCCGTAGTGCTCGCATCGGAACTTGCTGCGCCTTCGAAGAAATCCAAGAAGGACAAGAAGAAAAAGCGGCAATCTACGCTTGATGAAGAGGCTTTTGGGGCACCTACATCCTTCCAGGGACCCTCAACAGAAGACTCCTCGTTCAAAGATGTTCCGGATGAGAATGCACCGGTTCAACACTCTACATCAAAGGATATTCCGCATGAGAATATTTCCATCCAAGACCCCGTACCTACAGACGACTGGGTCTTTTCTGGAAAGAAGTCGAAAAAGAGCAAGAAGATGATGAACAATTTTGACGACCTTGGAGACAAAATGCAAACGTCGGGAACAGGTACACCAAGATCCGCAGATCAATTTGACACAGCTGTGCAGACACCAATGGATCAGATAGGCGTTGTGCCAAGCATTGAGACGCAAGATGCCGTTGTCGATCCCGACTCTGTGCCAGAACCTCCCACAGAAGACTACTTCCCAGCCATCGATCGGAAAACATCAAAGAAAGACAAGAAGAAACAGAAAAAGATGCCCTCGGCTTGGGTGGAAGCTGACAACCAAGGTTTCTCTGAGTTCCAAGATGGTGCAGCAAAGGATCTGGCTGCCGAGAACTCAGCCAGCCAGCCGAAGAATGAGAGCCAGCTGATCGAAGACCATTCGCGCGTTATGCAGCATGAGGAAGTACCCAGAGCCTCATTGGATATGATGGACGTCGATAAGAGGGAGGATCCTATGTTTCGTGACCACGGGGAGAGGATCCGACAACGAAAATCTCACATTTCACGCAGTCCTGAGCCATACCAAAGTATTCAGCACGAAAAGTACGAATCAAGCACACGGCCGGATCAGGTCGATCTAACAGAGAGATCCTTAGCTGCAGACGCGGAAACGATATCAGATAATGATCCTAGGCACCTTGTTCAGACAGAGCCACAGTCTATCATTGTGGACGACACTATAGCGCCTCGTCGCACGAAAAGCAAGAACAGCAAGAAGGACAAACGAATCTTCGAGTTCAACGGTACAGAGAACATCGATTCTCCATCGCTTCCAAATGACGAGCAACTCTATGCTCATCCTGTGGCAATCCCAAGGGATGGACAAATGGTTAGTGTTGCAGATCGATCAACTGAGCCAAACAAGACTACCGATTATCAGGTGCATTCTGATCCAGAAAATCTCTCTGACGTGAGTGCGAGCACACGAGAAAGACGAAAACGACGCCGTTCACCTCCAGTGTGGGCGGGCGAAGAACCTGATGATCTTCCAAGAAATCGAGCCATGACACCACCTCCCGAACATGACGATTTGATGGATACTGCCCTTGGGGTGGCTGCGGGACTGGGATTTGGGGTGGCAGGGCATGAATCAAGTCGAAATCCTCGCCCCAGGTCGACTTCGCCTGCTCGAAAACAATCGACAGGCTGGTCCTTCGCCAAACTTGGGACTGTTGCTGACCTTGGCAACACGGATTCCAACCGAGACAGTGGCGTGCAGTTCGAGTCACCGGTTCTCCCGATCGACCATTTCACTTCAACACGAGATAGTGGATTCGTTGCTGAACCATCCGAGCGCTCGAGAGGTGGCAGCACCGATCGAGGGCTGGATGTGTCATTGCGACCGCCTCGGCCACAGTCGCCAACCAGCTCGACGGAAGATGTGTCGAAGAAGAGACACAGCAAATCCCGGAAGGATGATATGTCGACACTAGAAACTCCAAGACGACGGCCTTCGCCCGTGGATTCCACCTCAAAAGAGCGATCTTCAGTGCTGTTCAACTCTTCACCTGCAGTCCCAACTCCTCTCAAGACCAATATCGCCCCGATAAGTCCAGAACCTGTCTCTAGTCCTCTCAGACGAAGTCCTAGTATACACGGGCATCACCAAAGCCGGGAAGAGTTGAAGCAGAAAAGCCGAGTCAGCCCCCACGACCATGACTTCAACGATGCACTGGCGTCTAATTTGATTGATCGTTCTGCCAAAGCCGAGGTACAACGAGATGCTTTTAGCCCAGGACCTGAAGGGTCTGCTCGATTTGCGGCGCATAGAATGTCCTTGAACACAATCCGAGAAGATGCCGTGGACTCTTCTGGACCGACCCGGGATCAACATCCATTCACCAGTCCACCATTTCCTCTCACGCCTCAAGCACGAGGCTCCAAAGACCATCTTGCCGAAGCAGGACTTGCAGCCGCCGCAGTGGGAGCACTTGGAGTGAGGGCACTTGCTTTATCAAAGACAAACTCACGTGATTCCGAGCTGGGACAAGCTAAATCTCTTGGCAGAAGCAAGTCACGGACCTCGTCGTTACGCAACCTCCGCGCCAGCGCAGCTTCTCCCTACGACGCGATCAACGCCGCGGCGGGTCCTTCTCACATTTCCGTCAATGATACTGAGCTAGAGGGTCCCGGCTCCCGTACCAGGGACATGTCTGACGTCTATGTAAGTACATCATCATGCGATCCATTCCGCGACGCGGCTTAGCCTTTGGTAACTAACAGCCTTGCGCACAGGATGGATATGGCTCATACCCTGGTAGCCCCAGGTCCCCAACGCGTCCTCCTAGTGTCCGAAGGCGACAAAGCATGCAGCAAATTAAAGATCTCGAGAGCCAGCTGGACCAGCTGGCCAGTGAGAACCGTGCGCTTGTCGAGGCCAAGATGATGGCTGAACAACAACTCGAGACGGCCCACTTTGATCGAAGTCGAAGTGAAGGAACAGATACCATCTCTGCGCAGCTACAAGAACGTGATGCGGAGATCTCGTATCTCAAAGAGCAAGTGGCGTCTTTGATGGCGACACATGAGACACTGCAGCGAGAGCATGAGCAAACCCTGGCCACGGTTCGATCGGACTATGAACATGACCAATTACAGTGGGGAGAGTCCGCACGGGAACTCGAAACCCTTCGTTCGCGACATACAGAATTGTCTCAAGGCATGGAGTCGATTGTCAGACACGAGATAGACACTGCCTTGGCCGAGAAGAATGCTGAAATTGAGCGTTTGCGACAAGATCTTGAAGAGGCACGAGAAAAAGTGCGGGAACTTCAGTCGCAAATCGTGGCTGGAGGTGCAGACGAGGTGTTGACTGTCCGGGATGAGGACTATTTCGACTCGGCTTGTCAACAACTCTGCCAACAAGTTCAAGGATGGGTGTTACGATTCTCCAAATACAGTGATACCCGGTTATGTCGGACTACCAACGAAGTGCGGGACGAAAAGATCGTGGACCGATTTGACAATGCCATTCTTGATGGGTCGGATGTTGACCTGTACTTGGCGGATCGGGTCAAACGCAGAGATGTTTTCATGTCGGTGGTCATGACAATGATCTGGGAGTATGTCTTTACTCGATATCTGTTTGGAATGGATCGAGATCAACGTCAAAAGCTCAAGCAGCTCGAAAAGAACCTGGGAGAAGTGGGACCAGCCAGTGCAGTGCATCAATGGCGGGCGTTGACGTTGACGTTGTTGTCGAAAAGGGAGAGTTTCCAGGCGCAACGCGATAGTGACGCCGAAGCAGTGTCTCTCGAGATATTCTCGACGCTGTCGAGGTTCTTGCCTCCACCACAAAACCTGGAGGGACAAATCGTGGGCAGCTTGCGCAATGTGATGCTTACGGCGGTCAACTTGTCAATTGAGATGCGGTTGCAGCGGGCGGAGTATATCATGTTACCACCACTCCAGCCCGAATATGATACCAATGGGGATCTAGCACGAAAAGTCTACTTCAACGCAAGCTTGATGAATGAGCGGAGTGGCGAAACGACGAGTAACGATGAGCTTGAGAGGAATCAGGCCGTTGTTCGGATGGTGCTTTTCCCACTTGTGGTGAAAAAAGGGGATGACAGCGGAGTCGGAGATGAGGAAATCGTGGTATGCCCTGCGCAGGTTCTGATCGCACGACCAGACAAGGGAAAGAGACCACGGGGCTCAACGAGAGTGGCCAGCGGCGACAGTAAGAGCCTCCGAGCTGTCAGCACGCATAGCCTTGGAGCCATGAGTGGGATCGATGTGAATGAGAATATGATTTGAGAGGATGGAGAAGAAGTGGTGGCTTTTATTTTGGATTTTGATTCTGCATGGCAAGGATTCAAGCATCTTCCGGTCATGGTGTGAGGTTCCCAGCAGCATTAGTTAGATGGGCAGGCACTGCATGGTTTCTGGCTTGGATTATATACCTAACGATGTGACGACTTTCATCATGTATAGTATCAGTATAGTAGGTTGTAGGCTTCTCAAAATGGGATTTAGTTTGAGCTTTGGATGGTATCTCTCTACAAGAACTCTAATAAAGTAGAATAGTGTTCTTGCCTAAGTATGTATAAAGATTATTAGTTGTAAGGTTCTCTCACTAGATATAGAGGTGAATTGCTTATAAAAATTGTGAGAGTTTTGGTGTAGGTAGTTAGCTTGGATTCTGACCACAGCCCAGAGTCGCGTGTGCGCCTGCCCACCACTACGAGTACGAGTAGTTAAGTCAACACGGGAGTTGCTGGTAAAACGTCATAGCTGTATCCACACATGCGCCAAACCGCAGTGGCGACCTGGAACAGCAAACTTGAGGCAGGTACCACCACATTCAACTTTCCTTGTAAAGTACATCATCATCCACCTTCGAGTCACGGTCCTACATCCTACATTCTCTCCTCATCGCATCAATTTCTTCATAACCCACTCACTCACGTGCATAGCATTTCCTTACCTTTCCTTTGCTGTTAATCTCTTGAATTTATTGGCCATTGTGCATTTAGTTACTCCTTGTACACGCACTCTCAGGATACCTTGATCTACCACCATGCAGCCACTCCCTCCTCCCCCTAACCGGGGCCAGTCTCCTCAAGCCGGGCAATCCACCGACACTATAATACCCCCAAATACCGAAGGGAAGAAGAAGAGAAAGCACCGCGCAGGAAAGAAGAGGAGGAATCGCCGCCAATCCTTTGCTGCTCCACCGTCCGAAGCCTCTGCTCGTCCCAGCATCGCAGACACGACCGACGATCCGTTGATTGAAGAATCAGCTCAGTCTTCGTTCTATCAACTTGGTCCTTCGACCCTGAGTCGAGACAGCCTCGATAGTGAAGCGCTGTTGGATCACCGCGAGCAACAGTCCTACCGTCCACGACGAGATAGCCGCCTGAATCCAAACATCTTTTCCCAGTCCTACCGAGGAGGCTCTTTTCCCCGTCCAGATAATAACGCCCGTCGATCCTATCGCAGAGATCCAGATCTACCCAGTCCTGGCCCAAGGGCTGCTCCGAACGAGGACGATGATGATACCTCTGATCGAACTCCCCTGCTACTGGGTGGCTCTCAGCACAGGAGTCCTGTCGACACGGGCTATGGTCTTTTCAGAACGCAATCTCATCATTCTACCCTCTCAACCACCTCCAAGAAACAAAAAAAGCGCACAAACACGACGGTGACCTCCCTCCCACGATCAGACCATACTTACGATGTCAACAACCCTCCCTCCGTTCCAGCTAGTCCCAGCTTCGGGCCTCAATATGACGACGTCATGGTAGACGATGGGAATTTCTTACCTCGATCGGCGGACAGCAGGAGAAATCTCTCTCTTGCTGGAAGAGATATCTTGATCGACATCGACAACAATGGACCCACCGGCTCAAACTCCGCTCCACCTAGTCCCAGACTGCATCCTGAAGGCACGCCGCGTCACCGAGCAATGACCCTACCGGTTGAGGGCGATGTTTGCTTCCCGGGCGATGAAGCTGCCTCTGAGGTTGCTGATGATTACTTGGACCGTCCAAGGCCGAACGGGAGATCGTCTGGTGGCGCCCGTAGGAGACGGCGCGAGCGCGAATGGCCGCAAGTTTGGGTTCTCGACGACTGGGCTCGTCATGAGAAGGAGGCAAGAGCTGGCGAACGGAGAGTCAAGAAAATCAGCGAGCCTGTTTTTGTCAATGGAAGGCTTCGTGCTCCGAAGAACGCCTGGCATCGTGTTGAGGGTGACGTTCAATACCGCTATACTTACTTCAACGAGGAATTTGAGAGCACCATCCATTCCGAGTCCATCTCTGAACTGGTCCAGCCCGGCTCCTCTTTCCGCGAATTGTTTATCCCTGATCCACCCGAGCTCAGCGACTCGAGTAGCAGTGAAGACGAGGATCATGTTGACAAGCAGAAAGATCCCGCTCAAAGTGGTGTGCAAAGCCCTAACAGTCAAGCTGGCCAACTTGAAGGGCCAGCTACCATCTCGACCCTGTCCAACAATCTCAAGGCCAATACTGGTTCCAGTATCAAAGGCTCTGAGAAGACGTCGGGCTCAGCCACCCCACAAAAAAAAGCAGCCTCTCCTCGCCCGACGAAAGCCAAGAAGTATGGTCCTCGTCCAACATTCTGGCTGGATGTTCAAAGCCCGACCGATCAAGAAATGCGGGTTCTATGCAAGGCTTTTGGTATTCATGCACTGACTTCTGAGGATGTCATGTTGCAAGAGGCACGAGAGAAGGTCGAACTCTTTCGAAATTACTACTTCATCAATTATCGAACTTTTGAGCAAGACACCCAAAGTGAGGACTACCTCGAGCCCATCAATATGTACGTCTGTGTCTTCAGATACGGCATCATCACCTTCCACTTTTCTCAGATTCCTCACCCTGCCAACGTACGTCGTCGCATCCGACAACTCTCCGATTATCTGATACTGAGCGCCGATTGGATATCTTACGCCATCATCGACGACATTACTGATGTTTATCAACCATTGATAACGTCAATTGAGGAAGAGGTCGATGACATTGATGACCTTATTCTCAAGTACTTCTCCGCCACCAATGAGCTTGGTGGTGAGAAGAACCCCAACAACGAGAAAGACCCTGATTCGAGCGAGACCTCTAGTGGGATGGAAATGCTCATTCGAATCGGACAATGTCGCAAGAAGGTCATGTCATTGTATCGATTGCTTGGTAACAAAGCAGATGTTATCAAAGGCTTCGCCAAACGTTGCAATGAGCAATGGGAAGTGGCTCCCAAATCCGAGATTGGTTTGTATCTTGGTGATATACAGGATCATATTTTGACTATGACCGGAAACTTGTCACATTATGAGACACTTCTCGGTCGAGCGCACAACAACTATCTTGCCCAGGTCAGCATCAACATGAACGAAAGACAGGAAAAGGTATGCTTCAATCTGACTTCTAGCTGTAGGATGAGTACTAACTTTGATCTTTCAGACAGCAGATGTGCTAGGCAGGTTGACTGTGCTTGGAACGATCGTTCTTCCCATGAATATTATCACGGGAATGTTCGGTGGTAATTTCAAGGTCCCGGGTCAAGATGTCGATAATCTGAACTGGTTTTGGGGTACCACGGCAGGACTGGTCATTTTTGGCATCATCTGTTTCTATTGGTGTAAAAAAGTATACAAGGTCGTATGAGAGAACGATATCTGGTTTTATGACGGAAGTAAGGGCAAGAATTGATTACCAGCGTCTCTGATATCCCAGGAATAGACCGAACGATGGATCTCCAGCTTGTGACAGTTTGGTCATGTACATCTACTAAAGTATATTTTCACTTCATGTTTACCTTTCTGGCGTCTTCGATCGTAGAGTGATGGCTCATCGAACTTAATCATTGACATCTTGTAGTCTTCTGCCGTGACGATTATCTTTTCATGATGGTGTGAGAGTACGGCTTGTGGTGGAATAAACTTCTGCAAAAGTTGAGGGTTGGGTGGGAATAAATATTGAAAGATGTCGAAATCCTAGGCACAACATAAATAACATCAAACTATTGAAATTAGCATCAATTCTGTAACATAGCTAAATACGTAGACTACGAGGTCACTATATCTGTCTCACACCGTAAATAAGAAGGCATATAATATAAAGTCATCACATATATCATCAAGTCCACAGTCATAGTCGTACTTGCCGTCTAAAGAAAAGAATCAACAATGACGACGACGATGAGGGGTCAACCAAAAAGCCACTGGCATCTCCAACTCTGCACAACTCGGGTTGCAAATCAGACTTCAGCATCGGAAGGCGAGGACCGAGGCATCAACGGTTGTATATCTCTACATCTTCTATGCCTCTACGGTTACCTGTACCTGCTCTCCACAGAATCATCTCCCCAGAGATAGTATTCCAGCCCACCAGCAGATACAGCTACAAGCCCAGCTACAAAACGCTCCATCTCCAACGCACCATGTCCTCCTCCACCGACGCCGCCAGCTTCCCACCACCCGCGCTACGCAGTGCCGCCGAAGAAGTAGCATCGCTGCTGCGCGCACGCAACGAGACCATCAGCGTGGCTGAAACCGCCGCGGGGGGACTCGTGTCCGCCGCCCTGCTGGCCTGTCCCGGAGCATCGCGCATCTACCGCGGAGGGCTCACGCTGTATACGTTGGACTCACGCGTGGCGTTTGCTGGCTGGACCAAGGCCGACATCGAGGGCTATGATGGGCCAACGCCGAAACTCGTCGCTGGGCTGGCGAGGAGTGTTCGGGCGACGTTAGGGAGTACATGGGCGGTCGGTGAGGTATGTTGATGTTTTTTATGCAATGCCTTGTCATGGTTTGTGTTGGAGGCAGGTGCCGTGACAAGGGGTGAATTGATGCTAATGGGACATGTCTTGATAGAGTGGTACGGCTGGTCCGACTGCAAGTGGGAAGACGCCCAATAGACAACCGTGAGTTCATCCCGACCTATCCAGTGCAGTGCAGTGCATTTGTCATTTCCCCCACCCCCCCTGCTTTGTCTGTCCGAAACCCACCAGACGAAGTTTCTCTACATTCCATCTCATCTCGCATCATCGTTCAAGCACGGCTGATCTAACATCCTGGCTTCATTTGGGGTCTAAAGGGGCTACGTTGCACTGGCAGTGGTCGGGGAGAAAGGAGAATTGAGCAGGGACTTCGAAACGGGCCTGGGCGCTGATCGCAATGCAAACATGGTGGCATTTGCCGTTGAGGCGTTGTACCTCGTCAAGGAGTTTATCAATGCGGGTGAGGATGAGGCTAATAAGGGTGATGGCCATGGCGACCAGGGTGCCGACAGTAAAATCTGACGGGTCACTTCAGATAGTGGAGCCGTGGTGCATTCTGGACGGTGGGAACGTTTGATCGTGGTTGGGGTTATGGTTGTGCATGACATGGGGATTGGGATCGAGCATCCGTGATTGCTGAGCCCTGGCTCCCATTCTCGAATGTGGTCTGGAAAGATCGAAGCAAAATACCCGAGTTTAAATACTGTCCAATAAACGTGCAGTACGGAAAAGAGATGCTAGGTGCACTGTAGCCTACAGAAAACTAGCCCTCGATCTTGGACTCGGAGATCCGCCGGCGAAGATAGGTTGCGAAGGTAGATGTTGCTTCTCCCACCACAGAACTCATTGAAGCGTGCAAGACGTTCAACCTCAGGCTGTTTGCTCCGTAGAATGCGGACTCTCGGAAGTCAGGGGCTGTTGAGCGGACAAACTCCGCCACCATCACCACGACTGACCACTGGCCTGTGAGTTTAGTGACATGGGATAAAAGTCGTGACGTGATTCAGTCTTTAAAAGGATATTTACTTGGCTGGCCTGAACCACAGTCTGAGTCTGAGCCTGATCTCACAGTGCACCAAAAGCATCAAACGTGGCAGGCGGCACATCAGCCACACGCACGATGGGTTCGCATGATCAGTCACACTGTGGTCTGTCAGAGCCGGGCCAGAGACAGAGACAGAGACATTCTGGAGATGAGACCAAGTAGATCATCTCCGGGAAACCGTTGGGGAAAAGGTGATTGATCGCCATAGAGGCTTGGGGCCAGGGTTGTGTGCGCATGGGAAATCCGAGAAAATAAGAAAACACAAAAGAAATTGTTGTTGACCACTGGACGGCCTTGTCTGCGGATCCAGACTGCTGGATCCGAACTTGACGGTCCGTAGGGGCCGGCTTGCGGTTTTCGGTGTTTTTCTTTTGCAATATTCTGTAACCTCTATAGTCCTGGAGATGATTGGCGGTGTTCCGCCAATTGATGAAAGATGACAAGGAGGGGACGCCTCAGTCGCATCACTATCCTGGGATAACTTGCCCGGCGTTGTCAGACGAAAATTTGAATTATGGGAGGAATGGTTGAGAATTGTTGATCTATTGGACCTGCCCATGCGTCAGGAGCATGCGTTTTCTGACAGATTCGCCATGCAAATCTTTTGCGTGCATGTTATCCGTGCATGATCGGATGGCTGGACGAACGGCTTACTGTGAAATAACTTTAACCGCACACAATGGATGTCAGAGGTATCAAGTCCATCCGAATGTTCGGATCGCCTGCATTCGAGGGGGCACAGCATGGCGAGGTGGAAAATTCTGTCAAGCAGCATGACCATGCTTACTCCATTGCGTGTCGTTATCACGATGTTTTGACAGCTGTCAATGTGTCAGGTTTGCAATGAACAGAGTCGTGTCGACTCGACATTTTTTTCGAAATCGACGGGCTCATCTCGGCCTTAACTTGGAATTGTGCAATGGTCGAACCCTGAGAGTCACTCAAATAATTAGTATTGTACAGGTGACACTCTCCATGCATGTGTGCTGAGGATTCAGTACTGGTTTTGTCGGTCCAAAGGCGTGGGGGAGAGATGTCCACAAGAGGTACTGAGCGCATCCTTATGCAAGGATCTTTCCAGACGCACTGCCCTGATGCAGTAGCAATGTTGTCAGTGCCCCAATATTAAGTACATATTTTGGTATAGAAGAACACCTAGGACAGAATGTTAGCTACACCGGATGAGCTATCCGTCAAATGAGGTGAATTGAAGTACTGGTGCAGATCCCAATGGAAACCAACCATGGTATCAGATGATAGTGAGGCGACGAACGTGGAGAACGCTTATGTTGACTGCCTAAGAGCATTTCATTAAGCGTGTCTCAGAGCCTAGAAGATAGGCATATATCACCCACAGGGATAATGCGGAGTAAAGCCGCGATCATTCCAGGGGTGGCTTTGCCTTTGATGATACCCAGCCATTGGCGTTGCTTGCTTTAATTGGGCTCATTCCAGCCCTGGAGATCAACAGCAACGAGCAACAAGAGTGGGAGGATCAGCTTCAGGTACAAGCTACCAACGACAAGCGTCTCGTCTCCCAGCTCAGCTTTGAATGCGAAAGATATTCCATGGGGTGAGAGTCTCACCGAGGAGATTGCTCACTATTATGGAGCTGTGGTCATGCTCAAACACACATATTGAATTCTCGAGGTAACAGCGACAATCTTCTTGGTTCGTACACTGTCCTCACAGGATACTGAGGAGGCAGCCAATCAGCCCAGGGATTATGGACTTCGCCTCCGACCTCGATTGATCGTCACGCAACCCTTGAACCAGATATTGTTTGATATTCATCATAGCCTATGCATCATATTCCGCCACGAATATTGAGGCTGTGAATTCAAGCAAGACTGCTGGCCTGTGTACTCCAGGATCCCGTGTACCTCCTTGACGTGAGGTGAGGATGTACTCTTGAAACTCAACATTGAGGCGAAGATAAACACCCTGGTCAATGGAGGTGCGCGTGCTAGCTGGAGGCCGCAGCTCGCGAAAGAAAGCATGTACAGCGGAAACGCAAAGCTATTCCCCGATGGAATGGTCGAGATGCTTATCTAGGCCGTGCGATCTCGTAGTGTGTCGCTTGGGGCTGGTTTCATTTGCCTTGATATTGAGGATTCGGAACGTGGGTACAGAGTCTTCAATGGGTGTTGAATGAAGCGTGCGAGCTAAAGGGTGCGCCTTTGCGTGAGGGTCTGACAAGATCGCTTAGACCTTGGGGGGGGGCACGGGCTTCAACCTGACCGACTTTGATCGGAGGAGTTAGTCGCAGTGAAGAGAAGAAGCAACCGGAACAGTAGGATCAGCTCGATATAAGTAAAATTGGAACGTATCGTCAGTCGCAGGTAGCGGACGTAGATTGCACAGTTTAGTTAGAGTGGACTAGAGCATAGTAATGTCCATCAAAGACCAGAACTGTCACTTTCGCGCAATCATTTCATTTACATCCATGGATGCTACGAGGGTCTGTTCACTATTCTTAGCATCTCGACAATTTTGAAAAGTGTAAAAGAGTCATTGTTATGCTAGAACTTTGGGGGTATTGCTAATTGCCGTTGAAGCAAAGGTTCTGGAGGCCGGCAATATGTCTCAACGCAAGTGAATGTGCTCTACGAAGATCGGTATCACAGCTTTGATCCCAGTCGTTTTGAATCGAGCAGATACAGCCAGCCGACTACGTTGATAGATAGAAATTCGCGCGAAAATCAGGACTATCAACGTTCATGACAAAGAAATAGAGTTGGGCCGCTGGGTCTAGATCGAGGAGGGCGGCCCAAAGAAATTGTACCTGATAGATGCCAGGGCCTATCAGGAAAAAAACCCCCTGTTCTCTTTCTGGCCTATTATTGATCCAGAAAAAGACCACCGGAATCTCATCGTTCGATCTCTTTGAAGTCAACGCATGGGTTATAAAGTCTCTTTTCGTCTCTGGAGGTCTAGATCAACAGCCATAGAGCTGCCAGACCTCGTCTAGATGACGCATACGAGGACGGCAGCGAAGGATTCATGGAGACATATCGATAATTAAACATAGGGTTGAACGGCCCGCAATTCCCCTGAGAATGGTTGTCGGGCCAGCGTCTTCGACATCGTCATCGTATATCATCATGTCATTGGCCAATATCTCGCCCGTGCTGCAAATTTCCACGGAGATGCTGAAATGTCCGGGAAGAGGTCGCTCCCAGCTGAACCTCCTGTGTCCTTGCGTGTACTTGATGGGTCGTTTCAATCGCCGTCACTACTGGGAAGGGATAGTGATGTCTACGCCAATGCTGATGGTGATGAGATCCTACGTTTGTAGATGCTTAATAGCCTTGTGTCCACGGAAGTTTTGATGCCCAAATGGGACATTAGACTGGGCTTCGGCCCGGTCACGGGAACACATCAAGTCTCAGGAAATCACCCTCGTCGATCGTTGCTACTGTGTAGGGATGAAGCCGATCTTGATGCCCAAGCTATCCGCACTCCAGACTACGTACGCGTACTTCTACTCCGTATTCCTATGATATGCAATCATAAGGTAGTAACCAGAATTAATGGAAACTCAAAAAATGCCACAATCGCCCGTCGCTTGCGAAGACCATCCGCGGCGTCTGCGGACGCCGGAAACGGTCGATGGCGCAAGCCAGAAACCATCCAGCAATCCCGACTCGGTTTGAACTGGAAGAAAAGGCCACGCTCTGATGAGCGCAACTTTATCGGCCATTATTATTATTGATCATGCCACAACGCATCACCGTGCCGACTACAAATTTAACAATTCGACGCGGCACGCGGCCCAGAGAATGGATGTGGGCTTGGAAAACTTCGCGAAGGGGGTGATGGCGCAGAGTGTACTTATTGAAACGGTCACGATTGCATAAAGTGCGCACACATATCCCTTATTGTCAGTTTTAGTGGTGGGGTACGATCAATTTGGCAAGAACCTGGGATCCGCCTCCTGTCAGTTTGACTTCCTACCCGCAGGTGGGCCTCTGGAATGTTCCAAGGAACAATCTCGAAGGGCTTCTGGCAACCACTAGGTCATTTTCTCAGGTTGCCTGGCACATGAGTGGAGACGAGTAACATGAAGGGTGATGTAGATCGAAGACAACCCACTTGAGGAGTCAAAACGACCTTGTTTCTACGAAAATCCAACATGGATGTCATCCTGTTCTGGAATGCCTGAACGACACGGAAGAGGCTAACAGAATTGGGATGGTCGCATGAAAGGATGGGTCGGAATCCAAGCCTTGCGAAACAAATTGCAGCCTGACGAGGAATTCATGAAAGGGGATGACCCAGGGCAGGGCCGTGAAGCGGATAGACGGAACGAAGTTGGATTCCTAAGGCTCAGGATGATTTTCGAGGCATTCAGGTGAGACAAGCTTGATTCAGTGTGAATTGTGCAGAGAAATCTAGCTCATGCGTTGTTGATCAGGAGCTCAACCATCCAACCCAGCGGGGGAAGGTCTGTGACAATGGTTGCATTTCTGCACGA